GTCTGGTGAGAAGGCCACTGACTTGACTATGTTGGAATGGCCGGTCAGTGTGCGCTGCTCGATGCCCGTGGCCGTATCCCAGAGCTTGATGGTGTTGTCGTTCGAGGCCGATGCCAACGTGCGGCTGTCCGGTGAGTATGCCACCGACCTGACTAAGCCAGAATGGCCTTCAAATGTCTGGAGATTTGAGCTCCAGGAATCTTCCACTGCTGTTCCAACTGCCAGTTGATCTTTAACTTTGCTGATGAATATCTGCTTGATAATACTTTTGGTCGGTGCAAATACAAGACCAGCGCGGTAGATCTGTAGTGGAGCAATCGCTGCCATGTAGTTATTTTGACGTATAAACCTTTCCGCATCATATAAAAAATCAGATAATTCAGAGCCAAGTTGCGCCTAGATAACAATTAGCCAGACTTCTAAGCAGCAAACTATAAGCTTATACATACTGTTGACTTTAATACATCTATTAATCCTACCGCTTCCGAAATTCCTCCCATCAGAGCTAGTACCTCCATCCAGTGAAGAAAGTGGTCCTGGAGAAAAGAAAGAACATCACAGTTCTTGATACGACCTTCGCTCTGTTCAACATGGTGAACCCAGTAGCGACAGGCGTATTGTATATCAGCAGTAAGATATTCTTCGATGATCTCAGTTTTAATATCCTCTTGCTGTATTCCGTAACTTTGCAGCTCGCATATATTCTCTTTGAGCCGGGTTTTCATAAGCCGGAGACAATGTGAAGCGATTCTACTATGTGTATCTTGCTCAGGAACATAAAACGGGCACTTTTTGTCCAGAAGGTAGTCTCGAAATGACAAGTGTAGAATCCGGACTGGTGCTTCAAAATCCACTGGTATACTGAGAACAGAGTGGAATCCGTCCAAGCGATTATTGATATCATCAAGTGGAAACTCAATGAGCAGGGAGAGAGCATCAAGGGACAAAGGTGAAGCTAGAAGAATAATTGTCCCAATTATATGTTGGAACTCTTTCTTCAGCTGATGTGTCTCTTCCTCATTAGCTCCAGCAAGAAGCTGGCTTAGGATAGGCGTGTATGTTCGCGCCATTTCGTCTTCTGAAGATGCACTCGCACTGTCGAGAATCTTTTCAAGCCGTTGTTCTGGACGCCATTTTCTCTCTCCGATAAAGCGGCAAATCGTAGCTGCGAAGATAAATAGAGGAATAGCCATTGCCACCAGCTTTTCAATTTTCTCACTTCCGGGCCATTCGGATGATAGTGAGCGCTCTTTTTGTATGGCCAGAAGCTTACTTTCGAAGAAAAGACGAATATCATGTTCAATCACGGACTTGGGAAGCTCTTGGAGGATCAAATCGTGGTGATCCTTATTTTTGTCAAAGCCATTGCGAACAGGGAGCTCAGGTCGGCTGGTTAGGAACACTCGAAGATGCACAGACTTGATTTCTTGCATCTTAAACAAGCAGTCAAGAATAATCTGTTGGTCCTTATCTCCGTCACACTCGTCTAAAGCATCAATAACAATCACAATTGTTGTAGATTGGCTAGTAGACAGCTTTTGGAGTGGCTGATATAAGAGCTTCTCAAACTGTATGTCAAGAGATTTAAACACAACATTCGAATCATTCTCAATTGCATTGAAGATATCGAAACCTAGTTGCCGGTGCTTGATGATTAGTTGACGTGCGAGAGTCGACACAAAGCGCCTTGCGTTACCACGGTCGGCTTCGCCTCGCTTGAAAAAAAAACTGGCACCTAAAAGCCCTTGATTTTGGAAGGATTGAGCGACAGTCCGTGCAATAGTGGATTTACCAGTCCCCGCCATGCCATTTAGCCAGAAAATAAGTTGATCTTGCGACTGAGCCCACAACGAAATGCGGTTAAGAACATCTGTTCTCGTATCTGGAAGACAGTAATCCTCATGCTGATGAGTATAAGAGTCGAAAAATGCTCCTTCCGCCAATAGTAAGCTCTTAAAGCCAGAATGTTCAAGGAGTCTCTTCAAGGAATCGGCTAGTTCATCAATCTTCCGTAGGATATTCTCTGCCTCTTTTGTGCGGTTAAGATATTCGATCAATCCAATCCATTTATCTAACTTAGCCTTTTCATTCTCAACCGAAGTCTTGAGTGCGATAAGTGGTTGCTGAAGGCTATCGGTCAACGTATTGAGTACTCTTTCTCCGACACTTGCTTCCTGGAATTTGCGTATCTGGACCACGTAAGACAAGATAGCTTTATAAAGTCTGATTAATGCATCTTCTACAAGATGGTTCTCAAGATTCCTCTTTTTTTTCTCGTGGAAATTCTGCTCGATAAAGGCACTGTATGTCAGAACATCTGCCAGGTACTCCGATGATTCGAACAGGGAATCGTGGGACTGGGAGTATTTTTTCGCTAACTAGCACACCAAGTAATAAACATATCAGCAGCGACTTTGGATATGCCCGGTTGTATACATACTGTCAGACTAAGTGAGACAATATTCCACACACTAGCTGCATGCTGCGTCGGGTCGAGTGCAGCCACTGCACCTATAATATCTTTGAATGACAGTGCTGCATCGAGAATTTTCCGTGAAGTCTTCCGGAACGTTTGATCAGCTGTCTGATGATACTTTTCATATCCTTCTTTAGTTGTTGTGACGACCTGATCGATTAAATCCTTAAAATGTTTTTTTTCGTCACCCGGCGTGATTGAAATCTCCTTGATTGAGAGAATATTTTGCTGACAATTATCAAGCTGGTTATAAGCAGCTTGCCACAAGTCTCGCGGCTGCAAAGTTTGCGTTGACTGAATGGCCTGGTCCGCAGGCTTGCGAGGGACAGGGTGGGCATCATTATTGGTGGAATGTTCTTGGGTTTTGTTTTGCCTTGATTCGATGATCGGTTTCTCGCTCTCTTTCCGCCGATGGAATGGATGATGGAAACGCTTTCCGAAGGGACGTGGCATCTTGAATATTTCGAAAGATCAGCTGCTGTGTGTTGGGTGAAGGCGAAAGTCCGGGAGAAGAGCAGTTCGAGAGGGAACGCAGCCATCGTCGGCCGATACTAGCGTTAAATTCGTTGCTGAGCTGGCATAGCTGGATGGCAAGGATAATCCTTGCTTGGCTTAGCCAGTCATGGCCAGCTCTGTGGTGCACTGGAGAAGGCGGGGTTTCCTACCTCGTCTACTACCAGAGCCAGAGTCACGTGCCATGGTGTTGGCGTCGGAACACAGAAACGTACCCGGGGGTCGATCCTCTTTATTCATCATATATCGTAAGCTGAATCTTTGAGATAGTTAGGAGGCAATCCTCGGTACCTGATAGAAGCAATATCCATTATTTTGATGAAAACTTTTATGGTTAATCGATCAGAAGATGTGGGTGTCAACCATAGACAAGATCAACAAAACACAAGTCAAGATACTATGAGTGTTCGGATAATCTTCGATTTCTCGTAGTTTCGATAGTTAAATATGGTCTGGGTGATTAATTCGACATCGGATATGGTGTCGGCCCGAGCCGAGGGCCAGTCATGACTAAGGGAAACCCAAGAAACATGGCCTAGATAGCGAATACAACCAACATCTTCAACCCCCTGAGCCGTAGCTCACAACAAAAACCAAAGAAGAAGAAGAAGAAGAAAAAGAAGAAGAAGAAGAAGGCTACTCCACAATCTCAAACTTCACATCCCTCTCCACCCCAAACGTCTCCTTCCAATCATCCCACAACCCCTCCAGTTGGCGCACATACTCCCCATGCAACTGGTCAATATACTTCTCATCCGGCTCCCACCGCTGCTGCACCACCTCAATCGGCTTCCCCACAACAACATTCAACGGCCTCCGATGCGGACAAAACACCCCAAACCGACCCTTCGAAAACGCCACCCGATGACCGACCACAAACTCCCACACCCTCGCCACGACCCCCAACACCGACGACGATCTCGTATCAATCAGATCAAACAACTCGTTCTCCCCGAATGCGATCACAGGGACTAAATCCGCGCCGGTCTCGACGGCCACCCGTACGAAACCCTTGCGGATCTTGATCACCACGCCCATGGTCCCCGGCTTCGCGATGTTGTATTCCCGGCTCCCGCCGACAGTGATGGCGATGGAGCGACCCATGCCGCGCTCGTCGTGGCCACCGCGGGTGAGATGTTTGATGCACGAGGTGCGGGACACGCCGCTGGCGCCCGTGGCGAGGAGGTACTCGCGTTGGAGGGGTTGATAGAAGCAGTCGTCTTTGATGAGGAGGGTGTTAGTGATGCCCGGGAAGAGGGCGGAGAAGCCGACGGGGTCGGCGGCGAAGGCGCCCATGGCGCCGCGGAGGGCGATGCCGTGGGGGTGGTAGCCGAAGATGTATTTCTTGCGGGGGGATAAGGGGGCGGAACGGTAGAGGGTGAGGGGGAAGTAGGCGGCGAAGATCTTCCAGATGAAGGAGGTGCGGAAGGTGTCGTTGCGGTAGGGTAAGGTGCCGGATTTGTGGGCCTTGGCGAAGAATTTGATGTAGAGGATGTAGAGCAGGACGAAGAGGCGGAGACGGGGGACCAGGAGGAGGGAGTAGCCGAGTAGGGGGAGGTGGAACCAGGTCGTGCAGATGAGGGTCATGAGGATGGATTCGGCGATGTCGGTTAGGAAGGGTCTATCCATATTAGATGGGTCTTGCTTTTTGAGGGATGGAAAGAGGAGGCTTACTTGGATGCGCCTTTGCCTTCGGTCTTCGGCTCTTGGGCCGTTTGGAGGATCATGCCGGCGTGGTTCTTGATCTCGTATAGCGGCGGCTGGTCTTTAGGGTTGGCCTCGGGAATATCAATGGCGGTCGCCTTCTCCGGGTTGCGCGCCAGCTCAGCGATCTTCTCTGCTGCTGCCACGCGGCCCTCCTTCCGACACAGCTTGGCAATCTCGGTGGCTTTCTCCTTGTAGGAGCGGTTGTTCATCACCTTTAACAAAGCCTTGCTCAGCTCCTTGGAGCTGATGTTTGGGGCACGGCTCTTGTTGCCATACACGCCGATGCCGAGCCACTCCGCCCGAGCGGCGTTCTCGTAGCAGTCTTGCCAGGCGGGGAGAACCACATGGGGAACACCGTTTCTATTGGAGTTAGCAAGTTGACCTGACAGACAGGAAGAGGGGTCTTACTGAATAGCCTCGTACCACGAGTTGGCACCGCCATGGTGCACCGAGCAGACGATATTCCCCGTCTGCAACATCGCCATGGGCTCGACCTCGAACCAGGGACGAATCAACACGCTGCCCTCTTCAGTCTCCTTCTTGAGAGGCTCAATAGACCGACTGTAGATGTCATCCACATCGTGCGGGTGCTTCGGCAGCTTCCACAGAATCTGCACCTTGCCGCCCTTCCATGAGTTGAGGAACCCTTTCAACCCGGTGGCAATTTCCTCGGCCACCTTCGGATCAGGGGCATACAACGTGCCCAGATTCACCAGGATAGTAGGAGCCTGGCTGAGCCAGCGTGCCATCTCCGGATCCTGCTTCTCGACCGAAGCCGTGGGCAGCAGGATGGGACCAGCCGGGAGGATATTCTCCGGCACCTTGCTGAACGGCCAGTCCAGCTCCTTCAAACCGGGGGAGATGTGATACCGGTCGGGACGCCAAGCATCGGCGAATGGAAAGCGACCGTGAATTTTGTGCTTGATGCGCCATTCACGGATCTCCCGACGTCGGCCGCTACCATGATACATCTTGGCGGTTTTGAGGACGGCCATGATGTTGAGCGGGATGAGATGCCAGGGGATAGGATACGGGAAACCAGTTCCCGGACTTATTCCATTAGCTACGAAGACTGCGAAAGGTGGGAGGAGGGACTTACAGTGGGTATTTCCATAGGGCTGCCGAGTTGGGCTGCATGCCCAGCACAATGTGACTAAGGGAAGTGGTGTTGATGAGAATGGCCGTGTGGCCCGTGTTATAAGCAGCATCTCTGCCCTGCAAGAAGAAGAAATCAATTGCGATCGTCGACGGCTTGACCGTGTTGATGATCTCGACACAGCTCTCGTAAATGTCAACATACTCATCCTCCGTCCACCCCCAGATGTCTTCGCACAGGGATTGAAAGCCGAGCACGGCCCCATGGTATCCCGGGGGATGAAAAGCACCCCGCTTCCCCGTGCGGATAAAGACATCGGTGTTGGACGGCCCCCTTACAGGGTGGAAGTGAATACGCGACCGGAAGGAGTCGTCATAAGCATCTGCGTTGTCTGCCAGAAGTTTCTCCACGCGTTTCTCGAGGACGGGAAACGATCCAATATGGACTTCAACGTTGCCCTGGACGAGGAGCTCGTGTGTGATGGCCAGGATGATGTTCGTTTGACCATGTTCACTGTTGGCCAGGAAAAGCACACGGGTAGGTGATTCAGTCATAGTAAGGAGAGAAGTGCTCAATGCCAGCCGGCTGGTTGAGCAGGCAATTTAAAACCACCACGGTGCTCGGGCAAGGTTTGGGGCAGGGCTTGGGGTAGAAGCAAGGAAGGAATGACAAGAACCCCGAATGGAATGGGTCGAAACCAGCGTGAAACAAAGAACCCTGAGAAGGTGCCAAAGGCGTGATCAGGGTCTGCGACAGGGACCCTTTTAAACCGCCAACCAGGCAACACTTGCAGGAGCACAACGTTTCTGGTAGATGAATGGAGGCTTGGCTGGAACATGGCACAGACACTCAAAAATGAGACCACCGCGGGCTGACCTTGGCTGAACTTTCGAGTGGTTCAAGAGTTGGTCCCAAATCCGGGGGTCGCTAACCCTAAGCACGGCCCCATCCATGGTTCAGCGCCCCCATCGCGATCGGCATCCTCGACGGTTCCCTCAGATCATGGCGATCCAGCCGAGGAAGTTACCGCGAATGGACCCCCCTCCGACAAGGTTAAATGAGGTAAAGCAAAACAGTGGATAGAATGCCACCATTTATCGGCATATCCCTCTGGTCCGGGTAGCCGCCCAGTCATGGAGACGGTAGAGATGGAGTCAGGAGAAGTCAGGAGAACGTATCCAACGATGGTCCCATTCCATCCCCGACTCGCCAGATAAATAGATCCCCCCAGGCACTCCGGTTGCTCTTGACCAGATCCAACTTCCACCTTCGTTTCACTCAAAATGGTGTTTGCCATGGCCCTGCCTTCGGGCCAGATGCCCGAGATCAACCCTTCCAACCTGTCCCTGCCGGTCATGGCGGTTGTCCTTGTATGTCCCCCGCTTTCTTCTCGAATGTGGCTAATTGTCAGGTTCCTTGGATTCTCATTCTGTTGATCAAATTTTCCCCCAAGGGGCCGGCCATCAAGGGGGTTCCAGGGTCGTTCCTTGACCTGTATTGCTGTGGTGTAAGTGACCATGTCTGTTGTATGCACTCATCTAACCATCACAGATTGGTACCAAGATCAATTTTGTCTCCGGACGGAGTGCCCATTACTTCAATTCCCTGCACGTCGCATACGGTATGACACCCGTGCCTCATGGAAAGCGATAGCTAACCCGCACAGGCAATGTCGTCCGGTTCGCCCCCGGGCAAGCCACCACCAACACCATCAAGGGCCTGCGTAATATCTATGGTGCTGGATCCGGCAAAGGCAGTGCCTTTCTCAAGACCGGCTTCTACAAAGGCATCTCGCGTCGCAACATCTTCACCGCCAGCGACCCCAGCTACCATGCTTCGGTCCGCAAGTTGTTCAGCCCATCTCTCAGTCCGGGAAGCATGCAGGCTCATGCGAACGTGATTCGGGAGTGTATCTCGCGGCTGCACGATGTCATCAATGGCAAACTGGAAAACACCGACACTCTCAGTCTGAACCAGATGCTCTACTGCCACTCGGTGGACACGGTGTCCGAGGTGCTTCTGGGCAAGTCGCTCGGTTGTCTGAAGCGAGGCAAGCCCTACTTCTGGACGGAGCAGCTTAGTCGCATCTTCTTCTGGGCCACCATCCGTGATCAATTCGCTGGGTCAGGTGTACCCACGATGATCAAGCTGATGCTGCGCTACTTGATCCGCAAGGGCGTTCGGTCTCGTGCGGAACAGGCTAGAATGAGACTCATCAACGAGTAAGTTGTGCGACCGCATTTCCTAACGTTCGCTAACCACCACAGACAACTGACTGCCTCGCACAATCGCCGTGACATCATGGTCGAAGTCATGGAGAGGGCCGCCAACAGTGACCTCCCCGTGGACGAGATCGCCGAGAACTTCTCGGCCATCATGTTGGCGGGCTTCCACACCACTCAGAACGCCCTCTGTGCCACCATCTACTTTGTCTTGACACACCCGGAGGCCCACGCCAAGCTGACCGCCGAATTGCAGTCGGCCTTCGCCTCGCCAGATGATGTGTCGGGTGACATTGCGCAGAACCTGCCCTACCTGAACGCCGTCATCACCGAGGCCCTCCGTCTGTACCCACCGGTGCCACTGGGAGGCCCGCGTGTTTCACCCGGAGCCTATGTCGACGGGACGTACATTCCAGCCGGGGTAAGTGGGCCTGACAGACCGTCTGAAACATTCGCTAACAGACCTGTCACAGACGGAGATCTGTACTTCCCTGTTTGCGCTGCATCACAATCCCGAGTACTTCAACGAACCGTACGAGTTCATTCCGGAGCGGTGGACCGAGCCCGAGTCGACGGACAAGAAGGAGGCGGTCCAGCCCTTCCTGGTGGGCAGCCGGTCCTGCATCGCCAAGTACTTTGCGAAACAGATGATGCAACTCACCCTGGCGTCGTTCTTCATGGAATACGAGGCCGAGTATGTGGGTCCGGTCAAGGACTGGCAGCGCGAGAGTCGTTGTTATGCTTTTTGGGAGGTGCCCGATTTGAAGCTGAAGCTGAAGCTCCGGAAGCGACAGGCTGTGTGATTCATTCCTTATGATGACCTTTCATTCTATCCTCCCATTTTACCCTTTCTCTTTCCCTTTCCTTTTACTCGTTCACTTCATCACTTTTCACTTCTTCGGATTTCACTTCTACACTCTTGATGCTATACCCAGATAAAGTTTTGGTGCAACACCACGAGTTTCCAATATACCATCTATACCAGAAAATGATTAAACCAGAAAAAATTAACTTTTCTGTAATCTGATCCCTCACACGGAGCATCACTAGTTAATTTAACATCTGCTTGGCTCATCTGCAGGGTCCAATGGCATCTGCCAGGGAAATCTCAAACAACGGCGTGGACCCAAAAATGAGGCAACTCACAACCCTCGAAACCAGCACGCACCATAGCTAAGCGTCGCCAAGCCGGCCCAAATGACGGACAGGGTGTGAAATCCGACCGACAGGATCGACAGCTGAAAACGTTGAGGTTTCAGCTAAACGCACATGGTTCTCTCCATCCAGCCCTAATATTGGGTTCTCGCCGGTTCCTGACGATCGGGCGGGCGTGAAACACCGGTTCACCCCCCCGGGCCCCGTCCCTGGTTTACCCATCTTTGGTCTTTGCGATTAGAGTTGCTGCACGGATGTGCGAACGGCTGCGGGCGGAAAAAAGAATAAGGATGGTCGCGATCGCCCAGGGTTCCTTGGGACGGGGGTCGGTCGCAGGAGGCTTCATTTCGGGCGTGTTTGCCATTTCTGAGGTTTCAGGTATAGGGGTTGGAGGTAGCTGCTACGTGGTCCGCGTGACAGGTCGATTCAGGTGTTGCAGTTTTCACCGATTGACTTTGGCGGTCTTTTGATTTGTCTGGTCGTTCGATCGTTTAACCCGATCATTGTCTGTCACGTCCTGCCATGTGCTTGATGGCGGATAGAGAATACTGGTCGCCATCATGAAGTGGAAGGAGGACATTTGTCTGGAAGAACTGCCCAAGGTTGGTGTCTCTTCTGAAACCTGCACAGTAAACTGACAGGAACAGTCCCCTGGCTCTGAGAGCACTGCCATCTCGCTGTCGGATATCGAGAAAGACATCCTTGACAAGCAGGTTACGGCGCCGCCCTCACAGCCCGGGTTCTTTGGCATCTACCGATATGCCAGTCGCTGGGACATTTTCCTCATCATTCTGAGTTCGATCGCATCCATCGCCGGAGGGGCTGCGCTGCCTTTATTCACTGTAAGTACACCCTCTCTGCATTGCTGTCGTCCTACCTAACCTGTGTAGGTCCTCTTTGGCAACCTCACCTCCACCTTTCAAGACATCGCCGTCGGCACCATCACCTACGAGCACTTTCACAACGAACTCAACAAATACGTCGTCTACTTCATCTACCTCGCCGTCGCCGAGTTCCTCACCATCTACATTGCGACCGCAGGATTCATCTACACCGGCGACCATGTGGTCCAGCGGATCCGCGTGGAATACCTGCGCGCGATTCTGCGCCAGAACATTGCCTTCTTCGATAACCTGGGTGCGGGTGAAATCACCACCAGAATCACCGCAGACACCAACCTGATTCAGGATGGAATCTCTGAGAAAGTCGGCCTGGCGCTGACCGGATTGTCCACCTTTGCTACGGCATTCATCATCGCCTACATCAAGTACTGGAAGCTGGCCTTGATCTGTAGCGCGACCCTCATTGCTCTGCTCGTGATTATGGGCGGAGGCTCCATGTTCTCCCTGGTGTATAGCAAGAAATCACTGGAATGCCAGGGTCGCTGCGGTAGCTTTGCCGAGGATATTCTGGATTCCGTCCGGACGGTCGTGGCGTTTGATGCCCAGAATGTCCTCGCTACCAAGTACGATGCTCACCTTCAGGAATCGGAAGGGCCGGCCCGGAAATCACAAATCATCTTTGCTGTCATGGTGGGCGCATTGCTGTCCTGCATCCATCTGAACTATGCCCTGGGGTTCTGGCGCGGGAGCATCTTCCTCGTGCATGGCGATAGCGGCGTCCAGGCGGGTGATATCCTGACCATTCTCATGTCCATCATGCTGGGATCGTACCACCTGGGGAACGTGGCTCCGAATACTCAGGCCATCTCTAATGCCGTAGCGGCAGCCTCCAAGCTGTACAGCACCATTGATCGTCCGTCTCCGTTGGATGCCAGCTCCGAGCAGGGCCTCAAGCTGGGCCACATCAAGGGCAACATTGTGCTACAGAATATCCGTCATGTCTACCCTTCTCGCCCCGAGGTCATTGTTGCCAACGATCTGAGCGTGTACATCCCGGCTGGCAAGACCACGGCCTTTGTAGGACCCTCGGGATCGGGCAAAAGTACCATCATCGGCCTGATCGAGCGGTTCTACAATCCCGTAGCTGGCCGCATCACGCTGGATGGACACGACCTGCAAACCCTGAATCTGCGCTGGCTGCGACAGCAGGTGTCGTTGGTGTCGCAGGAGCCCCGACTCTTCTCGGCCAGCATTTACCAGAACATCAAGTTCGGGCTGATCGGATCAGAGTATGAGAATGAAACCGAGGCGCAAATCACCAAGCGGATTCATGATGCTGCCCGCATGGCGAATGCACACGACTTCATCATGGCCCTGCCCAACCGGTACGACACCAACATCGGGTCGTTCTCGCTGTCTGGTGGCCAGAAGCAACGCATTGCCATTGCTCGCGCCATCGTCAAAGACCCCCAGCTACTTCTACTCGATGAAGCGACTTCGGCGCTGGACGCCAAGTCGGAAGAAATCGTGCAGTCGGCGCTGGATAAAGCCTCCAAGGGTCGCACGACCATTGTCATCGCCCATCGTCTCTCCACCATCAAGGAGGCCCACAACATTGTCGTCCTCGTCAATGGCCACATCGTTGAGCAAGGGCCACACGGCCAGCTCATGGACCGCGGCGGAGTCTACCGCGACATGGTCGAAGCCCAGCAAATCAAGCAAAAAGAGGAACGGAAACGACACGAGTCGATGACCTTTTTCTTCGACGACGACTACGAGACCTTCCGCATGCAAGAAGAGGACGTCCTCAGCGACGACGCCTCCGACATTGGCCTGCGATCCGGCAGCAAGCACAAGCGCCGGATGACTCGCATGTCCATGTTCATCGCCCCCCTCCCCTCCAAGCTCAAACAAACCTTTTCCCTCTGGACCCTCTTCAAATTCCTCGCCTCCTTCAACCGTCCCGAATGGCCCATCATGTTCCTCGGCCTCGCGGCCTCCATCATCGCGGGGGGCATCCAACCCTCGCAAGCCGTCCTCTTTGCCAAAGCCGTCAGCACCCTCAGTCTGCCCCCCTTCGAATACGACAAACTCCGCCACGACGCCAACTTCTGGTCCCTGATGTTCCTCATGATGGGCATGGTCACCCTCTGCATCTACAGTCTCCAGGGGACCCTCTTCGCCTACAGCTCCGAACGCATGATCTACCGCGCCCGCAGCCAGGCCTTCCGGGTGATGCTCAACCAAGAAATCTCCTTTTTCGACCGCGACGAGAACACCACCGGTGCCCTCACCTCCACGCTCTCCGCCGAAACCAAACAACTCGCCGGCATCAGCGGCGTGACCCTAGGCACCATCCTCATCGTCACCGTCAACCTCGGCGCCTCCCTCGTCGTCGCGCTCGTCATGGGCTGGAAACTCGCCCTCGTGTGCATCTCCGCCGTCCCGGTCCTCTTGGCCTGCGGCTTCATCCGCGTCTGGATGCTGGATAAAATCCAACGGCGGGCTAAATCCGCGTACCAGAAATCCGCCAGTTCAGCCTGCGAAGCCGCCTCCGCCATTCGCACCGTGGCCTCTCTCACCATGGAACCGGAAGTCCTCACCTCCTACGAATCCCAACTCCACAACCAACTCCAACGCGACATCTTCCCCATCCTCAAATCCTCCGCCCTGTACGCCAGCTCCCAAGCCCTCCCCTTCCTCTGCATGGCCCTCGGCTTCTGGTACGGCGGTTCCCTCCTCGGCAAGGGCCAATACACCGTCTTCCAATTCTACGTCTGCTTCAGCGAAGTCATCTTCGGTGCCCAAGCCGCGGGGACCATCTTCTCCCACGCGCCAGACATGGGCAAGGCGAAGAACGCGGCCGTGGAATTCAAAAAGCTGTTCCGGAACCAATCCATCAACGCGTACAAAAGCACCGGCGTGCATGTCTCCTCCATGCAAGGTGAGGTCGAGTTCCGAGACATCTCCTTCCGATATCCGACTCGTCTGGAGCAGCCGATTCTCCGACACTTGAACCTCAAAGTGAAACCGGGGCAATATGTCGCGTTGGTGGGATCGAGCGGGAGCGGGAAAAGTACCATCATCGCCCTGTTGGAACGATTCTATGAAGCCCAGGTGGGGGAGATCTACATCGACGGACGGAATATCAACGCGTTAGATCGACGGTCGTATCGCAGCCATCTCGCGCTGGTGAGTCAAGAACCGTCGTTGTTTCACGGCACCATTAAGGAGAATATTCTCCTGGGGGTGACGGATCGTGAATCCGTCTCGGATGAGATGTTGGTTAAGGCGTGCAAGGATGCGAATATTTATGATTTTATCATGTCGTTGCCGTATGTCCATTCCTTTCCCCATCCCATCCGCTTCTAGCCATGGCAGTTACTAATAGATGGTATCCAGACAAGGCTTTCAGACGCTGGTCGGCAACAAAGGCGGGATGCTCTCGGGCGGCCAAAAACAACGCATCGCGATCGCGCGCGCGCTGATTCGAAACCCGCGCATCTTGCTGCTCGATGAAGCCACCTCGGCGTTGGATTCCGAGTCCGAGAAAGTCGTGCAGGCGGCGTTGGATGCGGCCGCGAAGGGCAGGACGACGATCGCGGTGGCGCATCGGTTGAGTACGATTCAGCGGGCAGATGTGATTTATTTTCTGGAGGGGGGGGAGGTGGTGGAGTCGGGGACGCATAAGGAGTTGGTGAGGAGGAGGGGGCGGTATTTTGAGATGGTGAATTTGCAGAGTTTGAGGTGATGCTGCTGCTGTAGCATTTGTGGGTATTAGGGGGGTATGGGGAGGGGGTGTATGATATGGCGTTGGGGTAATGTATATTAATGATTAATTTGGGTGGAGTATAATGGTTAGGAATGAGAATTATTCTAATGGATTGATGATGTTGTGTGAGTTTGGGTTCATAGGGTCATACTCTAGATTATGTTTACATATATCGTTGTTTGAGCATTTCGTCCCACTGATTATTGGTTGTTCTACAATTTCTGAGATTCCATGTCGATAAGAACACGACATAATTCAGTATAGTAGACTGTCTTGTGACTACGGTATTCATAGTACCTGCCTCAGGCATCACAGATAAGAACTTATCTTATCTCAGTACATCTGCATCCGGCTAGTGCGGGGGCTGACTCAGCCTCCGGAGCCCAACTTTTTTGTCTCAATTTGATTCCTCTTCCCCGCAACCTCGTCTATCAGCATAGCACATCACAGCACACCACCCATCATGGCTCTCCCCGCTCACAAGACCTCCTTCCTGGAGTCGTGCCTCTCCGCCAATGTCCTAAGATTCGGCACCTTCACCCTCAAATCCGGTCGCCGTAGGTGCCCCATCCACCCACCAGCATACCCCACTAACACTGACTCTAGAATCCCCCTATTTCTTCAACGCCGGCATCTTCAACACGGCCTCCCTCCTCTCCGCGCTCTCCACCGCCTACGCTCACACCATCATTGCCTTCCTCGCCGAGAACCCCTCCATCCCCAAGCCCGACATCATCTTCGGGTACCCCCTCCCCTCCCTCCCCCAATCATCCCCCCAACTAACCGCTCTAGACCCGCCTACAAAGGCATCCCCCTCGCTTGCGCCACCCTCCTCGAACTCAACCGCATTGACCCCGCCACCTGGGGCAGCGTCTGCTACAGCTACAACCGCAAGGAAGCAAAGGACCACGGCGAGGGCGGGAACATCGTGGGCGCGGCGCTCAAGGACAAGACCGTGCTGGTGATCGACGACGTGATCACCGCCGGCACGGCCATGCGCGAGACCCTCAACCTCGTGGCCCAGCAAGGCGGCAAGGTGGTCGGGTTCGCGGTGGCTCTGGACCGCTTGGAGAAGATGCCCGGACCCAAGGACGCCAATGGTGTCGAGGACGACGCACCCCGGATGAGCGCCATGGGCCAGATTCGCAAGGAATACGGTGTCCCCACCACCAGCATTGTCACGCTGGATGATTTGATCAAGTTGATGCAGGCCAAGGGTAATCAGGAGGATATGAAGCGGTTGGAGGCGTACCGGGCCAAGTACCAGGCTAGTGATTAGATAGATCCGGTCCGATGCCACGTGAATGAATAAAAGCTTTGTATAGATGGTTCTGGCTGGTGGGAACCGGTTTCGGGCAGTGTCCACTTGGTGATTGGCAGTTAATGATGGGTACTTCGGTGTTTTCTCGAAGATCTGTTCGGCATGTTTCGGGATTCGCTCGGTGCCGAGATATTGCCGATGTTGACGCATTCGATATCAGCCACATTCTTTCCCGTCTTGTGGGCGCAGGATTCTCCCGTTACGCGATTTTATCTCTCTTGCCTGGATCGGAATGCACTTGTTGCAGGGTTTTCAGCTGTGATGAGTTGGGCACAATACTGCATCCTGCTGAGGGATCTGACAGCATGAGTGATGACTGCAATGAGCGAGAGTCATCAACCTGCCAGCGACATCAACGGATACAGCGCAGATGGTATCCCAGTCGGCAGCTTCGTGATCCAGTCGACAGTGGCATCAGTGCCTGCAAGCGTTGAGCCTCAGCTGTGCCAGTTGTGATTCAGCTGGTCTGCAGCCGTGACATGCTTGGCCATATCAGTGACAAACTAATCTTGAAAGTTAACGCGTCACGCTAACTTGGCAGTCAAGGTTCATTGACATCAGGATTTTGCAGCGGCGATAGCTCGGCTCGGCGATGGATCGGCTGCCGCAGTATACCTCACATCACTCAGGATATAAAGGGCTACCCAGTCATCCATGGAATCCAGCATTTCATTCCAGGATCATAGACAGATCTAGATTAATTGCTATATTCAACATGTCAATACCACAATCGTTGGACCAACGGCCTGGTCTACCCAGGACCGAAACCCGCGAATCCTTGGAAAACCAGGGCATTTCAGAAAAGGCACCCCCGATGGACTACAATTATCCCGATGTCGGTCGTCAGGAAGACCCCGTGTTCCCGGAGGAGTATACGGTCGAGACTAGCACCGGACTGGTTCCTGAGCGAACGATCGAACGGATGCGCTCTCGCACGCCGTCGCGACGTACCTCCAGCCCAGACAGTTCAGAAGAGGATGTCGAAAAAGCTACCGAGCCTGCTGACTTTGTCACTTTTACTATTAACGACCCTGAAAACCCCTTCAACTGGTCCCGTGGATACCGCTGGTACGTCACGCTCGTCGCCGCCCTGCTGGTCGTCAACATTGCCTACGGCTCGTCCATCGTCACCGGCGGTCTCGGCTTGATTGAAGAGAAATACCACGTCTCCCTTGAGGTTGCAACGCTTACCTGCTCCATCATGGTCTGTGGCTTCGCCGTTGGCCCGCTTCTCTGGTCGCCCCTGTCCGAAATCATCGGCCGTCGTCCCGTCTACATCATCTCCCTCGCTCTGTATACCATCTTCAACATCCCTTGCGCCCTATCCCCCAACATTGGCGGTCTCCTCGTCTGCCGCTTCCTCTGCGGCGTCTTCTCCAGCTCCGGACTCTCCCTCGCGGGCGGCACTATCGCCGACATCTGGAACATCGAGGAGCGCGGTATGGCCATCGCCTTCTTCGCCGCCGCGCCCTACTGCGGGCCCGTCCTTGGGCCCATCGTCTGCGGCTGGATCAACGTGGGCTCCCATCGACTGGACCTGTTCTTCTGGACCAACATGGCTTTTGCCGGCGTTGTCTGCATCATTGTCGGACTCGTCCCTGAAACCTACGCCCCAGTCATCCTCAAACGTCGCGCCGCCAAACTCCGCAAAGAAACGGGCAACCCCAACATTATCACCGAGCAGGAGAAACACAAACTGACCCTCCGCGACATCATCCGCACCTGCCTCATCCGGCCCATCATCATGATCGCCACCGAGCCCGTCCTCGACCTCATGTGCATGTACGTCGTGCTCATCTACGCCATGCTGTATGCCTTTTTCTTCGCCTACCCGGTGATCTTCGGCAAACTCTACAACTACAACGACGGCCAAATCGGCCTCATGTTCATCCCCATTCTCATCGGCGCCGGCTTCTCCCTCCTCCTCACCCCCGTCATCGAAAAACACTTCCATCGCATCTGTCTCTCCCGCCCTCCGACCCCCGAAGACCGTCTGATCGGCGCCCTCATCGGCGCGCCCTTCATCCCCATCTCCCTCTTCATCCTCGGCGCCACCTCCTTCAAACACATCATCTGGGTGGGCCCTGCTTCATCCGGCATCGCCTTCGGCTTCGGGATGGTACTCTGCTACTACGCCGTGAATAACTACATCATCGACAGTTATCAGAAGTATGCTGCGTCCGCGCTGGCCGCGAAGGTGTTTCTCCGGTCTGGAGGTGGCGCTGCGTTCCCGTTGTTTATTACGCAGATGTATGATCGGTTGGGGTTGCAGTGGGCGTCGTGGTTGTTGGCCTTCTTGGGGGTTGGGATGGTGTTTATCCCATATACGTTTTATGTTTTTGGGGGGAGATTGAGGGCGAGGTTGAGTAGGGATTAGAGGGGTTTATAGGGGGGTTTTATAGAGGGGTCTATAGTGGGGGTAGACCTACTGTAATGGTAATGATATAGTTAGGTAGATAGATCGATCAATAATGCTTTCTCTTCTCTGTTTCGGGGTAAGGTATAGAATTTCTTTTTCCAATCTGATATCGGAATGAAATTGTAGCATATTCTAGAGATAAGTCACCGATATAGGCATACACCCAGTGAACCACCAGGCCCTCATATCTCCCCTGAAACATAATCCACGATCGTCCATCAACCATCCACAGCGAGCACAAGACCTCGTTCGTAACTCAAATCCACCCCTGGGCCACAAGATCTGCTTTGGCAAGAACCCCACCCCCATAATATGCCGCAGAACAGTCGTAAGACTCGACTTTTTCAACAAAGCAAAAGAAGTTGTCTCCGAGCTATCCTCTTCCCTCCTTCTATTCAATGCAAATACCGCACGAGCACCCACTGCCTCATCAGAATTGTTATAATCGGCAGTACTGTGATTCAGAGAGGGGATCCTCGTCCAGAGGTATTTGTCGCATCATTTCGAACTCGTGATGCTTCCGATAGCCATAATCGGGTTATGTGACATTCCATTAGACTGTTCTGAGTGGTTTATTCGTGGAATGAATTCAACGGATCGCTCCAATTTGTTTTTTAACATGATTGCTGAAGTATTGGTCGTAATGCCATTTCTAATCAGTGTGGTCTCTCGAGGTCTCGATAATAGACGGCCATAGTGGTCATGGTTGGAGTACTTGTCATGGAGGGGAAATATAACTCTCGGTATCCCTAGTAACAGCCACCTTAACCTGTACTAAGCGAAGGTAGAGATATTCGATGAATTATGCTCTGACTGCATCAGCATCGGCATCAGCAACGGACAAATCTAAGTGCAGTTTATTAATCCCACCAAAGATACAGAACCCCAACCATGCTCCACAGAGCCACCATCACGTCCTGGGGAGTAGGAACATATTCGCACCATTCGCGCTCCCTATTCTTCTGTGATTCCACGACAAAGCAATACACTTCGCTGTATAATCTTTAGCGATATAGCCAGGGTGATAGTAGGTGAGATGTCTTGATGAACCGATTGAATACCATATGTATTGTAGACGATGTTTGTAGGTAATGTCGGGATTGTGTGACAGGATATAATTAAAATGACTGAGATGGGTATGGAGAATATATGCAGATGATTTCACATTGGATTGTGTGTATATACGATAGCAGTGCATGTGTATGAAGGGTGGATGTAGTCATTTGTTGTGTTGAAATATCTCTTGTTGGATATTGTTGGTTTTCAGGGCAGATTAGGGAGTGGTATGGTTGGTGCAGTCTGCAAGGCAGCTTCTCGTAGGAGTTGATGGTAGCAAGATCGGGATCAATCGTGAACAAGGTTGTGAATGATGTTCCTTGTTTTAACGAGGCTGATAAGTTTTGATATCTCAGAAGATTCAGGCAGCCTTTTTTTTCGGATACTTGTAATCCCCCCAGTGTTGGACATTTCCTCTGTGATTCAGATATTTCGAATAGAGTTCGTTTTCTGCGTTGCCAGACCAGCTTGATCCCGTCCTATAAATGCACGGAGAGATGAGTTTCACAGTGTGAAGGTATCTCTAGAGAATTGGAATCTGGAGAAATACCGCGGTGTAGATGGTCAACAGATGTCACTTCATTTAGAGATGGCAGCCAGACTGGAGTATGTGATATCAACCAGGTTATTTGTATTTCCGCAGGTTCAACTGTGGTTTATACCGGAAACTCTGCTTAGCTGTTGTACTTGTGTTCTGAATTGATCTGCAGACCAATTGAAATCAGGCCACTCATGTCCTCTTCAACTGTAGGATATGCTTTTCTAAGAGCATTACAGATATGGATTGTCAACAAGATTCTTCCATCTTGAAAAAGGCTATATTTGCTTGGAAGGATAGGTATATCTGCTTGATCTGATATCCATGCACGCATCTGTATCAACGTTCGGTTCCTTTATCTTCTCTCCGGTGTGAAATGTATCTTGTTTATTCTTAACCACTTCTCGATCGATGTTTTGGATCAGGATATGGTCCTCATTATAGCACTTGAATGATCGAATTGCTCTTTGCCATCGCTGGTATGTCTCCATACTAGTTGGAGAGATTACAAGTACAGGTCTTGATCAGAGCGGTGTCAAAACCCGGTGAAGTGCGTCAGTGACTTCCTGCCCTCTAGCATCCCAGTGAAGAATATGTGCCTGGTGCAGTGAATTCTCTCGGCAATTTCCCTTTCTTCACTATGTCTCTAGTCATACATAGACAAGGTTCGGTGTTGTCGGCACGCTTTGAAGAAGTACATAAACTCAATATGAGAATGTATAGTGCAGGGTAGCAAACACGGGCGCGACTTTTCTTCAACCAGGGACAGCAGGGCCTCTTACCCCCTTCTCGCTTCTCTCCCCTGGTAGCTAGCATAAATATGGCTTCGTTTGGACGCATTACGCGAGTAGTCTCCTAGTAACTTAGATCCCTATCAGGATCACGGCAAATGCTACGGTCGAGATCTATCGAAAGACTTAAAAACATATGCAAGGTGAGTAACGAGACAGGGTCAAGCTCATGTCATTGATTGGTTAAGACGATGAGCAGTGATCACAAATGCCGCAGTTTGTCCAGCCAGTTTAGAAGAATCCATCAAGGTAGTATGTTGCCAAGGAATTAGAATAGGGAACAGTTGGGATGTATGTGCATCTCCGCCGGTCCCGAGCGATCCGCTCATTGAATACTGCATGAATCAAGCTATTGAATGGAACAGGATGCATCTGGTTCTCCGATCTGGTCAAGCTGAGTGAGCATCCTGCATAGGCAGACAGTAAATCAGCCCTTCCTATCCAGCCTAATGGGGCCACCGATCGATAGCAGATGGCCCAACGGTTAGATCCGGATCTTTCCGGCGTATCAGCCCTATGACCACTGCATCCTCGCACACGCACTCCACAGCATCAAGGCAGGCCCACTCGACCAGAAAAGTTCCTCATAATGAGAGCATGGCCAACCGGTGATGCAGAAACGTGTCGAGGAATCGGTGTCACCATTCACCTAGACGACAGTAGTGGGTAGGGCTATCATGTCCGACTAGTGGCTGGGCAGCCATCCACCACGCATCCCCGACTATAATAAAGCATGTGAAATCCCACCAGCCCAATAACCTCATCATCCACGTGGGTATTTCAGCAGCAGTATCCGGCGGATTGCATGTGATTCTCGGTCCCTTCCGATCGGAATCGGCTCACGACCAGCCCGGCTGAACAGCTGACTCGGCAGCCCGGAGATTAGGGAGGGACTTGGCTGGTATGTGAGTATCCCACGCAGCATGTGGACTCCATCAGGAGACCGTCTGCTGTGGGAGCACCAATCAGCCTGATGGACAGACTAATTGGGCCAGGCTGAGTGCCAGCTGGCACCTTGGCAGCAATTGGTAAGCGACAGGTCAACATCGATTATCATAAGCAATCAATGTCATTCTTATCCAGGGAATGCATAAGTTGTGCACGGCACCATATCCAGGCACGTTTCAAATTTTCACCCCGGGGGGTGGCGGGTCTTGACTGCATGGCAACCCGATGGCTCCACCACTGATTCAGCGGATCCAGCCGGCTGCAACGATCCCGCTGCCATTGGCTCCCCCCGGCGGATGCCACCAGCGCTGACTCGCGCTCTCGCGATGCCCTAAACACAATTCACCATCCCCGAGCGGCTCTGCTTATGGCTACGGATGCCCCTGCCCGTCGCCATCCTGCACGATTTATGCATCTCGCTTATGCTGGCGGATTTTAAATATCTACCATGCGCCATCCTTTCCACGATCCGCATCGTCCCCTCATCATCCTCATCATCCATCATGCCCGACCTTGAGGAACAAGCCGAAAAGACCTCCGACCCCGTGGTCAGCGCCGGGTCCAGCACCACCACCGTGGCCCAGCTCTATCCCGAGACGGACCTCGATAAAGGCATCGTCGGCTGGGATGGTCAACTGGACCCGGCCAATCCGCAAAACTTTACCCAGAACAAGAAATGGATCCTCCTCGCGCTGATCAGCTCCTTCACCTTCATCTCGCCCCTGGCATCCAGCATGTTCTCCCCGGCCATCGGCTACATGGCCGCCGACTTTCACGTCACCAATGAGTCGCTCCTGTCCTTCAGCGTGACCATCTTCCTGCTCGGATACACCGTATGTCTATCCTCCCCCCTCCCCCTCTACATTCCCCACTAATCTTCCCAGTTCGGTCCCCTCGTCCTCGCCCCGCTCAGCGAAATCTACGGCCGTCGCATCATCTTCAGCTTCGCCAACTGGTTCTTCGTGGTCTGGCAACTTGGCTGCGCCCTGGCCCCCAACCTCACCAGTCTGATCATCTTCCGCCTCTTGGCCGGCGTCGGCGGCGTCGGCTGCGTAACCCTCGGCGCGGGCGTCATCGCCGACCTCTTCCCCATCCAACAACGCGGCATGGCCACCTCCATCTGGGCCCTGGGCCCCCTCATCGGCCCCGTCATCGGTCCCATCTGCGGCGGGTTCATCGGCGAAGAAATCGGCTGGCGCTGGGTCTTCTGGATCCTGCTGATCGCCAGCGGCGCCATCGCAGCCATGATCGAAGTGTTCAACCGGGAAACCTACGCCCCGGTCCTCATCCGATGGAAAACGCACCAACTGGCCAAAGACCTCCAGCGCGATGACCTCCGCAGCGCCTACGATCTCGCCCGCGGCACCACCACCACCGTCCCCACGGCCTCCCACGTCCTCCGCCAGGGTCTCCGGCGCCCGCTCATCCTCCTCGTCAAATCCCCCATCGTCCTCCTCCTCTCCGTCTACATGGCCGTCGTCTACGGCCTCCTCTACCTCTTCTTCACCACCATCACCTCCGTCTTCGAAGAAACCTACGGCTTCTCCACCGGTCTCTCCGGCCTCGCCTACCTCGGCATCGGCATCGGCTTCCTCGTCGGTCTCCTCCTCATCGCCCTCTCCAGCGATCGCATCGTCAAGAAACTCACCGCCCGCAACCACGGCACCTTCCTCCCGGAGATGCGTCTCCCCACCATGATCGTCTTCAGCTGTCTCCTCCCCATCAGCTTCTTCTGGTACGGCTGGTCCGCCAAATACCACGTCCACTGGATCGTCCCCATCCTCGGCATGATGCCCTTCGGCATCGGCATGATGGGCCTGTACATGCCCATCCAGACCTACGTGATTGACTGTTATCCGGCGTATGCGGCCAGTGCCAATGCCGCGTTGACGGCGTTGCGGAGTCTGGTCGGCGCGTTGTTGCCCTTGGCGGGTCCGAAGCTGTTTAGTAGTTTGGGGCTGGGGTGGGGGAATTCTTTGCTGGGGTTTCTGGCGTTGGCGTTTGTGCCGGTGCCGATCTTCTTTAATCGGTATGGACAGCGCATTCGGGAGAAGTATCCGGTGAATTTGGAGGGGTAGGATGGATGATGGTGACTGGAAAAAAAGTCGATTAGATGTATATATTGCGAGGGAGGGGTTATTTCTTTATACGATGGATTAATACTGTTGCTTTATGGTACTATACGGTCTCGTGTACAGCTCAGGCAAGTGTTCAATGTATACTTAATTCAAACAGCCTACATCTGTAAATTCTAGGTCACCTATCATCTAGATATATTAGAATCTAGATAATCTCTTTCCAGACCTCTTCCCTCAACGACTGAAGTAATGAGAAAGACACTATTCAGTTATGTTATAGGTAATAGAGAGATAATAAGAAAGCTGGGTTAGTGTTCTGATAGACGAATAGAAGTCTCAATGTGTGAACTTTCCTTCTCCCGGCTGACCAGTGTTTCAGTACTAGCACGCTTCGAAAGAGTATACTAGTTTTATATATCTAGTTGATGTAGTTGTGGTATAACCTCCATCCATCATCATCCATCCATCTACAGTACACACCCCATAAGCAATAATACACCAATCCAACACCCAACCCCCTCCCCAAACGAGCGAGGTATCACCCAACCTCAACCACCACCTCCCCCAACTCGACCCCCTTCACCACCCCCGGAAACCAGCGCACAAACTCCCTCGTAATCCCCCACCCCTCCCGGACCATAAACCTCTCCCGAAACTCCCCCCTCATCACCAACTCATTCCCCTCATCCCGCTCCAACACCGCCTCCCCCCACGGCCAACGGACCTTCAAACAACACGCCAGAAACCCAAACAAATCCTCCTTCGCCCCCGCATACGTCCCCCACTCCCGGATGAGCGTCACCCGGACCTCCGGCCAAACAATCAGATCGAGACAGGCCGGGTGCGGGATGGAGTGTTGTTCCGGGACCGGGTGCAGGAAGGTCGGGAGGAGAGCGAAGGTGGTGGGGGACGGGGCGAAGAGCCATTTCACGTAGTGGTAGCTGAGCCAGCCGAAGGCGAGACGTTCGGGGTCGCGGAGGGGGCGACGGAGGGAGGTCGTGTGGATGGCATGGGCGAGGGGGTTGGTGTGTGTGCCGTAGAGGAGGTCGAGGGGGTGCGGGGAGGGGGGGGAGGTGGTGATTAGGTGCGGGGGGAGGGTGAGCCAGGTGAGGGAGGGGGCGGAGGGGAGGTCGGAGTGCAGGGGGGGGAGAGACCAGAGGGATTCTGTGGGGGATGGGCTGGGGGTGATGTTCGGTTTTGATATGCTGGTTGTGGTGATGGTGGCGAGTTGTATCGGTGGTGGTGGTGGTGGTGGTGGTGATTCCCACGACTCGACAATCGCTTTCAACCCCTCTTGTCGCTTGCGAAGGATCTCATTCTGTCGCTGCAGTCCCTCAATCACCTGCAGTAGATGCTGCGTGCTGCTGTCGTCGTGGTAGCGTTCGCAATGCGCCACTTGCTCTTCTAGCTGCGTGATGTATTGCTGCTTCTTGTTGCGCAGGGTTTGTTGGGCGCGACGGTCGCGTAGACGTTTTTTCTCTGCTGAGGAGAGGCTGGAGTTGGACATGGTGTTGCTGGGTGGAATAGGGATGGATTGAGGTTGTCGATGGGATGCGATGGACCGTGGTGAGGTTATGCAGCGGAGATTGGCATAAGTTGTGCACGGCCGTGCGTGCGTGGTGGATGGATGGGCGTGGCAGTAGGATGCCTGTCGAGGACGGATGCTGTTCCACGTGGTGATCAGCACTGTGTCAGTATCGATGAGGGTTTCAATTGGAGAGAACATTGTGATAGAGTGTGGATGGTAATCAGTACACTTCGTTCTGGTCATCCTTGCAGTGCAATGGGGATGTACCATGCTGAGGCGGTCTGCAGCTGTGTCGATAGTATGATGCATATGGCTTGGTCTAGACGGTATACAGGTAGATGATGTTATCATTTGGAGTCTGTGAGATAACGAGAAATAATAGCAATCAAGTTGTAGATGTCAGATCAATAGCTAACGTAGTATGAGGGTCTGAGCCTGATCATGTCAGAATGTCTGCCAGGTCAGCAGTCTCAATTCCCTGCTCGGGTAAATGCATGGTTATTCAACATTACATCTGACTTTAGGGTCTGGATTAGATCGGTTACATGACAGCACACGTCTACACCAACACAACTACCAGCAGTTGCATGATCAATGGCATGATCGAAACTGTATCTCTTTATTCTTCAGTCTAGCCCTCGACCAGATCCACGGAACCTATTTCCACCGTGCCACCATGCCACATGCCCATGCCACCCTCGTAATCGTGACGGACGGATCCGAGCTACCCCCTCATACTCCGCCCTATCTATATCTTGCTACATCTAATCAATACCCCAACCCAATACCAACAACGACCTATACTCTACCTCCCCATCAACAACCCATTCCCCCCCCCCCCCCCCCACATCCGCATCCACATCAAAGCTAAGAAACGAAAAAAGAAAACAGAGTATGTCGCAAATCGCCATCATCGGCCTCGGCACCGTCGGGGCCTCCACAGCCCTATCCCTCATCCACCAACGCACCCCGGCCACCCTCCTCCTCGTAGACACCAAATCCACCCTCCGCGATGCACAGGCGCGCGATCTCGCTGACGCCGCTCTCATATCAATGACGAAGTCAATAAGAGCAATGGGTATGGGTATGTGGTTGGGGTGAGGGGGGAAGGGGAGGTTGTTCTGTGGTCGAGTGTATATGGGTCTGATGGTCGGGAAGATGGGGGGGTGGGTGTTGGGGTCCGGAAGCGGATTGAAGTGGAGAATGAGATCAAAGGGCGGAGTCGGGCGATTGTGCTGGGGAAAGGAAGGGCGGAGTGGGGGATCGGAGGGTCGTGAGGACGGTGAGTTGTTGGAGGGAGGAGTATGGGTGTTGTTTTGGGTGGCCGGTGGTGGTGGGGAGGGAGGGCGTCGTGGAGGAGGGGGGTAAGTGGAGTTGGGAGTGGGAGAGAGGGCAGGGTGGGAGCAGGGGGTGAAGGGATTGAAAGACGTGATTGGGAGGGTGAGGGAGAATGGGCTGTAGTAGATTGTTAGTCGAGTTGAGTGAGATGGATATGGTGGAATTAGGTATTGGTCAGGTTCATTCAGAGCAGAGGAAATTATTCATCCTGACTGTTTGGGAATATTTGGTAATACAGATACTGAATGATAGCATTAGTCCACTTGCATCACCGTCCTCTTCACCTTGACAAAACTGTCCGGAATCACCGAGATTGAATTAATCCCCACCTCCACCAAGAATCGTGCAAATTCTGGATGATCACTCGGTGCCTGTCCGCAGATGCCCACCTTGCACCCCGCCTTTTTGGCCTCGTGGATGACCTGCGCAATCAGGGTCTTGACTGCCTCATCCTGCTCTTCAAACAGATCTTGTCAACTCATCCGAGTCCCGGTCCACTCCCAACGTCAGCTGTGTCAAGTCATTCGACCCGATGGAGAACCCGTCGAAATACGCCGCGAACTCTTTGGCTAGGATGACATTCGACGGAATCTCGCACATCATGTACACCTGCAGGCCGTTCTTTCCCCGCTGCAATCCATTGTCCGCCATCACCTGCAGCACTCTCTTCGCCTCGTCCACCGTCCGACAGAACGGGATCATCACCACTGCATTGGTGAACCCCAGCTCCTCACACAATCGTCGGATGGCCCGACACTCCAGCGCAAAGCCCTCACGATACTTTGGCGAGTAATATCGCGACGCCCCGCGGAACCCGATCATCGGGTTCTCCTCCTTGGGCTCAAACTCCGCCCCGCCAATGAGACTGGCATACTCGTTCGTCTTGAAGTCGCTCATCCGGAGGATCGCCGGCTTAGGATAGACGGCCGCGCAGAGCGCTGCGAACCCGTGCGCCGCCAACTTGTCCACAAAGTAATCCGGCTTGTGCTCGTAGCCCGCTGTCAGTCGGGCAATCTCAGCCTTGGTTTTGGCATCCAGCCGGTCAAAATGCACCAGTGCCATCGGATGAACCTGGATGGCGTTGGTCACCACAAACTCCATCCGGGGCCAGTCCGGATCGGTCGTGGCCGTGACGAGAATGGAGCCGTCGACGAATTTGTCCATCTCGTGCGCGGACTCGATCAGGCAGAGGCGGCCAGACACAGCGGCATCGCCCACGGCCAGCCCGGTGGCCAACTTGCGGCCTTTCTTGCCGATCTGGTACGTTTTGAAAGCAGCGGTCGCGTCGCGACGCGAGTGCACGGTTTCCGGGCGGGCCTGGACGATGAACAACTCATTGGTGAGAACGTCCTTGGCCCATTCCATGTCCATGGGACAGCCGTAGTGTTTTTCGATCGTGCAAGCCCAGCGAGCCAGTTGCATTATCTCGGCGTCGGTGAGGACTAGGGCAGCACGCTCGGCCTTGGAGGTGGGCACGTTCCGGGTTGGTGTCTGACCATTGCCATAGATCATCTTGACGGACTTGTCGCCGCGTTTCTTGTCGATAATCGGGATAACACTCGAGACAGGAATGAGAGGCTTGAAGACCTGGTACTCATCCGGATCGACGGTGCCCTGGACGATGTTCTCACCCAGTCCCCAGGCTGCGTTGATGAGGACAATCTTGTCGAAGCCGGTCTCGGTGTCGATGGAGAACATCACCCCGGAGCCTCCAGTATCAGACCGGACCATGCGTTGCACGCCAACGGACAAGGCAATTTGAAGATGATCGAATCCTTTCGCTTGTCGATAACTGATGGCTCGGTCGGTGAAAAGCGACGCGTAGCACCGCCGACATGCATCCAGGAGGGCATCTTCGCCCACAATATTGAGGTAGGACTCTTGCTGCCCGGCGAAACGGGCGTCCGGGAGATCCTCTGCGGTCGCGCTGGATCGAACCGCGACGCTGAGGTTCTCGACACCTGCCGTGGCCGACAGCCGACGGTATGCGGAGCGGATGGCAGCCTCGACGTAGGGTGTCCAGTTGCCCCGGAGGAACAACTTGCGTATCGCTTGGCCGGTCTCAGCCAGATGAGCCTTTCCCGACTCCCAGTCCGCTATCAACCGGGCCATTTCCTCCCGGATGCCGTTGGTTTCGATGTAATGCCAGTAAGCCGTAGAGGTAGTTGCAAATCCCGAGGGTACTGCGACTCCTTTGGCCGAGAGGTTTCTAATCATCTCGCCCAGGGAGGAGATTTTGCCGCCAACGAGGGGGCCATCTTTTGCGTCCGATGTGCTCAAAGGCACGGACGAGGTGATGCTCAGAGATGCCATCCATTCTGCGTTCTGGGATAGTATAGAGAGGAGACATCAGGCTGTGCAGGTATCAAGAGAGATGGCGTTGTAGTATCCATGACAGCAAAGAGGCGCCCCTTCTATACATGACACATGCCTTCGACCGACCTCTGGGCCAAAGTAGATCCGCGCGGTCGGCCGAAGAAGAATCGACCTGGCCAGACTGAGGATCATACCATCTCAACATCGAACCTTGTCAGTGGAAACGAACAGCCTTTGAACCAAAATTCACACCCCTGGATTTCCGAAATGCAATTAAAGCTGTGGTTGCTTCTGCGATATAGAGTCGTATTTACTGTCCGCATCATGCCACCTCTGATCAGCTTGGACGTCAGGGGCTGGATATACGGGGTGGCCGAGTTTGACCCAAGGTCCAGCGCTCACGGGATTAAGGCGGGGAATCATGAGAAGGTCTGGACGGGGGCAATCTCCGCATATTTCAGTTAGATGGAATTTGTGGCATGACAGATGCCAGAGGCCCAGTATGTCATTGAGACGTTGATGTAGGTGATGGGGAAGGCGAGGCATCGGACGCGACGGCAACGCGAACAAAGGGTCAGGTGACCACTTTATCCCAAGGATGTTGGATGTGACAGATCATTTGTTGCAGCAACTATTGGCAATTCCATTGAAAATCACCCATCCCCGCTCTGCTCTAAAATGGGCACGTCAGTAGACAGAAGGCATTTAGGACACATTTACACAGTGGCCTAGGCTGGTCAACCTATTAAATTCACCTGGGAATGAAGTATCACAAATTGGTTGTCTCTGGAAACAGAAAGCTTTTTGATAACCCCCACAGCAAGAGTTGTGAGCTCAATCAGATTGTCTCATCCGCCATGCTATAGCACCTGAGCCACCTGACATATTGATTGAACGATCCTTTCCTGAGTTTCGGGCACAATGGAAGGCATTTCACAGTTCGTGATGTGTTTCTGTGGAAGTGTGCTTCAGTTTCTTCAGATTACTGACGGCAGTACGGAGTATATGGGTGAACGATTCCACCATCAGACGATACTTCGTGTTTCTTCCCGATATCCGTTCCAAACCAAATCTCTAGAAATAAGCAAGGGGACTTCCTTCACTTATCGTAATTAATCAAGAAGGGGTTCTATCATCAGGCCCTTCTAAAAATGGAAATGTAACTGTAGATCATCTCGGTCACATGACAGCGCGCTGCCTTCCGAATGTGGCAGGGATGAAGCTATTCGCAAGCTTACCCATCGATCTCGATCTAGGCCGGGTGTGCGGATTATTCTTAGAAGCAGTATTAGCTTAGAATCGATCCAATCTTGCGGATACCTAGCAAGGATAAGCGTGACATGATCTAATCTAACCCATAACGCTCATTACTCTAAGCCTACGAGGAAATATATTTCTCGCAAGCTAACACCTAGCCCAACGACACCTTAAAATATATACTTCCACCACCCCCAACAACAAACACAAAGCCATTCAAACACCAAACTCTACTCCGTAATCCCCCCCGGGTATATCTTCCCAGCCATCTCCTTGGCCCTCCCACATACCACTCCCCCCTCCATACCAACCAATATATTATCACCACATACCAATCCACCTTGGCAGATAGCAAAACATGGCATTCCTGCAGCACCACCCTCAGCTCCGATTGGCCCGGCCCGCCAGCTTATCTCCCGAATCATCTATACCTGCTCCGTACGGGACCCGACACCATGACGGTATGGATAGCCGCCAGACCTTCTATTGTTTAGGCATTCCAACCCGAGGTCCGGCGCGCGACAGCCGCTGACCCGATTAGTGCCTTGGTGCCTGGGGCAGATACCGGTATGTACAATACGGTAAGGTTACGAGTGGTACAGGTCCGATACAGGCTGTACGCTCATGACTGCATCCACTACCTCCGGGTCGTCGGGATCGCAGTCATTATCCTGGGTTGGGATGCTGTTGCTATCAATTGGGCATATTGGTGGTGCTCTACGTGTTTTGCTCAAGAAGTAGCGGTATTCTACACCACATTGCACATCCCGGTCGAGAAGAGTTCGCGAAGCTCACAATCCCAGTCGTATCCCTGCACCAGCTGCATGCTTAAATTAGGTGGGTTGGATTGGTTTGCAGCGACAGCGGCAGCGGTTCAAAGGAGAGCTGACCGGGTTACGTAATGCTGCAGGGCGGCTGAGATCATATCTCGATCACCGGGATGAATCGAGTTTAGTGCCAGAAGGAAAACCGAAGGGAAATAAACAATTCGGGGGGATGGAAAAGAGGGTAGGGAAAAAAGGGCGCAAATTACCCTCTCCCAGATCCAGGTATAAGTAGCAGACGGATGTCTTCATGGGAAGGAAGGCAGAAAGGGGGATGGGTGAGAAAAAAAAAAAATACCAGCCAGGGAGAGCAGTCAAGACAAGACAGGACAATTGACCTGTCGTGGGAAGGCACACGAACACAGGGATTAGCGCTGACGATGGTAAGAAATATTTTCGTCCGGTTTTTGGAAGCCCACGGGATGATGTCGTCGTCCTGGGTTGGGTCGGTGGCCACCCACACCCCCCTGAGCTGAGCCTGTCCCCCCCCCTTCTTCCCCCGAGAGACTCAATTTCTCTGATCTATCCAAAAGATATATAACCCGTGCACCACCCTCAGACATGGACAGGGCTTGGGGGCAAAAACGGAAGGGTGCAGCCTGGGTTGGTGACCGGGTTGAGGTGGACAGCGGTGACCGGACTAGCTCGAGGGAGCTACGCTACGGAGCACGGATCGTCGCGTTGCGACGGGGACGACGCCTCTCCGTCCCAGCCGGGATGTCCCAAAACGGCAGATACCCAAAGCGATGAGTCGGTGAGGCATTTCCCGAGGGGAGCGCCAGCAGCGAGCAGCGAGCAGCTCTCCTTCCAACCGACGAGGAACAAACCTGCTTGCGTCTCAGGTGGGAATTTTTTTGGCTCAGCAACTCCGGCGCTGGTGGAGCCGCATGCCCGATTCGGCCCGGTTTGATTGCGACCGAGAAGCTGGCCTCAAATTTAGCTGGCATTTGACCGCCGTGATTGGTTGCCCGACCACCGCCAAGTGGGGGGTGTACCACTCTATCGGACCCAGTTGGATGCAGGGACCCACCCGCACGTCTGGTTTTTTTGCGCTCTCCCGGCTTGGTTTGCACGGCCCCGGTGGAAAATTTTGCATACCGTAGCCGTCTCTCTGCCAGTTTCCGCTGAGAAAGGGAAGGAGGGAGGAGGGACAATTTATATGTAAGGAAGAATGAAGGGGCGTAGACCGGAATGTTTTGGGGGGGGAACAGGGTAAAAAATACACGGACTCGGGACTCCATCCTGGAAGGAAGTGAAGTGGATGCAGCAGGACCAGTTGAAGCCTCGGACTCGTGGGAGCCAGAACAGACCCTGAAACCATTGGCTGTACCAGGTGCAGCTCCCCTGGGGGGTGATCCCGAATGAACCCGAGGAGGACTCAAGGACAGGGAAATGGTGGTCTGTATGGGTGTAAGATAGGGATGGGGGACAATACCCAGGAACAATACGGTACGGACATGATACGGCAGGTAGTAGGGCTTCTGGTCCCAACAAAGCGCACTAACACCCGACGGGGGGGCTGGGTGGGAAAAGGGCAAAAAACCGCGAAAATTTAGCGGGAGAGTATTTATGTCCCGGGGGACCGTCCGTTGTCACTTTCCTCCAGCTTTTTCCTCCAGAAAAGTTCTTCCTTCCTTTTCCTCCCACTGCAAACCTCCCTTTCTCGTTGAGAAATCAATCCCCCAAAACAACCATCACAATGGCCTCCTCCCGTGTCTTCGCCTCTCGTCTGGCCTCCACCATGGCCGCGACCACCAAGGTCGCCCGCCCTGCCGCTCGCCTCCAGCTGGCTCCCAAGCGTACCTTCACCACCCAGCGCAAGGCCGTCCCCATGACCCCCTTCCAGACCGTCAAGCGCCAGTCTCCCTCCGGCCTCCTCCAGGCCAACGCCCGCCAGGTCTTCGCTGCCCAGCAGGCTCGCCGCCAGTACTCCTCTGAGATCGCCGACGCCATGGTCCAGGTCTCCCAGAACCTTGGTATGGGTTCCGCCGCCATCGGTCTCGGTGGTGCCGGTATCGGTATCGGTCTCGTCTTCGGTGCCCTCCTCCTGTCCGTCTCCCGCAACCCTGCTCTCCGCGGTCAGCTCTTCTCCTACGCCATTCTGGGCTTTGCCTTCGTTGAGGCCATTGGTCTGTTCGACCTGATGGTTGCCATGATGTGCAAGTACGTTTAAATTACGACCCGAGGGATGATTGCAGCTACGATATGAGTTTTCTCTCTCTCTCTCCGTCGATCTCGCTTCGATGAATCACATATTCGATGAATTGGCCCGATTTTGGAGGATTCAGGATACTTTATGTCTGGCTGTGATAGGAGGTAATCAATTGTGGTGGTCTTTTTATATATCATGTACTACTTTTCCCGTCATCATCTACAACCCATCAAATACACTGTACATATAGAGATTTAAAATGGCCACTAAACTCCACGGAGACTTGACTCGCCACCGTAGAATTCACTGCCAGAATCACTACAACCAACATGACACGAAGAATCTGACCCCAAAACCTGGGGTAGATGGATAGCCAGTGCTCGGTCCAGCTTCGATCTAAGCCAATGATCATACGATCACCTCACACGTCCAGGAAGCTATCCGGCAAGCTCAAGGTCTGAAGGGTGTGTAGCCAGACCGAAGGGAGCTTGATGCCAGCTGTCGAAAACGAAACGGTTGTCCCGGCGTCTCCGGGGGAGCTCCCTCCGTTCCACCATCCCTACCCAGCATCCTCCAAGGGGAAACCCCTACACAATCCTTACAAAAAGAAAGACAACTAACCAATTGATTCCTACAGACAATTATAATACAAAACATGTCTTAACCCCTACAGTAATCCTCCTACGGACCTGACCTTAATCCCCCTGCTTGAACCGCCATGGCAATTGCAATTCCAACAGTGGATCTAGCCAGCCAGCACCACGCCGATCAAATGTAAACGTCACCCACCACCACCGCCTCATCGGACCAGAATCTGATCCATCAATAGTAGTAATAAATTCAGACAGGCTTCGCGCCAAACTTTGCTTCGATTGTTCTGAAGGACGGAAGGAAATTTTTTTTTTCCTCTGGTTGCTACTGGTGCTGCTGGGATGCAGGTGCAGGGATCGGGATCGAGACCTGGACTCGACTGGCCAAGGTACCTACATAGCCGTACATGAAGAGCTGCCGTGAAACCCGGCGGAAGTTGGAACTAACGCCGCGCCAAGAGGTGCGTTGGATTCTTTGACCATCAGGCATCTTAAGAGGAGGGGATTGTACTATTAATTGGAGATGAAAGGAGATATTATATCTATAGGAATTGATTGTAGTAGAATGGTTACTTAGGTGAAGGAGGGAAATAGATGATGAATCATGGACTGGTTGTGATGGATGTGATCCATCGATCCGAGGAGGTCTGGGCGAGGGAGGGAGGGAGGGAGGGCTGGTATGGACACGGTATGGTATTACGCGGGTTACGCGCGTGGGCATGTGACCGGTATCGCTGCGACATGTGACCTCGGGTGAGTTGCCTGTCGGGGTTACGGTGTCGTCGAAGAGACAGGCAGGAAGGAAGGATATTGATTTCGTCGTGGGTTTATCTTCTACCGACAGTGTTTGTTATTGAGATAGATGCCTTCTGATATATACTTGCTTTAAGATCACATATAAATAGACAAGCCAACACCATGCGGCAATCCCATCCCATACCGTCTACCCGACATATATCCCTTCCCGACTCCCGATTCCACCCGATTGAATTCATCCGACATGCAGGCTGCTGTATACCATCGTAGACCAGACATACACCTCCCATCCCCGAGCATCCACACTGCATATCACCCTACTCTACCAAGCTAAACCCTTACCCCAAAGAAAAAGACCATGTCCCCCTCCCCAATCTACACCCCCCACGAAACCCCCTTCATCAAAAAGCGGCGCAACCGCCTCTCCACAACCCGCACCAAGCAGCTCGTCCGCGCCGCAGAACGCGCCTACAATGATCCCCCGCCGCCGCCGGGGCTGGGCGAATGCTGTGGGAGTTCGTGTGATCCGTGCGTGACGGATCTATGGAAGGAGGAGTTGACGGTTTGGCGCGAGCGGTGGGGGGAGGGGGCGGTGGAGGGGAATTCGAGTTCAAGTTCGAGTTCCTCGACGACGGAGGGGAAAGAAGGGTGTTGGAAGGAGAAGATGCCGGGGAGTTGGGAGTGGTGAGATGTTACCTATCTATCTAGGGTTTTATGTGGTAGTGGCTGGGGGAGGGTATGTGCTAAGGTGAGATTGGGGTCTTCAGATGAAACTACGGCTGCGGATGTGGATGCTGATTTGATGTAGGTCCCGTGAGCATTGCATTACTGTTAAAGTACTGGGGTGCAAGCTAAGAGCCGTGCTCTGAGGACGTCGTCAAGACGGTGAAGTCGATACTGGTGGAGCGCTGTCTATGCTCGGCTGATGCCGGTAGACTCACCAGCTGAATGATCTCCTGAATTGCGTCAGGAACAGCTTTATCCCTCTGATATAGCCTGCTAGCTCGTTTAAGAGTCTTGATCACGTCGGGATAGGACGAAGAGCAGACCACCCCATTCAAACACGAAAGCCTGGCAAGCTGCATTGAGCGACAGATTCTAATGGGCTCAGCGATACGATACGGCTAGCTCAAGACTGATGCATCTACGCCATTAGCAGAGATAGCACCTTGAAATGACTCGAAAGATGTGTTCATTCTCTTATTATTACAATACAACCTCCACATGTCATCCTGCTATCTGTTCCATTAAGCCACATTGACCTCACTCCCAACCGGCACTCTCGCCTCATACTCCAACACCAAACGAACCTCCTTCCCAGCCTCCAATTTCATCACCCACTTAATCTCTCCATTCACTCCCAGCTTCGCAGTCCCCTTTCCTTGCTTCTCCAGCGGCAACGCCACCTCATCGCCCGAAACATTCAGCCCCTTAGGCTCCCTAATCTGCACCCGGAACCGCTCATCCTCACTAACAGGCACCTGATCCATGACCGTGATATCCACCGCATTGCTCCTGGTGTTCTTCACCAGACACGTGCGTCGGAACACCGCCGCATCCTCTTTATTGAAGAAGCCACCCGTCACCGGTCTGACCGTGGGTTTTCCATACGTCACCTGGATAGATGGATCCACGCCCAGGGAGAGCGTGAACGAGTCGTTCGGCGCGCAGCTCGGCACTTGGGCTGTACCCAGGAATGTTCCGTCGATGGTCATGCCGACTTTGCCGCGCAGGATGCTGACAGACGAGGTATTCTTGATTTCGGCACGCAGAAACGCTGCAGCACGGTGCTTGGGCACGATAACGTAGGCGAGGGACACAGATCTGAGGTCCAGTTCTGCCAGGACATGGCGACGGGGTACGCTGGAGGGTGCGAGGGTGCGACGACCGGGTAGTTCATATGTGGTGGTGAGGCCGTAGTCTTGTTTGACAGAGTCTTGCACTTCGAGGCTGGGGATGGCGAGTTCCTCTGTATTGGTACTCTCGTCTTCTGGCTCCGACTGCGGTGCTTCTAGACTGGTCGAAGCGAGCAAGATCGGTTCTGCAGCTGGGGCAGCACTAAAGAGGGATGCTGGAGTCGGACGGCTAGCAAAGAGTGATACCGGTGCTGCCATCGCTGGCGGTCCAGTGCTCTCGGGTGCAGAAGATTGAGACAAGCCGCCAAATAGAGCTCCCGTTGTCGGCCCAGATGGATTGGCGGGCTGTCCAAACGCACTGGATGTGGCCGGTTGTCCGAACGCAGGTGGAGCTGTTTGAGTCGGTGCTTGACCGAACAGTGGCTTCGAGCGGGCCTGCTGCTCCAAACCCTTCAAATGGTCTTTCCAGACCTGTTGGTTCGACTTGGGTGCAACAGACCTTTCCTCTGACGCGCTGCGCAGGATCTTATCCCACGATGGCTGATCTTTGCTACCCTTGTCCGTGGAGTCAACGATCAGATTCCACGCCTGCAACGAGGGAATCCGTTCTCCAAGCCCCGAGAACAACGCCTGCGAAGTCGACAGCGTGACCTTAGCATCACGCCAGGTCTCCGAGCTAACATTATGAAACTGAGCCCGATAGACCATCTTCGCTGACGACGACGGCGTATTGATATTGAGATCATAGCGGGGCGACCACGACGACCCAGACACCACATAACTCAACCGCAGCCTCACCTCCCTGTCCTCCGTAATCGGGGGCTTTTCACAAAGCGAGCTCCGACTCGAAGCAGGGGGCACAACCCCATCCTGTCCATCCAGATGCACAACGACCTGACCAACCGTAGAGGTCCTAAACTTCCTCTTCTCCGCCCTCTCCCTCTCCCTCCTCTCCTTCTTCTCCCTCCACTCCCTCATCTTCCTCTGCCTCTCCTTATTCACCTCCTTCAACTTCCGATCCCTCTCTTTCCGCGCCTTCTCCTCCAACTTCGCGCACTTCTTCATCCACAACTCCCCCTTCTCCACCGCCTGTTTCATATCCATCCCCGCCTGGGCATGAACACACGCTTGATCCCGTCGCCGAGATTCATATCGACTCAAATACTCATCCAACTTGTTCACATCCAGTGTATGCCACACGACGCGCAGATTCGTGCTCTGTCGATCCAGGAAATTAATCACCGACGCGGCCGTCTCCTGCGTACATTGTGCCCGGGCATATCCTTCTTCCGCTTGGGCTACCTTTTCCCGTGCGATCTGGAGAGCATGCGACACGACGATCTCCTCTTCGTCGGGGGAGTCATCGAATTCATCATCGTCATCATCATCATCATCATCGGAATCAGAGAGAGCATCACGCCGCTTCACAAACTCGGTCTGAATATCCGTGACAGTTGCGGGCCCGGATCCTTCGATGCGGATGGACTCAATGTCGACGCTGCGGTCGAGGCCGTGGATGGTGATTTCATTCGGGCCGGGCTGATTCTCATTAGCTGCCTACCTGTCAAAATAGAGAAAAAGATAACCATACCTGCACAGAAACAGGAATATCACGCGTGACCGTCACCCGAGACGGATGAAAGGTAACCGCCGTGGTCGACAGCTCCGCGAGAGTGATTTCAGTCTGTGAGATATCCGCCATTTTGATAGATATAATTCCTTATCAAGATGGTTTACAGGGAAAAGAGATGATGAGCAGGCATCCTAGCCAGGGAATGGACTCCAATAAATATCCGATCGTGGCCAAGCAGTCAGTGACGTACTGTGCAACCATCCAGGCAGCTGCCTGTGTCCGTGGCATCTGATTGGTGCGTTCTGAAACATGAGGTGGTGATCGGGCGCCATCCGGCCGGAGGGAGGCTGTGTCCGGGGAGGAGGGCGCTCATTGGCTGTGAGGAGGTTCTGGTGTGGATGGCTGGGTGAGTCACTGCTGGAGGTACTTGGAGGGTCCGGGTTAGGGCTGTCACTGTCACCAGCAATGGTGCTGGTGGTGAATGTATGCAAGACTCTGCTGAATCCTGTGAAGCAGAAGGAACAGCATTTCAGCCGCCAGCTGACTTCAGTTGATCCTGCGGGAGTCACCAGGGATGTGGAAATTCTGACCAATCAGAGTTAAGGTAGCCGGAAGTCTAAATGGTTAAGGTTTTACCAATGGGAATGGGCCAGGTGGGTGGTCCTTATATGCTCGTTCTCAGGGATTTTATGCAGTAGGAAAGTATCATGGAATAGATGGAAATGCATAGTTCGGCTTGTGAAGTAGTGTCACTGGGCTAGTGATTAGGTGGCGCTGGGTCGGCAGTTTCCTCAGTTGTAGTAGCTCAAGGTACCGAGAATTATTGGGGTATCTTTTGTTTTTTTCTTTATCAAATTTTATCATCATTATTTTCCACTGTATCGGAGTTTATCGGGGCTAGACTGCTACTACTGATTCGTCTCGTAAGATGGAGAAGTTGGTGCATTCGGAGGATATCCTCCGGGGAAGGATGTCGATAGACAACGGAGTTGAATCGTTCCCAAGTAGTTGCATTACTGTGCTCAAATATATCGATTCTGGCTCTAGCAACCGGATACTATCATTTGTACTATATAGAAAGCAGCTCCCGTTCTAAGGGATGAAGAGATGGGGCATGGTTGACCCAAGGTGGAAAACGTGCTGTCGAAGAATATATATATTGACACTTATTCGCAAGTTATCGAGTCAATATCTGCTGAACAAAAGTCTATCAAATAGCGAATACTCCAGACTATTACCACAATGGGGATATGATAGTGGTGGTGATAATACGAGAAAGTAAATGATCAAAGCAAAGCTTCACTACTGTTGTTCTTGTCTTGGAGTACACGGAACCTTTTTCTATTGCCACTTGTACGATGATTATGATAAGATGCTGATATCAACAAGGTCTATTATGTGGAGAGAGATATTAAAACCGTAGTACTGGAAGGATGAACTATCTATACTTTATCATGTCACGTAGCTAACAGGCGAGTGCCAGGAAGGCTTTGGTTAGAATCATGATCTTGTGGAATGTATAGGTAGAGAACCGGCAAAGCTTACAAAGCCGTATGTATTCCTACGTGCTGTACGTTCATAAAGACAAGACACTAATCAAGCAAGCATATCAATTAGGGCTATGTACCAAGGAGAGACATTGAAGCTATAAACAGGTTCAAGGAAGCCGCAAAACAACATCACAATCAAGCAAAGAGGTGACTAGGCCAATCAAGCAGAGCTAGACATCCCGCCACTATACACCGCAAAGTGTGGAGTGCTGAGTATTCCATGTTAGCACTAGACAGATCCCACTGGAGACATACACACCACTTAGTGCTCAATGCCGCTGGCCTCAAAGTTCTGGCCAGAGCCACCGGACTGGCTGCCCCAGTTGCCACCGCTCTGGCTGTGGGAGGTCGCCTGGAAGTGGCTGTTGGAGGAGTGGTCGCTGGTGACGCTCGCGTCCTGCTCGGAGCCACCGGCACCGCCAGCGTTCTGGTAGTGGCTACCAGCGCTGCCAGACTGCTGGCCAGCCACGGTAGGAACTTCAGGCACGACGATGACGTCGGGGTAGCCGCGCTTGTACGCGTGGGCGATGCCTTCTGTGAAGAGTCAGCTAAGGTGAACGGTGGTTCACTGGTATTTGATGCTTACCAGCAACACCGCTCACGACCCGAGGAGCGCCCTCAGAAGCATACTGAGCCGCGGGGGCATTGGCAGCGTTCGGTGCATTGGGAGCGTTGGGAGCATTGGGGGCGTTGGGAGCATTGGGGGTGTTCGGGGTGTTGGGGGTCTCAGGGGTCTGAGGAGTCTGAGGCGTCTGGGGAGTTTGAGGGGTCTGGGGGGTGTAGGCCACCTCGCCGCCGTAACCTGTGATGACTTAGTACTGAAGATTCTTGAAGGGGACGAACAGACGTACCGGCAGTAGGAGCAGCCACAACGAAGCCGGTGAGGGCAAGGAAGGAGAGAACAGCAAAGGCCTTCATTTTGATGGTTGAGAAGAAGCGGGCTTGAAGCTGGAAGCTTGGATTGTGAGAGGCTGAAGAGACTTGAAGAGAGAAGCTTGTTGATGCTGATGAAAAAGAGATGTTGGGGGCCGATTGGAGGCCTCTTTATAGCTTCGCGAGGCCATACTCCCAAGGTCCGCGGCAGATTCTGGCGAAGGTCAACACGTTGGGCATCGGATGGCGATGAGTTCACCGATTCTTGCGAATATTGGTAGAGTTCATGGTACCGAGACAATAATCATCATCGGAGGTGCGGAGTTAAGCCAATAATTGGATTGGATGCATGGCTGCTGCAGGGTCCCGATGGGCTGCCCCGGATTCTGTCTGGCCATCGGATCTGTACTCCACCGGGATGACCTGTCAGTTTGATGTAGGCTGTGCCATCCATTATTGGCAGGATTGTCATGCAACCCCGGATCTCGGCTCACCGATCGAGGATCTGGCATGCAAGGGATGCAGCCACATCGAATGCTCGGCCCAGATTGCGCTTTTAAGATACTTACAGAATGTCCATCATACTCCTGATGATGCCTGTAGCAGGCTGTAGAAATCCATACGAGATGATCACTTGCAAGGGTTCTGTAGTAAGACCGTCAAAAGAATACAATATAATATGAATTCGAACATTCGTTCTAGCTGCTTTACCAAATTGGACTACATCAATGAGGAACTTCCAGCATACATGTAACTTGATCGGGAGCCTTGTGCTGATCACCGCCACTTCCAGCAATCCATTCACCATCTGATATGTCATACCCTCACGTAACAGAATGCCAGTGAACCACGGCATAGACGGCAGGTATATACTTCAGATGCTGGTTATGCGCCACTCAATCGATGCATTGAGCTGATGCAGGGACAATGCAATATCGCTGCACTCCACGGTGGTTACGCTATTTCTGTCACTGATCGTCAGATGTTACACACTTCTCGGATATTCGGCCTGCTAATGTACACAATGGTAGATCAGAATCATGACTCTAGCTCTACGCACAAGGCATCAGCGCGGGTGGCGCGGTACCAACGAATATCAATAAGCTTTTCTACCCAACAAGCGTGACAAATTGCCTGCATCTTCTATTTGTACAAGATATCTAGTGTCAGACAATGGAAAGCGTCCTGAGCAGATCCTTCCAGGATTGGCATGAAATCCCATAACATCCTCTTCTCAAGAAGTTATTGTCCACTTCCTGACCTCGGCCTAGCATCTCGAATTCGAGTTCTTAGTGCGAGATGATGGCAATGAATAACGGTGCGTACGTACCTGTCTGCATCATTTTCTGATAATTGATCAAATAGGAGGAGGCCAATCGGAGCGTGTAATCCTAGGCCCTGATATTGTCAGTACTTGCATCTCTTACTCAGCCCATGAGCACCAACTGGTCTCTTCAAATTCCGGTTCTGTATTAGATCTGTTAGCATCTCCGATATATTGCCGAGTCATGGACATACCGGGATCGGCGTTGCGAGGATGAACGCCACCCTCGGACGCTTCAGTCACCCCGATTCGCGGCCCTGTTGAGATATTAGAGTGCTGTCTCACCTCTGCGGTCGGTGGCTACATACTGGACCCATCAACGTGAGGCTCTTCGCTGTTGTCAGTACTTCACTACCTCGTCATCAACTCAATGAGGGCACATACGGGGATCGAACTGGGGAGGGGGATGAGAATCCCCAACGTTCATCGGGGTGTCTGGATGGTCAGTTCTGATCTCACTGACTCAGATCTACTACATACCGAGAACAGCATCACGACGAGAATGTGCAGAGACCTTGATCCGAGCGTCTTGTCGATGTCAGTATTTTCGGAGGTCGCTGCTCGGGTACAGTACATACCGTCATGGGGAGTAGCAATCGCTATGGATGCACCAAGGAGACAGAGAACGGCAGCAAGCTTCATCGTGATCAAGTCAGATGTACCGAGTGGTGAAGGTGATACAGAGGGTTCTGGAAGGTGAGATTCTCTTGCATTTATTCTTTCCATGACATTCTCCGGGCCTGAGGATCGATTCTGACGCCTCAATGCGGTGAATCTCACCTAAGGCAAGACCGAGTATCAGCGATGTGATCAACCGCTACATGTCTGAATGTGGTGAATGGATCTCGAATGATGATAGAGCATCTCCAAATGTCACTATCCGTGCCCAATAATTGACGCCTCGGCTGAATGGATCGGTGATTATGTCGGTGTTTGACAGCTACCCACTGATCAACATATTGGCGGCCTGACATGACTTGTTCTGATTATTCTACGGATATGTGGTGTTGAATGTAATATAGTCTTAGAAGGCAGCCATTATAGATTGCCTGATACTGTCATCATCCACTTTGCGACTTGTCACCACTGCAATGAGTCATGTCAACCGACGAGTCGAGTCCGGATAAATAGCCACAATCGAGATCAACTCGGAGCCCCTGAGTATCCAACGGGATGTACTCTGTACTTCGGCAAGTAGTTCGTTATTTCCGCGGAATGCCACCACTACTACCGCCACCACCACCAACTGCCATGGTCCCGACGTATACCCGAAGCCACATCCCAACAACCCTATCCTCAACAACTCCTACCCAACGTGGATTCTACTCGCGTGGCTTGGCTGCTGACTCCATAGATTAACAATAAAGTACTTCATAATAGCACCACTTATCGAACATTAACCTAATAGACTATGACATGACATCCCTTGACAAACCCTACACAACCAACCACACCCCCCAACCCAACTCCTTCACTTAACCCTCTTCCTCAAAAAATCCGCCTCAATCCACACCTCCTCCTCCCCCTCCCCCAGACCCCGATACTTATACCTCGGCTCGGTCTTCCACCTCACATACCCCAACCTCTCATACCACAACACGACCGGAAACCCCTTCTCCCCCCGAATCCTCTCCATAAACGCCCTCTTCCCCTCATCCACGAAATACTCCTTACTCGTCGTATTCACCGTAAGATACTCACCCCCCGGACTCCCATACGGCTCTGTCGTTGCCAATGCCTCCACCAAGGCCATTGCCTGTCGTCCGACCCCACCGGCTCGATACTCCGGCAGAATAAAGAATGTCTGGATAGTTAGGATAGAGCGATCGGGACGTGCGAGTTCCGGGTCAGGTGGATCGGCGTAGGAGTCTAGGGAGATGTGGCCGGCACGGATGGGGTCAGATTCAGCATCGGGGTTGGGGATGGTGATCCAGAAAAAGGACTTTAGGCCGGCGGATTGCTTTTCGCGCCAGGAGAGGAGGGCCTCGGAGGAGAAGTCCCATCCGCAGACGGTGCGTTGGTGTTGGAGGTGCGTGAATTCGGGGGGGTGGTGGAGGTTGATGGGGGTTAGGGTGGTCATTTTGTTTTCTTCTTTCTTTCTTGCTTGATATCCCTGGAAGTAGGGGGTTTATTGGAGGGGAAGGGTTGAGTATGTATGTATGTATAAGTGAATGTATATGGGGAATGGAAATTTCTATAGAAGATCTATGAAGTGGATATTTCGCTTACAGGGTTGACATGGGTTTAATGGGTTTTATAGGGCAGGATATGGTTGGATGTGAGTCATGCACTAGACTACTTCGTGTTAGTTTCGGGAATTGTCTCAGATCCCCACTAGGCAGTCACGAAGATAAGATTGGAGTCCGAGCTAATCGGATGGCCTACATAGCGGTGGTGCTCCACTTGTCTTGCTGCTGTCAAGAAAGGGTCTGGCTCAATATATCCAGCTCAAGTGATTGCCCTAAGACCAAACAATAATGGCTCAAGAATGGGGCAAAGATTTAAACCACGCACTCAAGGTAATCTCGCTAACCAAAAGCAGCAAAGTAGCACCCGCTAAAAAAGCAAGCAAACAAAAATAATCATACATCTCAAAAGATGACAAGCCAGGTGCAAGTCAATACTCGGCTCCATGCTCCCGAAGAAGCAACCGAATAGGAAAACTCTCCGCCAGACGCAAAAGCCTTCTGCCCGTGTCCAATTGCGGACTCGCATCCGCGCCATGTCTCAGCAAGGCCACAACAACCTGAAAATGATTATTGCGAACGGCACCGTGCAGAGCAGTCCAACCAAAGCGCGTCCGCATGTTAGGGTCCGCGCCCTGCTGTAAGAGGTTTCGGACCTGGTGGAGGTGTCCGGCGGTGGCTGCGCGATAGAGGGGAAATTCACCTTGCAGATCAAGGATATTGAGATCGCATGGGAAGCGCGGAGGGAGGGGTGGTTTGCGCAGCTGGTACTCTTTGAGGAGGCTTTGGAGTTGGATGATCTCGTCGCGAAGTCGGTTGCACTCGGTTGTTGATTCTTCGAGTTGGATGTTCAGGGTGTCCTGAAGGTCGGATAGGCGCTTCTCCATGGCGGACTTTTCTGCATTGAAGGTTTGCTGCTGTTTGGACAGTTCCTGCTGTGTTTCAGCAAGCTTCGTTCCCATTCTTGCTAGCTGTCGCGCCGTTTCATCGGGCTGGTATTGCTCGTGGAATCTTTTCAGGGCGCGGGCAACCTCCTGTTTGTTCTGAACAAGAGCGTCCTTCTGGATATCGGAGATCCGCTGGGTAAGGGATGCCTTTTCCAGCTCAGACTCCTCTTTCGATTTGCGCAGCTGCTCTTTTGCGTCTCGAAGGGCGTCACGGGTGCTTTCCAGTTCTTGTGTTGTTTTCTCCAGTTGGTGTACATGGTGGAGTTGCTGCAGGACACTCTCCTCTTCTCTTTGTCGTCGTAGATCTGCCTCTCGTTGAAGATCGGATAACTGTCGTTCAAGGGCTGCTTTCTCTACCTGAAAGTCCTCGCGCAACCTTGCCAGATGCTCGGTCGCGTTTGAAAGCTCGTCTCGCGTGGTGGCCAACTGTTGCTTCGTTCCTTGGAGTTCTCTGACTGCCTGAGTCTTCTCCTCGTCTTTCTCATGCAAGACATTTTGCATGTCATGTTGGGCTTGAACGAGCTTCTTGATCTGCGCATCCTTTTCGCTTAGGACACCCTCCATTTGGGCCTTCTCACGGCGGCTTTCTTCCACTTGCTGTTGAGTCTGAGCCAGCCCGTTCTCCAGTGTCCTGCATTTTTCATCCGTTCGACGAAGATCCTCTTCCATTTGGTGTCGAGTTTGGGTGAATTCCTCTTCCAGCGTTTTCTTCTCATCCTGCTTACGAAGACTGTCCTTCAACTGGTCTCGCATTCGAGCAAGCTCCTCCTCCAGCTTCCTCTTCTGTGCGCCCAGAATTGGAGTAAAGGCTCCCGTCTCCTCTAACGGCCAGCCCCGATCAACCATCTCCTCCTGAATATTCAACCAAACGGTCTCATTGCGCTGGAGGAAATGCTCAACAGGCGCAAGTGCCGTGTCCCGTCCGTCGTCGGAATCAAAGACTTCACAGCCTCCCTCTATTAATGGCTTCCAGAAACGTGGATTTGCCATTAACTCATTCTTGTATGCGCGATAGTCCTCTATCGTATCCTCCCCGTCATTCGAAACATCCCAGAATGTGGTGGTGAGTGCGAGGGTAGAAAGTGCTGAGTCGCCACACATTTTTCGGATAACGGTGAGGTTGTTGATTGCAGAATCGGACATGTGGCATGTAGAGATATTGTGGAGATAGATGATGCCGTTGAGACGGATTTGGTGTGTGATGAGGTAGTCGGTGATTTGCTTGAGGATGGCTTCGTCGGGGCATGTTGGGTTGGGGTTGTTGAATCCGGGGGTGTCGATCATGTGAATTGTTCGGTTTTGGTGCGTGAATGGGACTGAGGCTACGGTCTGGGTATCTGAGATATATTAGATGGGGCTGAGATGCGTGCGAGATGACTGACCTAGCTTGAAGTTGGTGACAGCATTCGGTCCACCTGTGCAGGTGTGGATATACGAGGTTTTGCCGGATCCTTTGAGGCCGAGAACGAGGATGTAAAGAGGTGGTTCTGCCATGTTGTGGAGTTGACGATCACGGTGGCAATGAGTGTGCAGATAGGAGTTAGAGAATGGGGTGGCTATGAGAGAGAGGGTGTGAATATAAGACGACACAACACTATCGACAATCATATACTCACATCAGATACCCAACCACCAAGTCATGACAATTCAGACTGCGCCTGGGCAATCAACCCAACTCAGCCGAGGAAAACCCCGAGGAGAACCCCGAGGAGCACCCAGATCGACCGATCTCAGGACAGCGGGCGCGGCAACCGAGCATCAGCCACTGGCAGCTGAATGTGGTTTCATGATCCCTGCACGCCTTATGCAGCTGTCGACGCATTGGCCAATGAGGGTGCCAGCAAGGCAACCGCAGATGCTGCCTGGGCGTGCATGCAAGGCTTGCATCAGACCATTGGGGGCTAAAGATACATATGAACGCACCAGACAAAGAGACAGGTGTCACAAGGCTTAACAGTGTCATGCCCAATTGTTCTGCTCGCGATGACTAGGTGGATGGTGTTATTGTATAGCCACGCGGCTGTACTTCGATGGATCATCGGAGAAGTTACCAGCCACTATTTAGTGTTGTGGGCACGATATCTGTTTGCATGAATCCATCACTAAGTGACATCAAAGTAGCAACTCTGACAGAAACCACTGGGATAAGGTACCCTAGTTACATCACACAGAATCTGACCGGCTGGTTGTTCTGTGTAGTGCGAAACGCAATTCATGTGAGACATCTTAGCTCTGCTGATCGGTCCACTTACAGACATCGTACCCACCTACGATCGACTGTCAATGCGAGGTGGCGTATGAAGAGTCACTTTATGAGGGCAGTGCACACTTTGCTTTTGGAGCATCGAGTCTCTGGATGATCCGGTACACGCCCAGGCATAACGTGGCTCACTGCAGTGCCTAACTGAGGCGAAGACAAGGTACTATAATAAAAGATCTAACAATAGAGCACTGATAAAAAAGGATGGATTTTAAATTGCATATAATCCCTCTAGCATGTTCGATCACCAGCAAACCACAGACACCCTTCCAGCCCTAATTCTATCCAAACCAGCCGACAACCCTAATGGAATGCTTGCCTCAGCACATTTTCAATATCCCATCACCAGCCTCCATGACCGCGGTCTTCATCTCTCCACCTTGAGCCGATCCACCAGCCGGGTCTGGATGCAACCGAGAATAAGTCTCACTGCTCAACATGGTTGTTCCCACCGAATGAACACAATATCCTATAATGCAAGCCACAATAAGATCAACCCAGTGCATGAGGTCTCCACACCTGGACGTCGTATGAACCCGTCGTATGCGGGAAAATCCTCAATCCCTTAGCCACATTGCCCCTCTAATTTCCCGAGTCGTAGTTAGCCGTTATCTCGCCATATGTCATCAATATCGCATCAGAATCTCAAAATTTCTTCCACCTCATACCCCAACACCATGATGCATCCATTCTAAAGGAATCCCATGTATCCCTTTGAACGAGCCTTTCACTTCATCTCATCCTATTCTTACCCCCACCCCCAACCAAGAATCCACCCAAAGCAAAAGGCAACCCCATCCTCGCTCATCCCTCGATATCCGCAAGCCGGAGCATGGAATGCACTCATAGTGTCTCCGTCCATGAGTGTTCCCTGGGATTGAAGCAGATATATACATATATAACGGTTTCAATCCCACCTGGATCTCTTCCTGCTCGGGCTATACCATCATCCCATGATCAGATTCATGATGACTGATTGACAACAGTCGGTGTGATAGATATCTATTACACCCACTTTGGTCCCAACGCTGTATACCCCACCGCATCAGGAAGCCCATCAACCGATACATTCAGGGAGGGCGAGACGAGAAGACGGGGTTAATCTTGAAGTTCGGTGGGAAGGAACACATCAGCTTGCCTGGCTGGATTCAGTTGTGGATGGGGAGTTGATGCAGGATTATCAGGAGGATGTATATGATGATACTAAAGGGGAACGAGAGTTGTAGTGTTGTAAGCTCCAATGTTGGTATATATATACCCTCATGCTCATGCTCGGGGCAGTTTCAGAGACGAGCTTTGAGGGGTTTCATGCTGGATTCGACAAAGAAGTTCTGATGCACTGCATTGATACTGACTTTCAAATGTTGCATGCAAGGGCGAGATGGATGGTATGGTATGTCAGGGGGAGACGTGTTTAGGGTGCTATCACAAGTGGTATACTGGTCATGAATAGGATTAATGGTGTTGATGTATGGTGAGTGTCTTTCAATGGTGTATGCTTGGAGATGGAGGATTAAGTCGCAGATATGGAGTCCATGTGGCTGGGTGATACTCCTGGAATGCTGAATGGTTCAGTGTGTGAGAAGGGGTTATGTTGCTGTAACCTGATGTTTATCCTTCGGGTTCTTGGAGTTGGGAAGACGTAAGAATAGGATTGTGGTATATATGTTTACCTCATCGGATGTCCCGTTGGATAATTGCATGAGGGAGTAGTCGAGTGATCTGACTACTGAAGAAGGAACATAAGATGGGTTTAGGGGGGTTTTATATGCTCGTAAGCAGCTGTCTGACTCTGCTTGGGAAGGGAGCATCCGATTCTGAGTAGGTATATTCCACGCGCATGTAGGAAGATGTCGTCGATTCTCCCTCTACAGTCTAGGCTAGCTCCGGGGTGAGGTTATTTACCTGGTATCGCCTATAGTTCTCAGCCGATGCCCTAGATATTGATGCACGACTCCCTGTGGACGTGGAAGGTACCTAGGCATCTGTAATTAGCATTTTGATGTTTCTACTTCCTCTCAGATAACACTACAATGAATACTGCTCGCTCTACATCCTAGTCATTCTAACCTATATGAAAGAGTACTCAAATGCGGGGTATACCCGGTCGGCTAATTGATCGCGGCGGATGTGTCTATTGCCGACACGCAATATGTAAGTACCCAAACGACACCTCAACCTGACATCTAAACCAACACACCATGTCAGATAATCAAGACCCCCGAAATACGCCTACCTCGTCGGGGTAGGGGTAACCCACTCCATCGCCCCCCCGATGCACAACTACTCCTTCCACGCAATCAACTACGACTGGACATTCATCGCCCAGGAATGTCCCACCATCGAAGACGCAATGGCCCTCTTCCGCCAGCCCACCTTCGCCGGGGGTGTGGTGACCATGCCGTACAAACGCACCATCATGGATCATCTCGACGGATTGGATGAATACGCTACGCGGTTACAGGCGTGCAATAACGTCTACCGAGCAGCGGATGGATCGCTCCGAGGAACGAATACCGATTGGCGAGGGATCGAAGGCTGTCTACTCGGGGCGAGTGAAGAGGGACGAAACCGACCGGCGGTGATTGTGGGGGCTGGGGGGGGGCGTGTCGTGCGGCGGTGTTTACGTTGCATGTTCAGCTAGGGTGTAGCCCTATTTATGTGGTTAATCGGGATCGAGAGGAGGTGGGTGCGCTGGTGGAAGACGTCGCCAAGGAGTATCGCACCCTTGAGATGGTCCATGTGGAGCGTGCAGAGGAGGTTACTGATCTGTCAGTGCCGTTTTATATCGTGGGAACTGTTCCGGATGCTGCGCCTAGTACCCCGGCAGAGGTGGAAGTGCATCGGATCGTGGATACCTTTCTCTCCAATCCCACCAAAGGTGTCCTCCTGGATATGTGCTTCAAGCCAAGAAAGACGCGCTTCCTCCAGGCAGCCCAGAACCACGGCTGGACGACAGTAGAAGGCACCGAGGTGATCGGCCACCAGATGCTGGAGCAGTATCGCCTCTGGTGCGGGGAAGAAGCCAGCCGGAAGATTCCCGTGGAGGGGGCCTGGTCCCTGCTGCGCCAGGGGGCCCAAGACAGTCCAGCCATTAATTTTTGAGGGACAGTGGGCCTGACGTGTGTATTGCCAATGATATATAATAATCGTATTCCTCTCCCTTAGTTGCAGAACAGTAGGAATCTCAACATGCCATTCCAACCAGCCATTGCCTCCATGTCCGTCGGCCGGGCCCGGGGCATCCGTTCCATGGGGATGGGCAGCCGGCGAGGATGAATTGGAGTTGTTCTCGAGGACGATGGCGGATTCGGATCTCATGGTTCCACAGATGCATGCGTGTTGGGGTGTGCAGGCGTGGAAACGGTTGGTTCGGGAGCTGGATCTGGAGGGCTGGTATGATTATGGTTTGGACAGGGTGCAGTTGGAGGTCGGGATTAAGTTCCAACATCGAACCTAGGTTGTTGGTGGAAGATGTGACTACCAATGAAGTAGATGGGCTTTATGATCGGACATGTATCATAGTAGCACATGCCACTAATCCCTACTATGCTTGATTCATAGGAATGTCTAGAGGAAACCGGGAAATGCTTCAATTCGGGAGATAATTACAGACAGATCTCCGTCAGACAGGCATACTGTGGCGTCGACTCACAGGTAATGCCATTGTCCTTGTCATAAATAGTCAACGAGGTGGCGTCACTATACTTCAGGCAACTGTAGGTTCCGTATTCACTTTTGGAGCTGGAACCCGTCACCGTGTCATCTTTCACCGTGAACTTGGAGGTTTGGCCACAGAACTTGGCCTTCCCCCCATTGACCAAAGCCTCCTTGTTGTAGGAGCCCGAGATCTGCACGAGCTCGTCATCGTCGTCGTCCCCAAACGGCTGCACCCCCATGAAGTTGAAGCTCCCGTCGGATTCACAGGTCTTCCCGACGGGGCAGATCGAGCTGGAACACTGGATGTAGGTGATGGCGAAGCCGGTGGTGCTCGACTGGGCTGCCGTGGTCGTCGTGGTGGACGTGGTTTTCGGCTGGGTGGTGGTAGAGGTCGTCGTCGTCGGCGTGATGGTCGTCACGGTGAGGGGGGGATCCGCCGCGCAGATGAGAAAGGTGGAGTGGGCGGCGTTGGTCTTGGTCGACAGCGCCAGCCCGTAGCCGCCGTTGCAGGTGCAGTAGGTCGAGGGGCTGGACCCGGTCGATGTGGTCTGGAGGCCGCACGAGGTCACGGACACGGCCGTCGCAGTCGTCTTGGACGCCGTGGAGGAGGTGATGGCCACGGTGGGCGCGGGGCCGGACACTCCCAACGTCGTGCCGTTGATGGTGATGGGATCCCAGCCAGTGTACCGGGGGTTGAGCCAGGAGGCGGCCGACCAGGCACTGCTGGACAGGGCGTCGTCGTCGGCCGAATAGATCTCATTCCCCAGATCGTCAATGTCCATGGACGCGATGAGAAGATTGGCGCCCCCGGTGGGCTCACAGTCGAAGGTCATGGTGGTGCACCACGTCACGCAGGCCGTATCGGACGCCTCCGCGCAGGAAACATCGCAGAATGCAGTCGTGGTAGGCGTGGCTTCCGCAGAGCATGAACTCGTCGAGGTTTCGTCGTCCGAGTCCTGACCCCCGCCACCGCCAGCCTGCAAGCAGGAGCCTATGCCAGAGGGCGTTAGTAAAAGAGGGTGGGACGTTCACGACATGAAACCGGACCGGTAGTAGGGCTTACCATCGCCACAGCCCGGACCACATCCCTCCAAGCCACAGCCTCCACCGCAGAACCCCAGTCCGCAACCCCCATCACAGCCAAAGAACCCACATTCACCCCCGCAGCCGTACTCGCTGCAGTCGTGGGTTCCACAGCCGGAGAGGGCCTCCCCCGAGCTGCAGCCGCCGTTGGAAGGAGGCGGGTCGATGCGGAAAGTCAGGGGAGGCACACTGGGGCTGGGAGTGACCGAGGAGACGGTCGGTTGCGCGTGCACCGTGATGACATGAGAGCTCCCCGAGAAGACCGGCGTCAGGGTCGTCACACTCGCCGTAGTCTCCGCCGCGGAGGAGCCCCCGGAATCCGTGGTCGGGGAACCGCCGCCTCCTGTCGCAGACGAGGTCGACACCGCAACGCCTGACCTCGCGTTAGTTCTCGCCTCGCTCTCGCCGGACGGGGAATCAGGGGTCCAGAGCTTACAGTAATATTCCTTGGCCCACAGACCCGCACAGTCGGTTCCTACCGCAGGGTTCCATGCCTAGAGGGTCATGGAGTTAGTATGGCCAATGGATCCAGTCATGGAGCGAGAGAAGGCGGAAGGTCCCTACATAGAACTCGGTCAAGCTGATGGCATAGGCTGCAGCAATGGCGGCACAGGTATCACCCGCGACCGCATAGTAGAACTCGGTACAACCGGAGACGATTCCAGTCTGAACGGCCGCGGGGGTCGTAACCACGCTGGAGCTGCCGGTGGCGCCGCCGGGGACGCCCCCGATCGCGGTGACATTGCCGGTCGTGGTCGTGGTCGTGGCCGTTGCGCTTGGAGCCCCTATGGCACTGTAGTTGGTATGATAGAGAGGGAATTCCGCTTCCGTCCCCGGCAAGGTGATGACCACACCCGGGGGGGTGATGCTCTGCAGCGGACTCATATAGGCCTCATCCACACTGCTGTCAGGAACCGTGATGGGCCAGAAAGGGATCTGGGTGATATGAAAGGGCGGAACGGTGATGGTCGTGGTCTTGGTCAACGTCTGCCCATCCGAACTCGACGCAAAGCTGGTGGTGATGGGGGGCCACTCGATAGTGACCCCGGTTTCCAGCGGGTACGGTGGCAAGACCATGGTGCATGGGGGATAGCAGGAGATCTCGTGGGTCGTGTTGGTCCACAGATCGGGTCCGATGTAGATATCGCCTTCGCCGCCATTGCTGCCATCGTCTCCCGGGAACAGGGTCAAGTCTCCCGTCAGACCGTCTGTGGATGCTCATCAGTCGCTGTCTTTGAGGAAATCTCTTGTCAATCTACACCTACTGGTAGCGGTACCATCGCTGTCATAAGTCACAGCCCAGACCATGGTTCTGTTCAACGCCCCCATGCGGATTAGTAGTGCTTCGTTGACTTGACGTGTGACGGGCCTGATGCGTATCACTTACCCGCCAATGCAGTGAGAATTCGCATAATCCATCTTCACGGCAAAGGATTCCCAATCGTCATAGCTCACCCACTGATTGCTATCGAATGTGACAATCTGCACCGCGGCGTCCGAGTCATAGAACTTGGTGGCTCCACGACTGGAGTCCTTCAGGATGGATTCGATTTCCGTGAAGGAAAGAATGCCCGCACTGGCCGTACACGGTCCTGCTTTGCCTAGATTCCCTCCGTGGTCAGTCCGTCACTATGACAGCCGGGGATGGTTGCTATTCCCACCTGTCGAGCTAAATGGACATCCCGCCGTAACACAGGAAGTGTCGTTCAAAGTAAAGCCTATCGAATCTTAACCAGCGCCACATGAGAAGAGGATGAAAGCGTACTGCGGCCATAGAACCCCAGTCCCATCACCACTTGGGAAGGCTCGATATCGTTGCGCCACAGAAGATCCATGGCCAGGGTGATTTCGGTCAAGTTGGTGTGCGCGTTCACAATCGACCCAATCCATGGGTCTTCGGCATCCCACCCGCCATCTACAGAACACGGTCAGCACTCCTGCGAGCAGGCTAGAGACGGTGAGCACGCACGAAGGTCATAGGTCATCATATTGAACTACGGTGATGGTCAGTCGCGGGGGATCTCTCTCCTGAGTTTCGGAATCACGCACCCAATCGACACTCTTGGCCAGATTGACCACGTCAAAGTGTTGCAGATACCAGTAACTGCTCGGCAGCGTGATGGTCAGGCCATACCCTTTGCCTGCACTATCTAGTGCCGTGCGCAGATTGGCCAGGAAGGACACATAGTTATCGAAGTCGGCCTCGGAGCCTCCCCGGTCACTCGCCACCGGATATTCCCAGTCCAGGTCAACGCCATCAAACCCGTACTCATTGAGGAAGGAGAGCAGCGACTGGAAGAATGTCTTCTGCTTCGAGGTCGAGGCGGCGAGATCGGAAAAGGTGTTGACCGTCGACCCAGGGTCATTGAAGGCCCAGCCACCGATCGAGATCCACACCTCCAGGTCGGTCTTCTTCTTCTTCAGGGCTACCACCCGACTGTAGAGATCCTCCTGGTCGGTCGCCATGGGGGTGATGGTGTACAGATCCGGGTCGATGTAGAGGAAAGCAAAGTTCAGGTGGGTGTACCCCCCGATGGGAATGCTCTCGGGGGGCATGGTGTCGCAGCTGCGCTCGAGGTTCCACCCCTCGTAGTATGCGATGGTTTTTTTCGTCGCCGAACTGCCCTCACACACAGGCTCGGCGACGGTGGTGTTGCCGCAGAAGTCCGAGGTGGTGCCACAGAAACCGTAGGCACTGCAGCAGACATTCAACGGACACTTTTCGGAGGAGGCATACTCGGAGCCTACGCAAGTTAGTCGCCTGGTCATCACCCACATGTTTCAAGCTAGACAGAACATACCCCAGGCAGTGGTCGTCCAGCCTGAGACGCTGGGATCGCAATCCGAGAGCTGGGAGCAGGTTCCATTGGTACTGGCCGCGGCAATGCAGTTGTCCGACGAGCAGTAGTCTGGCCCATAGCCGCAGACAGCAGATAGTTTGGAGCAGCATCCTTCCGTGCAAGGATTACTCTCCGAGCAGGCAATATCATCACATCGTCCGATCACGGATAAAGAGAGAAGAAAAGTGAGAGAGGAAAGGGTTGTGGTTCGCATGGTCTCACGCCTTGGAAAGAATGACTTGGTTCATGGATCAGGGAATGACACGTAGAGCAAAGGAGGGACGAAAGGGTAGGAAACACAGATATCAAGACACGAATAGGAAACAGGCCATTGAGCAAGAAGGCGCAAACGATCGTCTGATACTCACAGGTGTGGTGTATCCCTTGACCTGCTACTGGGCTTTTTATATTGAACCCATGCCAGCATCGGGCACTTCTTCGCAGGCACACCAGGTCGCCTGAATCGGATCCGGCTTCATCATCGGACCATTTGACCGTCCGCGCTGCGCCAAGGTCAAACAAGTACTATCCAGCGCATTGTGTCTCACGGTTGAGGGCTTGTCCAAAGCTTAGGAAGTAGGCACTGGCCACGGCTCCACTTCGTCTGGACCAGCAATCGATAGTCGTAGATTCCGGCGGTCTTGGCAACCGCACCAGGTTGCTTGGTTTATCGCCTACGGAGTACACTGTTCGGATGTAGAAGGCATTCCGGTTGAAGTTTGATTGACTGCTCTTGGCAGGAGGCACTAATCAGATTTGACCCCAAATGGGACAGGAATAAGCATCGATGGGATGCGGCGAAGTATCTACCCGCATATTTTTACCACATGGTAGCCATCTATACTTGGAATAGATCTGACCTCACGCAAAGTCCGTCAAGCCCTCCAGATTCCCGAGTTAAGGACGGTATAGAAACTGTGAGTTGGGAGAGATTGTCGACACTAAAAGAAGGGGTCTTTAGCTGGAGTGCCGGGGTTTGAACGGTTGATCCTTCGATGCGCACGTCGCAGGAAGTGGAGAACGATCAGCAGTAACCGAACCATATCAGGGCTAGTTGCAAAAGGGGTTGTCCCCCACAGTGGGCCTTCAAAACGGACGGACATTATCTGGCGTGTGAGCCATTTGTCCCTCGGGCGCATCTCCCATTTCGCCAGAGGCCACGATCATGCACCGGGGCAGTGCTGAGTATCGCATGGATCTGACATTGCCTATAAGCGTTAAAAAATTCAACGGACCTGGACAGAGGTATGGGTGGTGGTGTCATGGGGAGTGACTCCGCCCGGGTGCCTGGCCGAACCCTCATGTCAGTGGAGCGATCAGTATAGCTTCAGGGACCCGCCGAATCTTGTTAGACGAGCTGTATGGAGTAATCTCCCAGCAGTCGTGGGATCCTTCCGGATGTTCCCCCTCGCCAATTTAGGGCTGGGCGACGGCGGAACTTCCCCATCGGGACTCTCTAAGGAATTGTTCGTTGGTTCGCTCCATCGCAGCAATTACCATGGTAGGCAGTACCCTGGAACGGGCTCGCTAGGCGCACTAGCACACAGCGAACGTGCGAGCAAGGCCCCGCAATAGGAGCACGGGGAATTGTGTTTCCTTATCGTGCGCTCACGAAATTGAGCGTTGGTCTCCACCCCAAATCTAGACGAAAGGTGCCCCAGGCCGGCCTTCGGCGACTGAAGCTACTTGGACTAGACTGGCTCAGCATGCTAGAGCAGAGCCTGCATCGACCGCTCCAAACTGTCAGTTTTGTAATTCCAAAGCTTGTTGATTACCCAGCGTAGTCGTCGCTCATCGGCCAGTTCATCGTCACTAATGGTGCCAAACGGGCGCGATAATTGGTGGTCGGATCTTGTATCGCCAGAGTCATCAACAGGATACTGAGATTTGCCTACTGTGGAAAACGTAATGAGATTCGAATGTTCTCGCCACTCCGCCGAGCTAGGAACAGGTATCAGAAAATCGCGCAAGATCCTCCGATAACAATCTCAAGAAGTGGGCTGATGCAGGAAGTCGCAAGGGTAGCCTCACCACATCCAGCATAGCTTGACGATGAAGTCCAGGTCTGCTTGGCACTATCTTCTCCTTAGCACCTAGCGCGAGTGCCCCTGGACAACGAGGGAAATGCGTGAAATTGGCCTCTCGGCGCTATGATCAAAGCATAGCCTGGGGGCCACCAGGTCCGGTGCCCGGCCCGACAGAGTATCAACCAGAGCCGAGGAAACGAGGGACAAAATCTCAGATATAGTGCTCCTTCCCAATTGAAGCTTCTGAATCTTCATGCAGCTGCAACTGTCGAACCGGCTGGCTTGCATTGCCTTGACATTCAGTCCCTCGTTTATTTTCTGGTCCCTTACCTTGTATGAGTCAATCGTTTGAACTACACTTTCTTTCGTTTCATCATGAGATTCTGGAGCAAGCTCACGCTGGCTACCCTGCTCATTGGCAGTCGAGCAGCCGACATCGACACCCAGTTCTGGGTCGAGAAAGCCACTGGAGTGGTAACACGCTCCCTGAAGAATGGTAACCTGGGCGGGACCTGCGACCCATATCTGGACGTGCTGAACGATCTGTACCTTGAGGCAATCGACATGGCAGAAGTCGCTCTAGAGGCCTTGGACAATTATGCCAGCAACCCAACCGTCCGAGCGACGCTGGAAACGTACATGGGCATCAAACCAGACGGCACTGGCGTCTCAGCGGCCCATACTTCCCAGTTCAATGATATCAAAGGTTTGTATCTTTCCCCCTTCCCTGGCAGACATCATCGGCCCCCCTCACCCCCGGGAGACGGACGCCTCAATGAAATATTTGTTGCTGAAAAGGTTCCGTAGCTGCTTATCAGAAAGTGGTTGATTTTAGCACCTCCGAATATGAAAATAATCGTCAGCCCGCCTTCTTTTGCGATGAAAAGTGGCGGTGGAAGACAACCATGGAATATGACAGGGGCAAAGCAACTGGGCGGACTCTCTTTGTAGCATCCAGTACGTACCTCTCAAGGTCAATGATCGCTTTCTTCCTACCTTTACCTTCGCGTGGCGGTTGTGTGCTGTTGGCTTGGCTCTTTACTAAACCGCTCGGTGGTTCATAGGGGGGGCATTTAGCTCCATGTACTATTCGCCGCGACTGCTGGAGATGGCAGGTCGGCAGGATGGCTGTCCCGATTCGGGGACTCTAGGTTTCACCCTCCAGTTTCCAAAGAGCATTACCATTTGCCCGGCTGCCTGGAACTGGGACAGGAGGAAGGATTCTTTGAAGCCGTGGAGAGACGGCACGAAATCGCTCACGGAGGGCAAGGCCTTAGACCTTGCTTACTCTCTGCCTGGGACATTTCTACATGAATTGCTGCACCTCACCAGCGGCTCAGGTGAGCCAGCTCCTTGGAACAAAATCCTTCCTCTGGCGGTCTCCATTGCTATGACATTTGAGGGGAAACCTCCGACGGAAGAAAGACTGACTCATTCGATTATATTTTAGACATAACGGACAAGAAGGTCATCGTCGATGACAAACCAGTCACGGCCTATTTCCCAACCCTTGTGGCGGAACTTGCAAAGACGAGTGTTGACGATGCCATCAAGAACGCGGACAGCTTCGCGTGGTTTGCGACGGCCATGTATCTGCCTGCAATGGATTGGTCTCGACAAATTGGCGGTCGTTACAGGAGCAGCGCCATCTCCTCTCGCTCGATCGGTAGGAATACCAGCTCATACCTAGCCGAAGGCAACGGTCTGCAGCGCCGAACCTACTTTACGAATCCAACTTTCCCGGATGTGGAAGATGACGAAGATGCAATGTCTGACTACTCGCTTTGAGGGTGCTGCTTCAGTCGAGTTCTGAATGTGGCAGAGGAGCTCGTGTCCCGGCACTTGTCCCTGTTTCCGTGTGTGCAATTCGTCTTCTTCAGCCATCCTGCATCTGACGCAGATTCCTTTCCCACTTTCCTTTACAAGTCCAATGATCTCGATTTCATTCACGGTTGATTTGTCTTTCTTCTGTTTCTTTTTTTTTTTTTCGCCTACGCCCCTAGCACCGAACCAAGCCGGTTCCGAAGGAATGAGGCATGCTGCGATTCGTATCCCAACATCCCACACTCCTTCAACGGGGTCACAAATTCCCCCCAATAGTCTACATCCTGCCCCTCGATCGTGAAACGACATCGTTTGTATTCGCGCTCGCGCTTCGTATCCTCCCACCGCATCAGATAGACCAAACACCGAGCGCGTTGGCCCTGGAAGAGGACGGGCTGATCCAGCCATCCGTGCTGCCAATCCGTCAACCCCGCCAAGGGGTATACATCCGTCCCGATCAGAACCCCGAGGTTATACGGTGTGATTTTGTCTAATTTTTGGATCTGTGTACCCGTTAGACTCTCGGGGAAATAGACAGCCATGAGCTCGTAGTACTCGACGGGGCCTATATACTGAGTGCTCCAGAATGCACCGCCAGTAAAGGCCCCCCGGGACTGAGTGAGATCGATCATGGAGACTTGGACGGATCGGTCCGAGGCCCATGTGGTCAGAATCTCAATGAAGTATTGGTAGTGCGGTGAGTTGATGAATTTGGCGCGAAGGTCGGCGGAGTTCCAGGCTGGAAAATTAGTCAGGGGTCGGATTTACGCCTGCGCGGGCAACTTGAAGTGACTCACCTAGCATGAGCCATTCCGTATGCGGGGCTTCTCCCGGGCACGACCGTCGAAGTCTCAAATGGTAACGGTAGTCCGACTCCTCGAAAAGGAGTCGGAAGAGTTGGTTGATGGGGTCGGTCTCATCGTGAGGGGCTGCTCCTGTGCCTGGATTCAATATGATCCAATCCAGGAGTTTGGTGTGTCGTCCGGTTCGCTGAGGCTGCCTCAGCGCCAGTGGCGATGCCTCGCTGGACGCATCCGGGACGAAATCCGGGAACTTGTGGTGAGCACGTGCTCTGGTGAGGGGTGGCATATCTGTGACAGCAATATTGATGATATTGTGTGTGTGTGTTGCCTAGCTAACTACGCGAAGAGGTGACTATGTGGCTAGGTCCGAGATCACGTGATCTCCTTTCACAATATCGCTGTGAAGAGAGCAGAGATAAAAAAATATCAAGGTGGCGGCAAGTAAACCATGTACGTGGGGTCTGCCTTTTAAAGGGGGAAGACTTCTTTCCAACCATGGGTCTGGTCCTAGTTCGGAGGTTACCACTAAAGTAGCGTATCAGCTGGTTATCTCTTAGCGCACCCCTGGTCTCCACCCGAGCCTGGCCCTTCATTAATCTTTAATGAGCCCGCCTTCTCTATCTACCTTCTCACATGCTGAGCGGTAAATCCCGCTAGCCTGTCTATCCATTACATCCGTGGCGCCATCCAGGGTCTACCTAGATCAACAATAACAATAATCAATCATCAACAACCCCATCAACCTCCACCTCCACCAACATCCCCTCATTCACAAACCCCCCCGGCACCACAATCATCGTCGCCACCGCCCCAACCCCCTCCCCCTTATCCCTCCCCAGCACCTCCCTAAACCCCTCCCCCACAGCCCCGCAATCCTCCCGTCTCGCCACAAACATCCGCACCCGGATGATATTCTCTGCTCCGGTGCCCCCTAATGCTCGAATGGCGGTGATGCATTCGGTTAACGCGGTGATGGTTTGGTTTTTTGCATCGTTGGGGAAGAGGATTTGTGGGGAGGTTGGCGGGGATGAAGGGTTGACGGCGGTCGTGCCGGAGATGTAGATGTGGTTGGTGTGCCGGATTGCGCGGTAGTACCCGATTTGGTGTTCGTAGGGGGAGGGGGTGGTGTGGTAGTGTTTTGTGGGCATGGTGGTGGTGGTGGACTAGTTCGGACTAGTTATGGGTTTGATAGGTTGGTGGTGGTGGTTGGTGGTGATGTTTATGGTGATGGTTGTGGAGGTGGTAAATGATGAATGGGATTTTATGTATGTATGTAGGATTGTAGAGGGAGGGAACGGGGGTAACGGGGCTTTATATATAAATTGTCTTGTGGATGGTATGTATGACTCATTCGATGCCGCTTAGACCATATAGACCGAATTGTTGAGGGAGGAGTTGTTGTTATATGACTCACACGGCGTCATGACTTGAATTTTTGGTTGGTATAGATAGATATGATGACGATGATGATCTCTCGCTTATTGGGAGGGAAGTACTCGATATACTGTGGACCTTCCTTATGGAATTGGTAGAATATAAGGGAGAAATTGTCATGTTGTATGATGATTGGAGTGGTTGGAGGTGTTTGGAATTATCGATGTCATTAGGTTTGTATGTAGTGCATGTATATGGGCAGCTCTACTTCACACCCTATGGGTGTGTGTTAGCAGAGCAGTATCTGATTTGAAAAATTGTATCAATGGAATATGCAGATTGAAATGGTCTGTTAGAAACAGTTCAAACAGTCTAATACCACCACCGCAGATTCAATGGCTGTCAATGCAAACGCACTGTGCAGATTGCATTTGTCGAGGGAAAGCAGCCATTATATGAGAAGACATGAGGGTCGAAGCTCCATATTTCATGCTCAGTTGCCTTGGATTTGGAAAAGTGACTTGTAGTTACAGTTACAGTAAACTACCGATCTAAACCACCGGGGAATTAAGCAAGCCTCTGTTTCCAGCAAGATCAGCAATCTGAAACAATTCATACACTAGATTGCTACTCCCGAACACTAGGTAGATGCTAGGGTTTGGTCTCTATACAAAATTTCTAGATCGAAGAGTAGGATCAAATGCTACTAATGCTATAATGCTTTATATACTCTGTAGGCACAGTCAAACTACGCAGTGTTAATACGGGTGTTATTATCTGATGGCAGTAAATCACGATAAGAATGATGCGGTGAAATACTTGGTCAACTGGTCAATCTGGGCCATTTCGATACATACTCGGTCATGAATTTTCCATCGAAGGAATCCAAGTCGTGGTCTGAAATACTTGCTTGGAAGTTGGAACGGGTTTTATGGTCGAATTAATCAGCGTAATCAGCCCTGTCGCAGGCACAGATCGCCAGGATGCAATGTTGTTGTGGGTAGGAAGGGGGTTTGGGGGGGCGGGTGGTTTATATGTATACAGAGTACGGAGTATACTACATAACAGAAGGGGGAGGATGGTAGTAAGACTTATATAATAAACTCTATTTCTTTTATATTATATAAGATAATAAAGTCTCTATGGCTGTTACTCATTATTATTAATAAATATTTATTATAATTACTTACCATTGAACTATAGTTGTCACGGTGCCTGCCTGCCTACCTGAACCCGTGTGGTTGCCTGAACCCGTGTGGTTGCCTGAATCCTGCCTGAATCCTGTTCTTGAATACCCTTATATAGCGTGCGCAGTGTAAAGCCATTGGCTTTACATCCTAGTCCTTTTGCTGATAGTGCAGCGGGAAGTACCTGGAATGCGCACCCAGTATGCCCCGTGACAATAGTTGTAGTATAGTTATAGTATAATTATATTTTATTTGTGATAGCCTTCAAGGAATACTGAAAACATGTACAGCCTTATGAATACTGGTGACTTGATCTTTTTGAATAGCTTCAATGGTAAGAAGAATCCTACCTTCTTGCTCCACTGCAGATTTTGATGAGATAGCTGACTTTGGTGGCATCTGTGGTGGTTGAATTGCTTCAGGTAGGTGGTTGGAGGTGGTGTTTTGGTAGGGGCGGGCCGCGCGGTTGTGGATTACGTTAGCCCCTGGCTCTAATGTCATTAACGTGGAGCACCCCAATCTGCCACGTATACGAAACGATGATCTTACCTTAGATTCTGTACCGCTTCTCCGCGTGACACCCCTTCGGAGATAAATGGAAGGACACGGCCAGGCCATGGCTACTACTATCTCCGAAGTCGAGCTCGGACAACGGCAGAGACGGCAGTTGGCATTAAATTACAATTGCTACCACTGAAACAACAGCCCCAGGCAGAAATCGAGATGGCGATGCGCCTTCATCCTTTTTGCCAGGATGGACTGGACTCGTCCCTGGAATAATCTAGCATATGATTACTTTAGTTTGCCCTCCAACAATCACATTCAAAGTCGCCCCATGAAGGTCGTGGTACATTCCATTGGAATATCCTTGCCTTGTTTAAATTGCCACACTAGACCTGATTGGAGGGGTTTAGGTTATAAGACAATGTTATTTGACTTGTCTATCCACATAGGGTCTATAAATAATCTATGGGTACAGAGATATGATGACTTGGGAGCATAAGAAATATGAGTTTAGGCCGTCCCGAGCTGCTCTGCGTTCTCGAAGCCAGTGTAGCTGAAGTCGGCGAATGCGGCACCAATGTCGGTGCTACTGCCGTTGAGAGTCTGGTACAGCACGTAAGTCTGGTAGTCAAGTAGGAAAGACGAGCTGTTAGCAAGGGCAAGCGACAGGTTGGCCCTAGCGATGGCGTCGTGGAGTTGAGTATAATTGGCCTGATTAACCCACTCCTGGGTGGACGGGACGTTGGAGCCGTTGCTACTGATAGTCACATTGGCTAGCTGCGCTTGAGCCTGGTCAATAGCCCTGGCGAGGAAGATGCGCGAGTTGCCGTCGCTCGTCATGCCGACGGGCGCGCCGTATTCGGTGGTGTGGGTAACAGGTACAAGCCAAAGGCTGACATTGAGGCCAGCAGCTGAATCATTGGTAAACTTAAAGAACTTTTGAGCGTCGGTAAACTCGCCAGGCCGGTTAGAGATGAACAGGTTGTCGCGTGAAAAGCGCATGGCGTCTTCATAGGAGACCCCGTCAATGTTGTAGGAGGTGTGGTCGGCGCCGCCAACAAAGAGGCCGACAACCTCTTGGGCACGCTTCATGGCCCAGCCCTTGGGACCGTACCAGAAGAGCGCGACGTCGCCGGGTGAGATAGTGGTGTCAAAGTTGTTTTCAGGGATAGCCGGACCGGACCCGTCGAAAAGGACGGCGTCAAAGATCGTGCCCTCCCAACGTGTCTTGTCCGCGACGTCAATATTTCCGCGGTAGATCGAGTAAGTCCCGTTGGCGTTGTGAGTGATGGTGTCGACGGTAACGCCCTCGAGATAGTCGGCATCGATGACATCGGTGTAACCATCTCCGTTAGTGTCCCAGAAGCGCACCTCGAGGCCGGCCACGAGGTTGGTGACAACAGACAGGGCGGCAGCATTGTAACTGTCTGCCTCAGTTTCAGCCTCGTAGCCACCCCACCACTTCGCGGTGGTACTGTTGTAATACAGCCAGGCTACTTGGTTAACGAGATAGCCGTCGCTCATGCACTGGCTAACACTGTCAAAGGCGGATTCGGTGCCAGGGATGGCCCACAGGTTGATGTAGAAATCGCTGTTGGCAATGACGGATTTGACGCCCTCAAGAGCGCTCCCCTGCTTGAAGTACTGGTCGTACTGGGCGGCAGTGACGTTGGCAGCGTCGCTACCCATGTCAAGCACAACGGCGCGGAGCAGCGTACCATTGATCTGGCTGCCAGTGTAGGGAGTGCCGCAGGCAGCCAGGCCAGTGGTCGGTAGCATTGCTAAAACTGAGGCATTGGCAAGTTTCATGTTGGCTACAGCTTGCAGAGTAAGGAAGGTGAAAAAGCAGGAAGAAAACGAGCGGTGGGTAGGTAATAGAGTGTGTGCTATTGAAGATTTTGAAGAGAGTGTACATTTATACGTCGCCACAGCAGAGGTACATTTACTCTTAATACTTATCCTTCTTCCCTATTGCCGATGACGAATCCCCGTATGGTTGATTATCCGGTTCGGGTGAAGCGGTGGGGCCGGAATGTGGGGATTGCAGAAAGTGAGTTAATATCATCCCGTCTCCGCAGATTGCTCTGTTTCAAGCTATAGAAGAATTATATTTTACTTTATCTGTCTATCTAGTGGTGCCGGTATAGTATCTGGCTATCAATTGGGGTATAATCTTCCCGTCGCCCGCTAGGGGTGGGGACAAGACCGAACGCACTCTGAAGATTATCTGTGATTGGCTAAATTTCTCACAGTGGGCCTCCGGATTAGAGAATCATTTCTCTATTTAGTTTAGTCTCCGCTCGATTCAATTGATCTAGACATTTATGGCAGTTTCACCCCTTCCTCTCTTATACATCCGCTACTTTACCCCGAAGACAATCATGGGCAAGGAAAACACTACATATTTCTCCTTAACGTATTCAACGGTTGGGCGGCCCACCCGATCGAAAACACCACCTTGAATTCCTACCTGAAGCTATTCAACCACTACAGATGCCACCAAAAACACTTATCTCATCAAAAATGCAGGTGGAACAGGAAGGTAGGATCCTCCTAGCTATTAAGGCTATTTAGAGAGGCTAAATCGCCAGTATTCGCGAGGCAGCGCGTATTTATGATGTTATTCGAACTACCTTCCACACTCGCTTATCTGAACGTGATTTTGGTAGAGATATAGTTCATATACGTTAAAAATTACAAAAAAACGAAGAAGATTCGCTTATCAAATGAATTCTATCTTTAGATAAGTAAGGTGCAAGTCCCTATATACATATATATACATATTTTACAACCTCTTAGCAACAATTTGAATTCGCATTATATCGCATGTATCATTACATGATGATGGCCTAAGCACCTTTGACGATTACAAAATCAACCTCCTCCTTTCCTTTAATAATCGCATCTATGGTGATATGTCCTCCCTTAGAAACCTTATGCTCTGCGAAGCCCCCCTGGGAAGTATAAACTTTCTAGGTACCAAATTGGAGATTCCTAACATGAAACTTGATGTTAGTTCCTTGTCCAGGCTATTTACGGACGGTGACAATGAGGGCTCTGCGATCCTGATCCCATAATTCTCGTAGGCAATCAACGTCTTGTGAGAGATCTAGCCCATCCATGTATGGATGATTAGCTAATGTCTCCTTTGTCCAAGGCTCCTTATATATTTTCTTCTGTCTATTCTCGACATTCAACCGTGAGTAGCTAATAGCAGAGTTATCTGAGAAGGGGTTAATGTGAGTCCAGCGACCTTTATTATCAGTTGCTTGGTCATTCTGAGGATAGTAAAGGCCACCATTTTCCCAGGTTGGTTGGAGGTGTTTATTAGTGTATGTAAGAATCCTATCTAGCTTTGTTGCCTTTTCTAACTTTGAGAGCCATTTAATAACGTATCCAAAAGTTGGCTCGTTGTATGGAAAGTTGATGTTTGACTTATTGGCTTTATAAATCTCACGCGCGTTCTGTAGGACTTGGGACAGACTTTTAGCTGTGTCTCCTTGAGCCAGAGCTGCCCTGTAAGCACCTGCAACCATAGGATGTTGAAGCTCAACTTGTCCATCGATGTTAGTGATGAACCCTACAGCATGATTTTCAAAGCCAGCGCGGACATATTCCGAATTCCAAGTATTCATAAACGCAGCAGCCCTGGATTAATGTTAGCATAGAAAAATGCTATATCCTGAATCACACCTACCAAGCCGTGAGGCCCACACTTTGAGCCGTTGCAGTATGACCCTGTTTTACACTGATCCAATCTTTAAATAGACCGTTCTGAGAGATCATATCCTTCTTCTCCAGGGCGGCCCTGTATTTCTTAAGAACTTCATCTACTACCTAAGTACCATCACGTGCATCATTGAGGCGCATAGCAATAATCTATCAGAGTTAGTAGCAGTTACAGGTATCCATAGTTCAGGCTGCTTACTGGAAACTGGTTGCACGCAACAAAGACCAGATTGGGCTCACAGCAGACGCCAACCCAACCATTTCGGTCCATCTCCTTCATTATGGCCTGTTGCAAACTCCGATTATCATAGGCATACGTCTCTGGGCCCATGCCCCAGAATAGTGGCTTCCACTCGAAAGTGAGGCTTCCCGGCTTCTCGAACTCGTCGTCATCAAACAACGTAGCGTAGAGACTCGTCATGAGAAGCAGGTGGCCACTATACATGATATTCTCTCGGACAACTGGGTCTGCCCACGGTCGACGAAGCTCTTTCAGGTCGGGATCAAGCAAAATGCCTGACTGGGAAGTCAGGTACCAGTAACTCCACACGTCAGGGTGCAGCATCTTCTTAATAAGATGGCGGATAAGGGGCTTAAAGAGGCCACGCATGACAGGCATGCGGTGGTAGTGTGTCAGCCCTGATGCATACACCATTGTTGCAAGCTGATACCTATACGCATCGAGGAACTCTTGCAGGCTCCTGGGAGCCCATGTGTGGCCATTCTCCATCCGCCGCAGAGCTGATATTGTAGAAATGGCGGAGGTGCCCTGCCTGTTCTGGAGACAGCTTCGGGTATTCGGAGATATCGAACGGCAAGGAGCCGCCATCGCGGTTGCTCGAAGTCAAAAGCATGACGCTAATGATAAAGAAGTGGATTTGTGTGTGTATACAGATATACCATCCAGTACGTGCGAGGCTTGAGCTTTTATAACTTCTCCCACGCTGAAAAGCCAATCCGATAATTCCGCTGAATAATCGGATTTTGACGTCCCGAGATCCGAGTGTGGCGGAGATCATCAAGCTTGCCAATTGGTTGACAGAACCAAGTCGCCGTCTCGTAAAACTTAAAATCACTGTGGTGGAGCGTATCGGCTACAGAATCTAAGAAACTAGTCTAGTCTTCCACGATCTCTTTCAAGTCACCACCGCTCACTCAGCCGAACTGCACAACGGCTTCACAGGGACTGGAACGATGTCCGCTATCGTCAAAATGCAAGGGCTATGTTTATCCCCAGTTTAATGCTAATCGACCTTTAATCATCTTTTGACGATCAGCCATCAATTTTCCAACTTGAGGTTGTAATGTCATGCCTTCGGGCAATTGAGTGAGTGGTTTTTCAAATCCTTTAAGCGTATCAAGTTTAACCGCTGTATCCACCTTCTCTCGCCAATCCATTGTATCATAGGACACTTCTTCTTGAGTTTTATCAGCCCCCTTCATTGAGAAGACTGCAACAGATCCACCAGTGATCGTGTCATTTTATTTGATACTACGATTTCACACTCACTTAAGCAGATGGCTAAACGGTATGCAGCAAACTGTGTAGTCGTCATGCTTGAGCGAAGCCATTGTCATCAAATCCGGCCAGCTTTTGTTGTGCGGTAAATCGATGTTCGGTAGCCACCCACTCATGAAATCCCGCTTGCAGTCCGCCACGGAGTCCGCCGTCCGCGCGCTGTTCCTCATACATCCGTTCAGCGGCTATAGTTCCTTGCTTAAGGGGTAATAAGCCCCAAGCCATAGTAGATACACGAAAAAGCCAAGACCAACTGAACTGTCATATTTAAAATAAACCAGGAAATGAAATGAAAGACATCAAATGTTATAGTTCCATCAAAGAAAGAAGGTAAACAAGGACTCTCGAATATGAAGTGTAGCATGATGATCAACTAAAGCGATATATCAAAACAGATGTGACCCATGCCTCCGACCCTTTGTCGTTGTTCTCAAAGAGCGCTACCTTCCTCCGCTTTCAGCCTGCTCGAATTAGTGGGTTTGGCTGTTGAGAAGATTTTACTGAGTATGCAGGACTTTCAGGGAGAGACTTGAAGTTCCTTCAGGTTAAGTGTCTCCTGCTCGGCCTTCTTTAAGTAACCATCCCCAAGGAATTTGCTGAGAATTGGGGTGTAGTCAAAGATCAAGTCACGAATTTGAGCGAAAGGTCGCGGCACCGCGTGGAACATCTTGCCAAGGAAACGAGCAAATTCCATGTTGTGATTGACATAGTCAACTCGTTGTTCTTCAAAAAGCTCACACCCAGCTTTGACCCTCCGGAGGTCACGTAAGTCTACCCCATCCAGCGCTCTGGCGAGAAAGTACCCGTCTTCTATCGCCATTCCCATACCGTACGCGGCATAAGGTGACACTGGGTGTATAGCGTCGCCAACACATACCACCCGTCCTGTAGACCACTTTTTCATAGAAGGTCGATTATAGATTTCCCAGCGATAAACCTGTTTGTCAAAGTTGGTGGCCTCTAGAAAACGAGGCATTGGCTGTGCCCAATTTTTCAAGATTTCCGTGAGGTGTGCCTTTGGATCTTCCGGGATAGGCTTCCCCTCCCAAGACGGCTCGACTACCCACCACTCAAACCCGGGCTTCCCATCATGCAGCATTGGAAAAAAGCTGGCTTGGTGCTGGTAGTCATGGGAGACAACACCATAATTGGGAGGGATATCAGGAATGTAATCGCACCAGGCAAGCCAAAGACGAATTCCGGTGTGAAATAGGTGAGGGTCGCCAAAAGCCTGCTGTGAAACTTTTGATCGAATACCATCTGCACCAACGAGGATATCTGCCGTAATTTGGTATCCGTTTTCAAAGTAGAGTTCGATATCATTTTCAGTCTCCGTATAATGTAGAAACTCATGGCCCGCGTAGATTACACCATCGGGGACAAGGTCGAGCATCTTTTTGAAGATAGAGGAACGAAGCACTCCGTAGTGCCAGCCTTTAATACCCATCCGCTGCTCGACAGCTGGATTAAACGGTAGTCTGGTACGCACTGTTCCGGACTTGTTTTTGAAGTAGGTGACTGTGTATGAGCCAACGTTGTCGAGGCTCAAGCCGTAAGATCGGAGGATCGCCAGGACGGGAGTAGACAGAAGAACAGCGCCGCCTATAGCTTTGCATTCCGGTTGTCGCTCAAATATGCGCACATCATAGCCTCGCTGAATGAAGGCAAGGCCGGCTGAAATTGATGCCGGACCTCCTCCGACGATTGCAACTCGTTTACCAGGGCGCCAGTTCTGAGAAGCCATCGTGAGTTTAATCAGCAGGATATGCAGGCAACGGAAGTATGAAAGCTTCTAAATCGATATGCGAAAAGAGGACGTAAGTTCAGGGTTTGAGTAGAGAAAATTCTGGCCCAGCCCCTAATTTATAACGGGATATAACGGGATATATACGGAGATATGGAAAGAGGAACCCTCAGTATCCATCAAGCAAATACAATCGCCCACTTCCCGATTCTTGAGACTTGGGTTCAACCTCTTAAAGTCGTATCATAGCCCCACAGCGGGTCCACAAGACGAAGTGGCCGTTGTGACGGCTAGCGAAACGAGGTCAGATCTGCGCGTCGTACTTCCTCGAAATACCCATGGTTCCCCCCCCCCCGCCCCCCTCCCTCTCCCCTTAATCCTCGGAAGGCTAATAACATAATGTACCACCATTTATGCTACAAAGAATGCCTATCCCATCAAAAGTGCTGGTAAAGCAAGAAGGCATGATTTTTCTTGTCATTGATGTCACGGTGCAACCTCCCAAGCCGGAAAGAAAGAAATACTGCCGAGTCTTGCCACCTAGCACGTGATCCCCAGATACAGTTAAAAGCCACCTGTCCCCTGGACCTCATTCATAGCCTCGAGCTACGTCTTGTCTATGACCCTGTATATAGCTTGACCAGTAGCCAGCTCAGCATCCAGTTAGAGTCCCAGTCGTTATCATCATTTGAACCCTGCTCGCCTGCCAGAACCCACTATCCTACCACCCCTGCCTGCCTGCACCTTGACAATTGAAGCTATTCAGAAAGACTAAATCTCCAGTATTTACAAGGCAATATATGTCTACGATATCCCTCAAATTACTTTATTATTTCTATAGTAAACTCTTTAATTATAATATAGAATTTATAAACCATAATTCTTAGTTATTAATAAAATATAACTCGGGAAAATTTAATATAATAGTTGTCACGGTGCCTGCCTGCCTGCCTACCTGAACCTGTGTGGTTGCCTGAACCCGTGTGTGGTTGCCTGAATCCTGCCTGAATCCTGTTCCTGAATACCCTTATATAGCGTGCGCAGTGTAAAGCCATTGGCTTTACATCCTAGTCCTTTTGCTGATAGTGCAGCGGGAAGTACCTGGAATGCGCACCCAGTATGCCCCGTGACAATAGTCTATAATTATAACACAACCCCCGACCACCAAACCCCAATTTCTGTTATGTATTTATTATAGTGTTTGTGGATTATGGAATGAATTTTATCCAGCATCATCATAATTCAGATAGGATTGTATCCAAAGCAAGATATCCATTCATCATAGCATCATATATACATCTCCCGCCCCCTCTCCCCCATTCTTCCCCTTACCCACTGTTCCCCCATCCAACCCTACTCCACGGGCTGAATCACAGCAGTCCAATAACAATATCGCCATACAACTGCGCATCCAAATCCAACTTAACCTTCGCCTGCAAATTCAAATGAATGCGAATCTTGAGAGACTCCTTCTCATCCTGTCCCTGCGTCGCGCCGGGAAGTTTCATCCCCGCGTTGGGGACCAGGCCGCTGGTCAATCCGGCAGTGTCTTCGTCGGGACGTGCGGATTTGCGGTTGCCGGTGGGGCGGGAGTCGGTGGTTCTTTTTAGATTATTAGAGGAGGGGTCAGAGATGAGTGGGAGGGGATGGTTGTGGTTGTTTTTGTGGTTGGGTGGTGGTGGAGGGGTTTGAGGGGGTGTTTTTGGAGTGGGGATCTGGGAGGGAGTTGGGGTTCGGACGGATGAGGGGGTAGGAGAGGGTGGTTTTCCAGTAAGTGAAATTGGAATGGATGTTGAGGGAGGAGGGGAAGGAGGTTTAGGTCTGGATGTGGAGGATTGTTTAGGGCTGATGAGGTGATGTTAGGGAGAAAGATTGGATTCAGTAGCAGAAAGAAAGGAGTAAAGGAAGGCTGCATACGCCGGAGTCACTGGGTCGGCCATTGTTGCAGTCTTGTTTTGGTTTTGTCTTCGAGGTGTACTTTCTGGGATTTCTTCCCGTGTGGCAGAGAAAGCAGAAGCTAGAGAAAAGTGAGAGTAGAAAGCTGAAGAGGATGAAGAGAATGAGGAGAATGAACTGGACGAGGACGACATTTAACTGCTCCAGCTGCCCAGCTGAGTCTGTCCAACTTTTAGACTCACTACTCCTGCAGCTAATGCTAGTGTAGTGCACTACCAACCCTCACGGAATATTTAATCCCGCAGATCTGGCCATGGCACCTCATGCATCTGTCATCTCCTAGTCTAGGCACAGGTACAGGTACAGGTACAGGTACAGGTGCAGGTACACACACGGCACTATGGTCCTCGGAATCGTCATGATGGCAGCGATGCTACCCACGATGGTCGGTCTCAATGAAGCGAGTCAACACACACGCGACCACGAAACCAATCGCCAGCAATCCTCGCGCAAACAACGTTGTCATCTGGTCGCCAGCTGCGCCCTCACCCAAGGCACCCCAGCCCAGCGCGAGCAGATCGAAAACGCAAACGTGTATGTGGGGCCCGAACATCGGGTGCGTATTCATGCCCCCATCATACGACCACCACAGTAGCCAAAGCTAATTCAGACAGCTGTATCTGACGAAACATCCGACGGACGACATGACACCCTTCAATGGGGGCTTTTTCACCCACCCCGAGTTTCCCCCGGAGAATACGGCCGGGTTGGTCACCATCACCGGGGAGCAGCCACCTACGCTGCGGTGGGTGTTTCTGGACGCGACGACGCATGAGTTGTGCTGGGGGGGACGTGCCGAGAGTGAGGGCCAGGTGGTGGGGCCGTTCGATTGGACGAAGGATGAGCAGCGAGTGACGCTGGAGGGGTGGGAGGGGTGGTTGGCGGTGCGGTTGCCGGACGAGAGCCAGCCCGAGGGGGTTTGGCGGGTGTATTTCGATCAGGAGGACAATGGGGCCGATCTGCCGGTGGGGGCCCAGGGGCTGGAGATTGTGCTGAAGCGGGTGGCCGCGGAGAGTTGATCGTGATTTATGATTAGTCGCAGGATCACGAACGGTGGAGCGGCCCCACGGCGGATCGGGACGCGCGCGAACCAGATTCTTCCTCGGCTTCACCTTGCAGAGGGGTTCCCCGCCGCGGCTGACGGGTGGAGCAGCTAGCTCAGCTGGAACCAGCTGAAGTTTCATTCCATCAAGTTTGGGTAAGCCGGTTGCAAGGATTCCAGTAGACAGGGTTGTCCATGTTGCTATTAAATTAGGGCAGAGGCAGGAATTAACCCGACTCCCTCCGTAGCGCAGCGATCATCCCGCTTAATCCTGGTCGAGTGAGCGCCATCTCGATCTTCTCCTGATCGGACAAGTGCGTTTCAGATCGAGTCCTCCCCGCCACATTACTCCGTGTGGTACTCCGTATGGCCATCTGCCATTGCATCACGATGAATGCTCCCACGGATGCTCGGAGGCGTCCGCAGATTCATGTCTGCCTCCAGATCCACCCGCATGTTCTCTTCCATTTCCTCCGCCTCGTCCTCGTCGCCCCAAAACTCCTTCAGATCCTCTACCCGCCACGCCGTTGCCCATCCCGTCTCGCGCTCAATCCGATTCAGCGTCTCTATAATCGCAGCGTGTTCCGAATGATGCGACATCACCTTGCCAGCCACCCATAACGGCTGCAATGCATTCGTCCAGCAGCCACTGCTCCATTAACTTGCTGACCAACCAAAGAGGGGACAAGAGCCTTACTGGTGTGTATTGGACGCGGAAATAGCGCATATCTGCCTCGCATGCCATAACACCGATTTCTAAGATTAACCTGTCAGCGTCATCCCACTGCGGTCTGTACCAGCGTCAGGTACCCCACCGGCCGGCGCTGCAGCGAAACCGTCTTGGGCTTTCGTTGCAGCAGAAGCAGCGCGCACGCATGATACAGTTGGTTGCCCGAGACTGCTCGGCGTCAGCATCCAATGATCGTAGACTGTGAGATGCAGGACACACTGGCGGCTCCGTTGCCATACAGCACCGTCGGGAACGGCCGCTCGCGCCCGTTCCCCGTCGCCGACACACTAAAGATCGGCTTCATCTGACTCGGCCGGTTCTCATACCATTGCTCCACATTGTCAAATAGCCGCTGCCACCGCGAGACGTATGAGTCGCCCTCTCTCGGACTCGACAGGTAGTGGCATGATACGCAGGCAGGGATCTGGCTCATCCCGAAGAGCACCCCTAGTGTCTGGGCGCAGAGAAACACGGTGTAATTGGCGTAGGTGTCAAAGGTGTACACATTCGACGCCAGGAACAGCTGCGACGCTTCGGTGGGGCTCATGTCGCGCGGAATCCAGTGGTGGATCGGAATGATGGTCTCCTCTTCGGAGATGAGGCCACCGCAGACATCTATGACATGCATTAGTGTGCCCCATCCAAAGCGGGGAACTTACCCATTCGTGCAAAGCACCAAAACAGGGCTTGCTCCTCTTTCCCCGAGAAGCCGTTGATTTCCGCGGCCTGGATCAGATAGGCGCAGCCATCCAGGTGACGGCGCCATTCCTTGGGATTGCCTACCACGGTCAGAGGGAAGTGGCGAGGAGTGAGGGGTACGGACAACTGAGCATCTCGAGGACACATAAAATCACGCATGACGCAATAACCGGTGTCGTCTTGCTCTCCAGCTCCGGCAGCAGCAGGTGAATGGCCTCCTGGTACAACGAGAGACTCTCCGATTGGGACTTGGCGTTCTGCTGCCGCTCCATCTGCCGCGCCGACAGGGCCAGAATCGAGTAGCGCAGATGCGCCGCCGACTTGGCCATCTGAGGGAAGGTGGAAGCGAAGTGTCGATGGTTGTCAAACATGTCCAGCTGCAGGGTTAGTGCCATTCAGCGCACTGGACAGAGACTTACCCATGAACAAATCTCGTTGAGATAGTTCTGCCACAAGACATTCTCCCGCTCTGGTGACAGTTCAAACTCTCCAATCTTGGACTGGACACGCCTGTCTACGTGAAGCTGGTCCTCGGCAACATTGCCATTGTCTCTGACTGATGCAGGGGTGCTGTCTCGACTGGGAACCTCCGTCCGGGCGGTCCAGAGCTGTCGGTTGCGCAGCGCTGTATGGAGGGCTTCGTAGGCCGAGCCAGGAACAAATACATCATTGGTGAGATCCGCCGGATCCGAGAAGACGCTATGGTCGAACAGCGGCGAGGTCATGGATTGGTAGTCGGGGCCGGAGAAATGCCCTGGGTTGCCGGCCAGGCTGCGCAGGGCTGTGAGCTCATCGACAATAAACTCCGGACTGGAATGGAGATAAGACTGTGGAGCGTCCCCGGGAAAAATAGGGTGAGGGGACTGCAGGCCGACTCCTTCGAGGCTCTGGTGAGAAAGCGGTGAGAGTCCATTGGAACAGGGACTGGGCGCTGCCTGATGATGAGAACCTGTCGTTGACTGGGATCCATCTGGATTCGACGGTGCCTGCACCTCTCCATTCTGCTCATGGCTGGGTGATGGTGGTCTCTCATCGACCGGCTCGGGCTCTTTCCGCTCCCTTCTCGTGGGTTGAGAAGGAACGACATTCAGAATCTATCCAATCAGCCACGGTCCTAAGAGCCAAGAATAATCGAATACCTTAAATTTACTCTGCTTCCGGGTTCGGACCCCCGTCTGGTTCATCGAGGGATGGCCCGCCTCCAGAACCTTGATGTTGGCCTCGCGGAACGACCCTAGCATGCGCCATTGGCACTTGTCCCCGCGCCGTTTGCAGCCCGTGCAGGTTGGCTTGACCTCATCGCCTGTGGAGTTAACAACTGTAGTGTTATCTCCGCTGGATCGGGCTCACATTTTCGACGGCGCCGGCTGCAATTGACGCAGCCGGTGCGGGTGCGTTTCCGCGGGGGAAGACGGGGAGTATCGTCCATAGTCAACTGCATGTCGCTATACACAAAGGGCTGAGATATCTCTGTCATGTGTAAACAGGTGATTGTTGGCAGCAACGAGGTGACAAAGAGGGGCCGGAAAAGTTGGGAGAAATGTTGCCCGATCGGGAAAAGATAACCGCCGGGGAGAATGTGGGGAAGTCGGAGTTTCCCCAGACGGGATTTCTGCGACTATTTACATGGGATCTTGCGATTACTCGACATGCTCCACAACACCCTTCATCTTCTCGTCCACTCGCTCGCTGGCATCCCCCACAACCCCCATCGACGCGTGCCAATGCAGTTGCACCTTGTCCCCGGTAAATAGCCGATCCACTTGTTCCAGAGTGAGATTCCGTGTCTCCGGATAGAAGAGGTAGATTAGTGGCAGGAAGCAGAAATTGAATACTATCATCGGTCAGGCCATACACTTCCGTAAGTTTCTAGGGGGATGGCTACCGGCAAAATAAATGTATGTGCGATAGCCAATGTTCTTAATGCTGACCGGGGTGATTTCCACCACCAAAAAGGTAAAGATCCCTGCATCGTCAGAATAATTCGGTAGATGGGTGGTCATCACTTACAGTTGGTAGCAGTAGCAAGAGCCGCAGCCTGGGTTCGAATAGACAGCGGAGCATATTCGGCGGGCACTGTCGTCATCAGCACGAGCCTTTCTTAAAGAATAGACTACCTACGCAACCAAGGAATGGCCAGCAAGCCCACGGCGAAGAAAAAGTTGAATAGGAACAGCATGACAGTAGCCACAACACCGGCTGCGTGGCCACCGTCATACACCGTACCCGCCAGTACCGCCATGCAGATGCATTGTCCGGCGGCCGCGAAGAGCATCAACTTTCGGCGACCCAGTCTAATCCATTAGCCCCGAACCCTCCTCGATTTGGCTGACTCACCGATCAATCGCCCAAATGGGAATAAACGTCGACACAAAGTATGCCACGCCGTTGAACCCGGCCATCAACAATGCTAGATTGTGGCTCATGCCGACCGAATCCTCAAAGATGACCGTATTATACTGCTCACATTAGATCAGGAACCCAAGCGTGTAGGCAACGCACATATGTGATAAGGTTGACGCCCGACAGTTGCTGCATCATCTGGCCGCCCATTCCCAACAGCGTACGGTAAAAGAATTTCTGGTTGCCGTTCGTAAACACCAGCCGAAAGGACCCTTCTTGCGTTGCTTGCTGCTCCTCAGCGATGGCTCGAGTAATCTCCGTAACGTCAGCATCTACGGTGGCATCGTCTTCCGAGATCAATCGAGCATTGGGCTGAACAGCCCAGATGACGTGGCGAGCTTCATCGTGTCGGCCATGCGCAATGAGCTGTCACATCAGCATATCATCTCATATGCAAGGGGAATACCTACCCAGCGAGGAGACTCGGGCAGCACAATAACTCCGATCAAGGTGATGATGGCAAAGAGGATCTGCAAAGCAATAGGGAAGCGGAATTGCGCATCGTTCGTCACATAACTCATGCCGTAATCTAAGCCATCAGCATGGTCCACAAAGACGTTGACACTACTCACCAACCCAGTATGCAGTCATAACACCGAAGATATTGATACACAGCTCAATTGCAAGCTAGTAGGATTAGCACCGTCCTCTACCCTTGTTGAATCACTCACCCCCTTTCCGCGACTGGCTGCCTTGCTCAGTTCCGAATGCCAGACCGCTGCCACAGTCAGCTTAGCCCTCTATGTCCAAGAAGCAACGTACGGATAGTACTCGTGTTGAGTCCATTTCCAATGCCAGCCACGATTCTACCCACGATCAAATGTGGGATGGTGTACGCACTGCACTGCAGCGCAGCCCCGATGGACAGAACAATACAGCCAGCTATAATGCACATCCGACGACCAATTCGTTCACCGATCAGTAGCGCAATGATGGCACCGAAGAAGCAACCGATCTCATAGATGGCAGTACTAGACCGTCAGCTAAGCACAACCATTTCATATCTACACTTACACTGTGCCTTGTAACGATGAACTGCCGTGTCCGGTCGAGGTAGTGTCAATCTCTGGGAACGTTCGAGTAAAGGCCGTGCCGGTCAACAGACCAGACATGACACCCTGGTCATAACCGAACCTGGAGAGTCAATTACTGATCGCCTGTATGGATCAAGACACTCACAGCAGGAACCCACTTCCTGCAGTGGTAGTAATAGCCCACGCTAGGGGCTTTCCAACGAGAATAGTCATGTTTAGGACTCAAGAATGGATACAGACGCAATCATGGCAATTAGGGCTGCATCATTCAGGGGTTAGATCAACTTTTATAGGACATGCGACCTCCGATGGACGGCTCGACGTCATACTTGGGGATTGTGGGGGCCTGAGGGAAAAGCCGGGGTTGGCGTGGAGAACCACGCATCCGGGAAAGCTCTACCCGATAGAGTTCTGTCGGTGGTTTCAATCCATCGTCTGATCAGGAGCCATGACTTGGTCGTTGTATCCATATTACTCATAGCCACTATTCGACCGTATAGCCAGTCCAGCCTCATGTGAAGGTCAACAGTGCCATTAATCGTAGGCTTCTACAAGTGACCAAGTCGGGCCATCCATCTAGGCGTCTCCGGCTTAACGAGAAGTAGTGGGGAGCGGGATAGGGCATCGTACGGTTGACTCAACAATTACCCGATCCGGTAATGTTACGCGCCTCTGCCGGGCCCACATGGCTTGACCCCGGCAACCCGCCAACGCCACGGTTTCAGAGCCGATAATCGGGAAATTCCCGCCTGGGAAGTGTTAAGCTCCTAACAGTACCTATGCGCTTGAGTATTGCTGCATAGTATCGGAGTCTCGAGAACCATGTCAATAGTGTGTCTGCACAGCATGTCGGATCGAATCTTCCTAGTTGGGTTATCGTTAAGCGCTTCCATGAGCTGTCCGTCTAGCTTATATGAACCTCCACGGGATGTCCTTGTCAGGCGTGCTCTTCGATTCCTTCAATCACTCAACCTCCGTTCACTTCGCCATGGCCCCCTCCGTAGTAATTGATACCACCCCCGAGGTCGTCCTCGAGAACACCACTCCTGCCGTCCAGGAATCCACCCAGCCGCCGGTGGTTGGCCGCACAAATGACCTCTTCTCCTTAGGCAACCGCACAGTCGTGATCACCGGTGGTGGTCGCGGTCTCGGGATCGTCCTCGCGGGTGCCGTTGTTGAAGCCGGAGGTGACGTTGTCTGCTTGGACCTTCTTCCTAGCCCCAGCGCAGAGGAATGGGCGTCTGTGCAGAAGCTGGCCACAGCCCGCGGATTGAAAGCAACATACATCCAGTGCGATATTACGGATGAGCCATCGACGCAGAAAATCCTGGAACAAGTTGCCGCGGAGGGACGGAGTCGGGGTATGCCGCTGCGTGGAGCTGTGACCTGTGCTGGTATTCAGCAGATGGTGCCTGCTTTGGAGTACCCGATTGATATGTGGAAGAAGATGTTGGATGTGAAGTGAGCAACCATGGCCTTCAAGAACGATTGGAGACTGACTATGCAGTGTGATCGGAACATTCATCCCCGCAAAGCACTGCGCCCGTATTTTCAAGGAGCAGAACATTCCTGGGAGCATTGTGATGATTGCTTCTATGTCGGGCCAGATTGCCAACCGGGTATGTTTTCATCCTCTCTTCTGTGACGATATACTAATGCAGCAGAATAGGGATTGACTTGCACCGCATACAACTCCTCCAAAGCTGCTGTGCATCAAATGTGTCGCTCCGTTGCCCAGGAATGGGGTCAGTACGGCATCCGTGTGAATACTCTATCCGCAGGTGTATGTGCCAGTCCTTGTTGACGTATTGGATGTTTCTAACCATGAAACAGTACATCCGCACCGCCATGACCGATGCGCTGCTTCAGGAAAAGCCCGAGGTCGAGGAAACCTGGATGCGCGGTGCATTGCTAGGCCGTCTCGGTGTTCCGGAGGACTTCAAGGCACCGACAGTGTACATGCTTGCTGATGGAAGCGGGTTCATGACGGGCACGGATTTGAGGGTCGATGGTGGCCATTGTGCTTCTGCTTGAATGATCTCTGACGGGGTCTTTGTTAGATGGTTGGCGTTGAGGATAGATAGGACATCCAATGCATGAATTGCTTACTGCTGATCCGGTGCGGGCGTGGGTGAGTCCGAGTCGCGGAGCTTGAGTTGGGGAAAATCCGTAAGTGAGAGGGCAGGAGATGGCTTGAGCTGTAAACTTGGGATATCTCCACTGTGGTGGCTCCGAATCTAAGATCACTAGCTCCACAAATCCAGGGGCTTAATCCAGTGATGAAAATCAGGCTGGTTCTGTTAATTCGTGATGATTCGAGGGATGTCAGGAAGAAGAAGCGAAATGAGTGAAAACAAAGCCGTGACTCTATCACCTGACCTACGTAATTTCTAAAGAAACTTCTATCAGTCTACCCCTGATTCTTACTTTCAGCGAACGATTATACCATCTCAAGGTCTTCAGCAGTTCGAATTCAGTAAGGCGTGACATAGTAGAGGTGTCAACGGACCCACAAACCAGAACCGATTCTGCAAGGCTGTGGAGAATGAAGCAAGCAAAACCGCGCTGATCACGTGGCCATTGTTCAGCCCGCATCGGGATGCACTGCTTACCATAGCATCCATAAGTACCCGCATAAATTCGGCCAAATCCGCACATTCAAAAGGATGGCTGGGGAATGCCAAACTGGGTTCCAAGTACTCCATATGGGATCCCCGTACAATGCTTCTTTCTCTCACTAAAATGAGTATTTATCTCAGCTCCGTAATACCGAGCAAACTAGCCAAACGGGTAGTTTAACTAATGTCACGTTGGAAGCATGATGATGTGGACATGGCATTGGAGGGCTAGTCTTCTGGCAATGTTTATCGCATCATTGACCCATGTGGACGCTTTGCTTTGGATATCAGGATGCATGCAGCGTGCGTATTCTAGATTGTCAGACTGGAGATAACAGTCCGACCTTCCTAAGTGGCTAATTGCGTCTATTGGCTTCAACCAATTGTCCTCCCTTCCGCATCTGAAATGCCAAGGTTTCACGCCACATGAATATATAGTAAGCCAATGCAGCTGCAGAATTCGTCCATCTTGAGTGGACAGGGTACTGGCGGAATGCACAATGTCACTGTGTTAAAGGGGCATTGTTACTTGGGCCTGGTCAAGCCAGGGAGGACGGGGATCAAGGGATGAGGGAAGGCATCCCATCCACTCCGCGGGTCATCCCCTTTGATTCACGTTAAATCTCTGAGCCAACCTTGTATGGCTCGCCGTCGATGGTGTGGATCCTTACCATTCATTCCATGTCTTGTGGAAAAATGGACGTATCCGGGGCGACCGAGGTTCCGGATTTGGCTGGATGAAAAAGGGATCAAGAATCAGATGATTTGTGCAACGAGTAGGATGACGTTCGAAGAAGAGACTCCCACTGGGAGGTGGACCTTTTGAGTTCCTCCTAATTGTAGCGTGAACTCTTAGGTAGCACTAGATGTCGGAATAGGCTGGGCTGGGGACTTATTTGATCAAAGCGGCGGATAAGTTGTGGGGAGATGCGACTTGAAAAGTACTAGCAACGGAACTGGTTGAAGCTAGTAGATAGTAGATAGGCCCGTTTCAGAATGGATAATCTCTCACGGTGGAGATCAACCATGGTTGCGTAGGTCAGTCCCAGGATCCAGTAGTACGGAGTAGGGGACTATACCACCGCACGAAAAGGAGACTAATGGTCGGAAAGTGTAACAATAATTGAAACACAATCCGATTGTTGCTTTCTACGGATTTGTCCTTGACCTTATAGGAGAACGATAATGGTTGACTCTTCCGGTGGTCGTGGTCTGTTTGCAGTGAGTAGGTGCTAAAAATATATATCTTTCTGGGCTGGTGACAAACACATACGGCGCTTTCACCTACTTCATCACCAGCCAAGCAAAAAGGTCGTACGCGATCGGTGCTATCTGTAGTCATCAGGGGCCTATATAAGCCACACGACTACGATACACTTGATCTGGTGTATGCTACACGGTCATCGGGCGAGCGTAGCTCTAGGGCGACGAGGGCATCAGTTGATGTTGACCTGCATCCATCTGCAGCCACGTTCCAGGCCCTGAAGAATCCCTCGATTGCCCCAGCAATCCCCCCCCCCAGCCTGCACTGGTTGGTCTACCACCATACCTCCTCATTGTTCAATGATAACGACGAACGACCCTCGTTACGCAAAATGTCATGTTGATAAGGATCTGCCAGATTTCTGATCCAGACTCGAGCGGAGTGTCCCGTACATAGGTGAGACACCCCCCCTGATTTCTGTGCGATGTCCGATCCCAAGGAAGCCACCATCGGCCAACCCCTTCCAACATCCGGGTGGTGACCCAAGGGCGTGACCTCAGGAGTTCCCAACATTCGTCACCTACATCGCCATCCCCCTATCTTTAAACCTCACATCACCTATGTTGCCAGAGCCTGCTTTCCTTCGGTTGACTGATATCCTTCCGTGGATTTAGCATCATTGCGCTAGACATACATTTCTACAGCTGCATCTTACCGACTTACGGAAATATGACGAGTCCACTCAGCCCGGCGACCGATCACCCACTCATACTAAACGAGAAGCGCTCCGCCTCTGGAACAGGTCTCCTACCCACGGTCCCCGAAGCTGCGTCTATTGCATCGTCACCGGACCTGCAACAGGGGGAATTCAACCCGTCCGCCGGGGCCAAACCATCCTCACCCTTTTATCGCCATGCCACGCCATCGCTGGCCATCGACCGACTGAAGAAGGCCGCGCAAGCCACGACACAGTACAAGCCTCTTGACCCCGAAAACCCCCCAACGCTCGACCGACAGTCAGCCGGATCCGGACATCGCGAGTCCAAGCTCTGGGTTCAGGAAAAGCGAAGCTGTGCGTGGATGACGCGGCTGAGCAGGAAGCAACGCATGGTGGTTAAAGCAAGCATTGCCATTCTGACTGTTGGCACAATGGTTGCGATTGCGCTGGGGATCACGGCGGCTGTGGGAGGAGCTGTGTGGAGGTCTGATACACAACAAGTGGTGATCGGGGGGTAGCGGGAGTGGCCCGATGATGGTGGTTTAGAATGGCGGTGGATACCTGGGCCACAGGAATCGTGGATATTGGAGAGCGAAGAAGGAATTACCAATGGGGCTGAGGTTCTATGTAGATGTGGTCACGATGGCCGAGAGCAGTACTTAGTTCTGTACATAAATAGCCAGTAGAGACTGGATGAATGATGGCCGTGGGAGCCTTGGAGCCCTGGTGCCTGACGGGCCGCCCGCTAGCCTTGGGGGGCCTTGGTGCCTGGCGCCGTCAAGCGAGACCGGGACCCGCCTCACGTGACGCACAACGGCTATAAAAAGCGGGCGACCGCGGCGATCTTTCCTCTTCTTTTCTTTTCTCTCCATACATCGAAAAGCTTTAACAGAGCCTGCCACGACCGTCGTCCAGCCTTTTCCACGGCGACGTGTTGCCTTCGGTCTACGGACTGATCGGCTCTGGAGAGAAATGCTGCAATTTTCCTTGATAGGAAGTTTGCCTCTCGTTGGGTCCTCTTCAGTGAGGGCGATGAGGGGTGAATGTCGATGACGGGATACATCTCTTTTATCATACCATAATGAATTTAAAATCGCTTTTGAAAACTCTTCTCTCAGACGCCGGATGCCGGCGTTTAATATCTTCCAGTAGATGTGTATTTTGTGAGAGTCTTGCATGACGTGCTACTGGGTCTGCCGCGTGGAACAGATTCCGAAGGTCTTGGACTGGGGCCTGTCTTAAATAATCAGCAACGCCACCTCCATCCTCAATGACAGCAGCTCGGTTCTGTATTGAAGCGTCATTGGTGTTTAGTTGCGAAATGTTCATGTTCTAGCTAACCTTCTCACAGCCTCGTCCCGTGTTCTTCGTGGAAGGGGCCTATGACGACTACCGGCGGGCGTGGATCACGCATGCCAATCCCCTGGCTTCCCGCGCCATCGACCCCAGGAATGCTCACGATACCTTGGAAGGGTGTCTCCTGAGACGCCGGACACATGGTCCCTCCATGGCCATTGGACCTGATCTCTACCATTCCTGGAGGCATTCTCCGGCCACAACAATGCCTGTGTTTGTCGCGCGCGTTAGAACACAGCAGCATACCAAGGAAACTGTGCGCGAGAGGATCGAAAATAAAAGGTGCAACCGGGGCCTTCGATCCTTCAAGGAGCACCCTATCCTACAGTACCTGGTCACTCTCTCATTGTGGTCTTTCTGTGGTTTCGTTCCTTCCACCTGATCTTCCCTTGGCCTATTGGCCGAAGTCATTCTTTGATCACGTTCGATTCGACTTTGTATTGTATCGAATTCCAGAAAGACTGCTTTTTGTAATCCTGCAACATGAAGGGACTCCAGGGCGGACTATCCATCGCCATGCTGGCCACTGTAGCTAAGGCACAGTTGATATCGGGTGCTGGTGGAGTGGACACGGGCAATACCGCCGCCGTCCCGATCACCAACGGCTTTTCCTCCTCGGTCAACGAGGCACATTCGGACGACCACTCGGTGGATGTGGACGCGAAGAAGACGGTTGTGGATCCACATGGACATCCTAGCCACCCGAACCACCCTGGACACCATTGGACCAGGGACAACGTCGACGGAAAGGATACTGGAGCTGAGTACTATCACCCGGAGACGAATGTACAGTCAACCTCCGTGAACGAGTCCCATGAAGGGGACCATTCGGTCGAGATCGACGAAGACGTCAAGGTTGTGAAACCTGCTCATGGTCGTCCTCACCCCCGTCCGCATGAACCAGGCCACCCCAAGGCACGAAGCACTGACGACCTGATCAGTGGTGAAAGCGGCACCGATACTGGTAACGCGGCTGCTGTGCCTTTCACCAGTTCTTTCTCGTCATCCGTTAGCGAAGCCCATTCGGATGACCATTCAGCTGCGATCCATGACGATAAGACGGCAGTTGACCCCGAGAGACACCGCCCTCACCACCACAAGGGGCGCGGAGAAGATGCTCTGATCAGTGGGGCGGCTGGTGTAGATACCGGCAATTCGGCGATTATACCCATCACAAACGAATTTTCGTCCTCTGTGAACGAGGCGTACGCGGATGACCATTCGGTAGACCTGAATAAGGACAAGACTGTCGTGGATCCCGATCATAGGCACCACCACTGGCCGCGTGAGGAGCATGATTTGATCGGGGGTGCGCATGGTACTGACACCGGTAACTCCGCAGCAGTACCGATCACCAACAAATTTTCCTCGGCTGTTAATGAGGCTTATACGGATGACCACTCGGTTGACCTGAACAAGGACAAGACTGTTGTGGATCCGGATCACCCTAGGCACCATCACTGGCCGCGCGAGGAGCATGATTTGATCGGAGGTGAGCATGGTACTGATACTGGCAACTCTGCAGCAGTACCCATCACGAACAAATTTTCATCATCTGTGAACGAGGCGTACGCGGATGACCATTCGGTAGACCTGAACAAGGATAAAACCGTGGTCGATGCGAATCACCACAGACCTCATCACTGGCCGCGTGAGGAGCATGATTTGATTGGCGGTGAACATGGCACGGATACCAGCAATTCGGCAGCTGTACCTATCACGAACACATTCAGCTCGGATGTAAATGAGGCACACTCAGATGACCACTCAGCAGACGTGAACAAAGACAAGACGGTCATCCACCCCGAAGACCACCATCCCGAAGATCACCACCACCACCACTGGAGGAGGGAGCATGAGGACCTCATCAGCGGGGCCAGCGGCATCGACACCGGCAACTCTGCCGCAATTCCCATCACCAATGGGTTCTCATCAACTGTGAACGAAGCCAGCACGGATGATCACTCTGCCAAGGTCGACAAGGACAAGACAGTGGTTGCTCCTGAGCATCACCCGGAGTTCCACCACCCCCATCATATTCGTGGAGAAGCCGGGGGTCCCACATTGATTGGAGGTGCTTCGGGTGTGGATACAGGCAACAGCGCTGCTATTCCTATCACAAACGGCTTTTCGTCGTCCGTGAACGAGTATTCGTCAGACGATCACTCCGTAGACGCTGATCTCAAGGATACTTTTGTTCGTCCGGGAGCGCATCACCCTCATCATGTGCGCGACTTGATTGGCGGCGCTGGGGGAATAGATACCGGAAACTCAGTTGTTATTCCCATCACGAACGCGTTCGCCTCTTCCGACAACGAGGTCTCTTCCGATGACCACTCCGCCGACGTCAATGTCAAGGACACACTGGTTGCACCACCGGTTCATCATCACCCTCACCCTCATGTGCCTCGGGATCTCATCTCTGGAGCGTCCGGGATTGATACCGGGAACTCTGCTGTTCTTCCTTTTACCAATGAATTTTCATCGTCCTATAATGAGTACTCGAGCGACGACCACTCCGCCGATGTCAATGTCAAGGACACTATTGTTGACCCCAAGTCCCACCATCATCACCCGCATGCGCCCCGAGAGCTGATCGGTGGTGCGCACGGTGTTGACACAGGGAACTCAGTAGTCATCCCTTTCACGAATGTCGCTTCGAACGAAGTAAGTGAAGCGCATTCAGACGACCACTCGGCAGATGTAGATGTGAAGGACACGGTCGTCGACCCGACTGCTCACCACCCTCATCCCCATTTCCCCCGTGATTTGATCAGTGGTGCCGGCGGTGTGGATACCGGCAACTCAGCTATACTTCCCTTCACCAACGTGGCCACTTCGCAGGTCAATGAAGCGAGCTCAGACGACCACTCCGTTGACGCCAATATCAAAGGCACCCTGGTGAAACCGGAGGTCCCTCATCACCCTCACTCTCACCCGCACTTGGCACGCGATCTCATCAGTGGCGAGAGTGGAATCGATACCGGAAATTCTGCAGCACTTCCCTTTACTAACGAGTTCTCCTCCAAAGTCAATGAAGTGAGCGCGGATGACCACTCGGTTGATGCTAATGTCAAAGGCACTGTTGTCAATGAGCCGCCCCATGGTTATCCACACGCGCATCCCCATCACCCGAGAGACTTGATTGGTGGTGCGGGAGGAGTTGACACGGGAAACAGCGCTATCCTCCCCTTCACTAATGAATTTTCTTCGGAAGTCAGCGAGGCTCATGCAGATGATCATTCCGTCGATGCGAATATCAAGGATACGCTGGTCAATGAACCGCATCGGCATCATCATCGTCGCGGGGATGACAGCCTCATCAGCGGCGTGTCAGGTGTGGACACAGGCAACTCGGCTTTTATTCCAATCACAAACGCTGTCGGACAGGATACCAACGAATATTATAGTGATGATCACTCTGTCAGCGCGAATATCGACGATACCGTTGTGGACCCCTCCCATGGCCACCCCGATTACCATGGTCATGCGGACCCAGGCCATATCTCTGCCCCTGTTCACGGAAGCGATCAGGACCCTGAACAGGGCATTGGTCATGCCACCGAGCAGACCTCGGATCAGGCCGACACTCATGGCACCGAGTCACAGCCCTGCTCGTCCCAGGTTACTCATGAAGTTGTGCACACTATCACCCGCACTTTGAACAGTGAGCCCACAGATGGTGCTTTCGCCAATCATGCACTGCCTGCCACGCCTGCGTACAACGCTCCTGCTGCGGAGGTCACCGGGGTGGTTGAAGGAACCTCCGCGTATAGTGCACCCCAAGCCACACCCGTGGTGAATGCCCCCGCCCAGGCTACCGAGGCCACTGTTGTGTCTATTCCTGTCTACGAGGTACCGGCTGCGGCTACCGAGTCTACAGGGCAGGATGCTCCTGTGGACAACGTCCCTGCGCCGGCTTCGGAGGCTAGTGCCGAGTCAACCCCAGCGTATAATGCACCAGCCGAGAACACCGGGGCCGCTGCTCCGTCTGTCCCAGCCTATAACGCACCTGCCGAAGAAACTGGAGTCGCCGCTGTGTCTACCCCGGCCTACAATGCCCCAGCCGAGGAGACGGGAGTTGCTGCGTCTACGCCCGCTTATAATGCACCGGCTGAAAACACCGGCGTGGCTGCTGCATCTACCCCAGCGTACAACGCCCCGGCCGAGGGCACAGGGGTGACCCCTCCATCTGCCCCAGCCTACAATGCACCCGTTGACAACACCCCGGCCGCCGATGCGTCTACTCCTGTTTCTGATAGTGAAGCTGTAGTTGTTGAGCCCAGCGGCGGATCTACTTTCTTCAGCCCGGACATTGCGGAGGCCCACCATCTGGTCGACACCGCGGCATCCTCAGCGGCACAACCGCCCGTGGCTCTGAGCACCAACGCCGCCGCTGCAGCCCCTGCCCCAACCGAGGCGGTCGACATCGACACCATCGCATCAACCATCACCATCCAGGAGGCGTCTACATTCCACATGATCCCGGTATACGTGCCCGCGCCTACTCAAACCCTCGTGGAAGTCGCAGCCAGCAGCACGCCATCGTCTCGTCCCACCGGCGTCGATGCTTTCCAGCCGTCCTTCCATTACAACCTGCCGCTTGCTTCATCTGCCTCCCTTCCTTCGTCAAGCAGCGTCCTGTTCACTGGCGCCGGTGCACAAGTGGCCCCTGCCGCCGGCCTCTTCCCGTTTGTGGCTGGCATTGTTGCTCTTCTGGCTCTCGTTTTGTAAAAGATCTTCTCATCCATTAATGCCAATTCCCCAGAATGTCCTATACGTTGCATATTCACCTGACCGCATTATTTGTTGTTTGCTAGATTTGAATTAATGACTGTCGCTCGCTTCAATTCAAACCATAGTCGAAACCTTACAACTCCGTACTACTATTTCGATAACTCTTTTACTATCTGTCTATCTATCAGTACCAACCCAATACCAACACGTAAATCTCCCACGTCAACCCACTCAGCCCAAGACGCACGATCAACTATACATCCCGCCTGCTGCACCTGCACCTGTAACGCACATCGCCGATCCACCACTACCACCACCACCACCTCCCATCTGGCATCTCCCCATAGGCCCATCAATCTCTTTCTTCACCACGCATATATCCCGAAATATACACTGCATCATCTATCACCTATCTAGCTACCCCTCAGCCAGCCACCATCCATCCATCTATTCATCCATTCCCACGACAATCAACCCATCTACATCCAGAACGGAAAGACTAATCCCTCACACGGTACCCCTACCGTACCTAAAGTTTTTTTTTTTTTTTTTTTTTTTTTTTTTTTTTTTTTTTTCTTTGTTTTCTATAAGGGATAATAAAAAATGGGGTCAATGAATATCGATTGGTTAAACGCTGGTTGTGGATGTTAGGAAGCTGGTGCTGATGCTTGTTTGCTTGCTTTCTATTTTCCGTCCTTTGTTCTTTGGTTGGTTTGATGTTGTTGATTTAGTTCTTCTTTCTTTCTTCCTTTCTAACTTTTTTGTTCTTGGGCTTTGGTGGTCGCTGGTATTTACGCTAGGGAGGAAGAGAGAGAGAGAGAGGGAGGGTTACACGGCAGTTCGGGGATGATTGTATCGTGGTTGTGGTTGTGATTTCCGGGTGATGCGGCAGGGGCGGGGCATACGGATATTGTTACTTTGGGGGCTTATCTGCAATTGTATTCTGATATTTAGGGAAGTGGAAGTGTAGAATGAGTGCTGATTGGCTATAGAGGGCAGGGGGTTAGGATTTTGAAGCTAGGCTGGCTGGCTGGCTGGATGGATAGATCATCGATGAATGGATGGATGGGGGATGTTATTCTGGTAGGGTTCTTGCAGGTAGTTGCAGGTGCTGTGCAGTAGGGAGATCGGCCAATGGTGTAACAGTACATCTATGCATCTAGTGGCTCAAGATACATTTCGTAATGCAGCTTGTGAGTTAGGATTGAGGTGTTGCCAGCAAATGATCTAAGGGCGGTGTTGAGGGTCTATGATATTTGAGGTGGTTTCTTCGATCTGTCATGAACCCAGTTCTGGAGAATAGGCTACTCCTTTCTTGTTAAGAGTGCAATATCATGCCAATATGCCTGTATCGGTCGGGAATCGTGGGGCGCAGGCAGCAGAGTTGAAGGACGAGCATTTGGGTAGTCGGCCAGTGTCGACGCCGGATATTGAAGAGGCACACACAGATGAACTTCCTCCCGATGGAGGGATAACGGCTTGGCTGGTCGTGTTGGGTGCTTGGTGTGCAATGTTCTGCAGTTATGGATGGCTTCATAGTAAGTGTTTGTAAGAGTGGTAGATACGAACCTTCATGGGGCTGTGATTGCCGGCTGACCATCGAATCTAATACGATAGGCGTTGGCGTTTTCCAAGATTACTATCAAACCGTCATGTTTCCGCACGACTCCGTGAGCAAAATCTCCTGGATCCCGTCCCTTGAGGTCTTCCTCATGCTTGGCTTGGTAGCGTAATCGAGCTAGATGTAAAAATCTATACTGACGTGCAGATCAGGGTCCTATTGTGGGCCGGCTCAGCGACACCGTTGGACCACGCGCCGTGGTCATGGCAGGCTCATTTTTGCACGTCTTCGGGCTTATGATGGCCTCCATCTCAACCAAGTATTACCAGGTACTGCTTGCACAGGGAATTTGCAGTTCAATAGGCCTCAGTGCCATCGCTCAGCCGGCCTTGAGTATCCTTCCCAGCTGGTTTAATGCAAAACTCGGCACTGCCTATGGGGTCATGTCGTCGGGTGCCGGCATTTCTGGCGTCATCCTCCCCGTCATGGTCAGTCGACTCATCGACAAAGCCAGCTTTGGCTGGGCCATGCGGAGTATCGCATTCCTCACCCTATTCCTACTCATCATCGCCAGCCTTACCATCAGGGAACGCGTGCCGCCACGCCCAGAGGCCCTGACCAAAGAGACCGTCCTGCGCCCGTTTCGAGATGTGAAGATGGTCCTGCTCGTTTTCGGCTGTGTCTTGCTGACCTTTGGCATCTGGATCCCACTCGACTACATAATCACATCGGCAGTGGCCGCGGGGATGCGGCCCAGTTTCGGACAGTGGCTGGTGCCCATACAGAACGCCGGGGGGTATGTGCCACTCCCCATGTTGCCAGATAGGAATTCTGACGGATAGTAGCATCGTTGGACGTACGCTGTCCGGTCTCTTCGCGGACAAGATCGGCACGTACAATGTGTTCATCTCGTTCTCCATCTGCACCGGTATCCTGGTACTTGCACTTTGGGTACCCGCCACCAGCAACGCCGCTGTGATCGTTTTCGACGTGCTGTTTGGAATTGCTTCAGGAGCGTACTTCTCTCTGATTGTCGCCGTGGTAGCATGCATAGCCCCGCCCCAGGAGATCGGATACTGGAGTGGCGTAAACTTCATGTTCGCCTCGGTCGCAGGACTTGCAACGGGTCCCATTGCAGGCACTATCCTAGCACAGGATAACGGCTCGTACTGGGGAATGAAGGTTTACTCGGGCGTTCTGATCCTCGTTGGCAGCGCGTTGGTGCTGGGGACGCGGGTGCTGCAGACGGGGCTTGTGCTGCGAACCAGGTTTTGATGTGATCCATTTCGTGGACTCTGCATGTCAGTATCCCACGATACTGTGACGCTTGTAGCTATGAAGGCAGGAATGAATGCTCCGCTGTTGCGAGGTCGAGACCGCTAGGATATTGACGATTAAGACGATGTCTGATTGGCCGACAGGAGCACCAATGCTGAGTCATAATGGCCACTCATGACGCTAACGAGGTTGAGGAGCAAGATAGAAGGCGAAAAGAGGAGAGCTGGCTGTGAATGGGCGTACCTGTGAGGAAAGAAGCCTGGGTGGATGCGGCCGTGCTGCAGGGTTGCTGGCGACGGATCTCCATCTTGCGGGTACCTTAGAGACAGACGCGATTTGCCTCCCACTTCAGATTCGAGAACCCGGATCGATCAGGAGTCTCAACTGGGCGAGAATAGTCGATTACTCCAATTGTGTTTCATCATCGATTTGCCCGCCTTGCATGCGTGGGGACCTTCTGATATCATAGTCTCATCATGGACCCAGAGTCGATCCGGGCGTGGACGGTGACATCAGATGCCGGACAAGCCCAACCACCAGCTATATAAACCATGTCGAAACACCAGTCTATCACCCATCAAACCAGACTCTTTCAGATGCTCTATAATCACAGTCTCTCTACCCTCGAACCTTCCGAAGAACAATCTCATCCAACACCTACCACCAAAATGTCTTCTCCTCACCGCGGCGGCAGACTCGAAGACATGGCCCCCCAGGGCACTCGCATTCCCAATGATGCAGGCATCATGAACACCATCCCTTCCGTCCCTCGACCAGACCAGAGAGACGAAGACTCGCAATTCGACAACTACGGCGTCGCTCATCCCACCTCTGCTTTTGCCGCCGACAACGCCACCGACATGCCACGCAGCACCCGAGACATGGGTGCCTCGGGTGAAGTCATCACAGGCACTGGAAACAACTTCCCCGCAGAGGGCGAGTCCAAGAGAACTCTCATCGGCACCAACCACCCCGGCGCCAAGGGAGAATCCAGGAATTTGAAGCACGCCAACCTCAACCGCAGTGGTTATGAGCGGTTTGCTGCGGAGGACGAGGATGCCATCGGCGAACATCAGATCAGAAACGAATAAAGGACAGGCGTATCCGGAAATGTTTTATATATATGACGTGATGTATTATAGATGAACGAAAGTTACTGTGTCTTTTACAATGAACGTAGACCTCTGGTCAGCCTATAAATCCTCGGTAGATCTCATCGAGAACGTCGCGTTTCCGTTTACGGTCCGCTCGTTCAGCCTCTTCGGCTTCGTCGGGCTCTCCCTCGGGTTCTCGTGAAACCCAGGTGCGGATGGTCCCGTCGCCGTGGGCCGAAAACATCTCGAGGCCTTCTCCAGAGGCACCGTTGCCGCGCCAGGCGAGGGAATTGATTCGCGCAGCGCTCAGGGCACTGGAGCGTCCTTGGAACTGCTGGCGGCCCGTCATAAGGCCTGGAACGCGGAGTAGTTTAATGAATGTCCCCTCGTGGAGATCAAACATGAAGATTTCGCCGCGATCATCCCTGTCATTGAAGTTCGGCCACAAGAAAGTATCCTGCCCTGGCATGACCATACCTTTCGGCACAACCAGAGGCGCCCTTTCGGCCAGATGCGCGGTCGCGCTGTTCCGCACCCTCGGGCCAAAATGTACAAGGGTGTTCGCACCTGTCCCGGCATTCCAGACTCGGATTCGAGCGTCCTGTCCTGCGGTCACCAAATGTGAACCATTGGAGGTCCATCGCACGCCAGTCACCGCGCCATTGTGGGCTCGAGCATGAGGAGAGAATGCCGGGCGACTCTCGTCAGATGCGCGGGTACCTCCCGGACGGACATGCCCCACAGCATCATCCATGTCTAGCGCAGCAATGGCTGAATTATGACCCCCACGACGTATGTCGAAGAGAATCACTCTGTTGTCTGCCGACGCAGAGGCCAGGATGTGTGGCTGATGGGGAGCCCATGATACGGATAGGACGGAAGAATCATGCCCAGGCAGGCCATGTGTAGACAGACCAGACCGTAGGTCAAGCAATCGCACCGGCTTCTCCGAGGTACCTACTGCAATGAGCAGCGGGGAGGCGGGGTTGGATGACAAGGAGTGGGTGTACGGTGTGCAATCCAGATTGAAGGTATGCACCGGTGTGATGGCGCTTGGCGCAAGCGCTGACAGCTTAAGAGTGCCATCGTACGATGTTGTCAGGATTGTAGACGGCGTGGGATCGAAGGGATAGATGGAGATTGAGGTGATGGCACGAGTGTGGGCATCTTCATGGGAGGCTTTGTTGACAGATGCAGCCGACCGGTGCATATGGTTCAGATCTGAGCCTCGTGTCTCCAGATCCCACAAGTGCACTGAAGGATCTGCCCCTCCAGAGACCATGCTGCCTTCGTTAACACGAGCCGGAAACCGGGTTGGGGAACGTACTATCGGCCCTCATATTGGTCTATCGCGAGCACATTCACGCCCGCTTTATGTGCAAATACTTCATCGTCTAAGCCAGAATGTATCTCTGCAGCAGGAGAGCGATTCTCAGCTCGACCTGCTGGAGTATCTTTACGCGAAGAGAAGCGAATGCCCGGGGCCGGCTCCAGGTGCTGGATCAGCCGGGAAGTCTGGGCGACATGGAAGGTAGACGGACTAATGGACCCCAGGGCCCTACTGAGCAGATACGAATTCATTCATTAGGCTGTAGAGCTCCGCTCAACCTCAAATGGGGTCTGGCTCGTTCGTGAATGAAGGATGACGGGCTCTCGCCTGGCCAGGACGGAGAGACCGCGCCCGGGGAAAGGTTAAGCCGGGATGGGCGGGAGGGAAAATCTGCGGGGGTCGCAAAAAGGCATTCATGATTCGGAGCTATCACGCGGCGGAGACTCCCGGCGTCTCTCCCTTGGGAACGACCAGCTTCCTGATGCTTTCGCACGGGCAGCCTTAGCAAATCCGGGACTATGTCCTACGGTAAATCCCTTGCATTGAGCCAGAATTCTTTCGTCAAGCCTCCACAGCCCGACGTTGTCGAAGCTCCCGACCGACAAGATGAGCTCGCGGCCAGGCGACAGAGACGACAGGCTACGGTCTACGATGCCGTCGCTGGTGGGTTCCATCTGACTCGCCTCTGTACTCCCAGTCTGATGGTCTTTAGGGCGGGTGAATTACCATGGCTTTTTGCCATCGGCACCGTATCCTTCCAAATACCGCGCTACCGCATCCTCCAGTACCCGTCCAGTCCGTCCGGAAGAGGTGCTCTTCCGCCGACAAAACGCCCCGACGCGATACGAGGAGAATGACTTTTACTTTGCACATGAGTCTCTCCCGCCCAGTCGCCCTCTTCCCAGCTCCGACCTCCTCGAGGCGATCCATGCCTACTCGGCTGACTACTATGACCATGCGACGATCGATCGAGGACGGGACGATTATCAGAGCATGGACGAGACGGCCTTGATAGCCATGGGCATCCTGATGGAGGAGATGGCCAAGGAGTCGCTGGGTGAGACCGGGGATATGGTCCTGGTGGAGGGAGAGGAAGCTCTGACCGACGAGGATCCATTGGTCCCCCGAGTCCACCGGAAGATGGGCCGGAAACGAGCCAATACCGGACAGAGTAGCACCATGCCAAGCTCGGGCGATGATCTCGAGAGCGTGGTCAAGAGGCGGCCCAAAAAACGCAAATTGGGTCGTCGGATGACTTCCGCAACGGACATGGACACGGAAGCTGACGAAGGATGGTAGTTGGCATGCCAAGCAAGGGTCCTTCACATGTGGCGTGATGAAACGGTGCATCCTTGCGTCCCAAGTTCTAGCCTTTTAGCCTCGATGCGGGGTTGGACTACAGTCTTTATGTGTCTGCATACCATCCCATGCTTTTCTGTTGGACTGGAGGTGAAACAGGGTTGGAACGCATGATGTTGAATGGGAGTCCTGTCAGGGTTGCTTCACTACATGCTCGGGTACGGGGAATCAGAACTTTCGTATTTTGACCGACGATGCACCGAGCCTCTGCAGGGTGATGTGGTAACCAGCTGCAATTTGGACTTTGTTGTCCATCCAGGACAATTGCCTGTCATCGCTAGTAACGGATTTCCACCTTAGCTCAGCCCTGTTCTCAGTCACGAGCTGTGCCCTGCGCATGTTGCACATCAGTAACCTTAGCCCGAGATTATCATCATCCGATGGCGCAGGCCAAGGTCTTGGCTGTGTGCTTCTGGAATGCCGTTGAACCTTGATTGGACCAAACCGTCCATCTTTATGCACGCAGTCGTGCTATCATCCCTGATTCTCCATCCCCAGAATTCCTCGAGTTCCGGACTGGATGCTCCGGAATGCACGCTGTATCAGATAGTCTAATCTCAAATGAATACGATGCACTTAATAGAGGAAGCGTGACAATTCTCCTGAGTTACCAGTGCAGATCTTGGCGTCTAACTTCTCCACGTGCTGCATCAACCGTAACGATCCTGGCTTGGTGATCCAGTGCCTACCCGAACGCCGGTCAGCGTCCGTCTCATAATGCATGTCAGCATACACACAAGCTTGCCTCCTGAAACTTTGCAAATCAGCCGGGTGGTAGTTCCTGGGGTGATACAGGCAAGGCCAGATAACATTCATGTGCGCCTGTGGGTAACATGGATTCGGTATGCCTCCAGTTATATATTTTGACCATAATACAGTTACATCTGATCCGATCTGGAGGCGATTGATATACTGGCAAGACAGAGTCAATCGAAGGGTCCTATTTTTGTCTCTTATGCGCGGATTTAGTTGGATTCCTGGCTAAAATCCGCGGCTGCTATTGCTCTGCCGCAAGCCGCATCTGCAGCTGGACAGAAGGGGATCACGGAGAAGCCGGATAAAGGGAGGGGAATCCCGGAAGCAATGGATCCGACGGGTAAAGGGAGTAAAATGTACTGTTCGGCTTCGTCGACAAGCAGACAACAGCCGGTTTCATACTGATGCCAAGATCCTTAAGTCGATATGCTATAGCCGTCAAAGAAAACCTTATCGAGGCCGGTCTTAGATCCTATTTCATCTGCACTGGTGACAGCTTCGTGGTCGAGGTATCCGCTGGCACAAGCTTTTGCTTAACTCCATAAGCGGCATAATGGACTCGTCCCTGTATGGACCCGCCGTAGAGCACACGGCACGAGACCGGAAGTGTATGGGTGCCAACGGGTGGTCGCAAGGATCGACATCCAGTAGAGGCCCTACAGCATCGCGTGATCTGTCCATCTGGTCAAGTAGACTACGGGGAATTCCCCGTCCAGTCTCCGGTCAGGATATGGTAGTGATATGGCGTTGCATTGATGCAGGCCATAGGATTGCCCGGTGGACCAGCGCGTTCCCGTATTGACCTCTTTGGGACTTCTTTGTTTGGTATCCCACCCCTGCACTTTGGAAAACCCAGAGCGATCGTCCTCCGTGTTCTCGTCTACTCCGTACATGTCCGTAGTGGTGCGACAGTGAAGTGGATACTCCAGGTTATCTATAGCGCGACGCGCAAGACACGTTAGAGAAAGACCATGAAATATGACGGACCAGAGAGGGTCAGCAGGGTCAGCAGGCCTTACAGGGACCAAGATTAACTCCTAGCGAGTCCCTCGCTCCTGGAGGCCCGTGTGCAGGTGAGACGAGCGGGGGCTATTGAGGGTAAATCTTTACCAGAATACCGGAGTCGACGGATGTAGGCATGTATGGCAGCGATTGTCCCTGTCAGAATGAACGTGATTATCAGTAGCAAGCAGCAGCAGCCCTACCAGGCATCCAGAGGATGATGACAAGTGGTTTGCCGAGGTCAGTGAGCCGTGATGCCACATGACCAGGAGCTCAGCATTGGTCCTTTCAGTCACACTCACTGGCCGCCGGCGTCCCCGAACTTCCTCCGGCTGCGGCAGCAGCAGCAGCAGCAGCACAGCAGCGACGCATCAAGCAACCCCTCGCAAAGGTCTAGACGTAGGTAAGGCTACTGGCCTCACCATGGTACGTCGACGCCTCCGTCTTTTCCCCGCAACCAATGGAGGCCTCTGGTGGCCGCCCATTTGCCCACTCAAGGCGGGCCAAAGTGAACTATCTACTAGCCCAAGGGCCCAAACTAACAGAAATCGAGCTAGCCGCCTAAACTTTCCAAAAGCGCCAAACAAGCACTGATCGTCTCCCATTTGCGGTCCACCGGGACCTGCCACACCCTCAAGGATTTGGAGAAGATGCTGCCCTCGGTGGCCTCCATCAACGGCATGCAGGTCAAGGAGTTCATCCAGGAGCTGACCGACGAGGGCCGGCTGCGCGTGGAAAAAATCGGCAGTGGGAACTGGTATTGGTGTTTCGGAGGGGAGGAAAAGAAAGAGCGGGAGACCCGAGTGCGTCGGCTCCAGAACGAGGTGGATCGGCTGCGCGCGAGCTGTGAAGACGCGGAGGCCCGATTGCTTGCGCGGAAGAGAACCAGGGTTCAAGAGGAAGAGGAAGAGGGGGAGGAGGAACACCGGAGATTGATGGAGAAGAAGGCTGTGCTCGAGCGGGAGACACATCAGCTGCAGGGGGAATGGCTGGCGTTGTCGACCAGGGCTGAGGGGAAAAGCTTGCCGCAGATTACAGAGGAGACGGATGAGTCCCGGCGGCTGGCGCATCTCTGGACGGACAACATCTACATTTTAGAAGGGTATGTGGGCAAGTTAGCCGGGGGGGATCGGGAAGTGGTTCGGGCGGTGCAGCAGGAGTGTTATGGAGAAGAATACGTGGAGGGGGAGGGATTGCGAGAACTGGAGTGAGTCTGTGCCTGACGGTGGATGGTGGATGGTGGATGGGATGTGGGAAGTGGAGGTTGGTGGTTTAGTTACTTTATGGTGGTCCTGGAGGATGACTACTAGAGGGACTTGATGGGCCGTCAGCCGTGGAGATTTTCGTCAGCATCACCACCACTAGTCGGACTAATTACATAGTAGTAACACTCTCATAGGGACGACTAAATTGTGTGTAATGTTCAGGCTGACGTGGGAGTAACAAGCACTGGAAAAGGTTGTGGGATTATACTCCGTAGAGGAAGCAACACGAATGAATGGAAGTACTTAGTCAGTGGAAAGGAGTGGAAACTGCCGAGCCACGAACGGCCCAAGAGAAGCTTGACTGGACTGTCGCTCTCTCCTCGCGCGGCGGCTTATCTTCGCCCGTTGATCGATCCAGCATCCCTCCATCCACCTCCCCCAGGCTTGCGGTGCTGACCTCCTCCTCCCCTTCCCCTCGCCTCTATCCGTTCCTTTTTCTTCTCCCGGCCTTTCCTGCTTGCCCTTTTCGGTTTTACCTGATTCCACCGACGGTTTTTCTTCCCTTTCTCTCCATTCCGCGTGCCCGGCCTGTTCATTCCTTCATCCCCTCATATCATCATCATCCTCCCTCTTACCCTGGTTAGGGGCTCTACTAGTCGATTCTTTACGCTGTGAGCTGGAATTCCGCTGAGAAATGATGCGGGTCTGTCATCTTTATTCTTGATCTCCTGATATTCTTCTTCCTCTTCTCTCCTTCATCCCCGCCTCCCCTTGTATCCTCTGCATCCTCCCCGACCAGAGAGACAGAGACCTCATCTTCCCCGACAACTCCCCGCAGTCACTACGCGCTTGGCAATCAACCCGGTGCTGTCCGTGCTGGAACTGGGGCTGGAGCAGGTCTTCCGAGACCGCGAGACCGCGAGACTAGAAAGCGTCGCTGCTGCCTTCGCGCCCGACGGCCCGATCTGGCCGGACTATCGGTGGATTGATCGATGGTGTCTGGACGGAGAATTTCCAGCTGTCTCGATCGCATTCTCATCTCCTCCCTTTCCTCGGTGGGCCTGGACTGTGTTTCCTCACCCCCTTGCTTCCGCCTCGAACGCAACGCTCTCGACTTTGTCACTTGATTGCTCGGAGTGCCGCTGCTGAGCCGACCAGCCTGCCTCCACCTTTCCCCCCTCCTGTCTGATCCGCCCCTCCCCTGATTCCGCCCTTCGCAGGGTCATCCGCTCTCTCGTGTCGTCGTCTCCTCCCGATTCCTCCTTCCTTTTGTATGGATTGGGTGACGCGTGTGTGTCATGTCCGTCAACCCTCTCCCCCCTCAGTCCTCCTCGCCGCTCGGTCGGAATCGCAGCTCCCTCCTCGCCAAGTTTCGCTCCCAGCTCGGTCAACGTAATCGCGGCATCACCGACTACTATATCGAACCCGACGACCCCTGGCGCTCCTACTTCCCCGGTGACGTGATCAGCGGCACCGTCGTCCTCACCGTCGTCCGCCCCGTTAGCATTACACATCTGGTGGTCTGTTTACATGGCTTTGTCAAGGTGTTCAAGAATACCGTGCCTCCAGGCGAGCAGGCTCCGGACTTGGGATTTTTGGGGCCGGGGCGCGGGCGTCGCGGCCCTGAGTATCTGGGAAACGGGTTGTCCACCCTCTTTGAGGACGAGGTCGTCCTCTGCGGGGAAGGCCGGCTCAAGGAGGGAATCTACAAATTCCGCTTCGAGATGGGCTTTCCCCCGTATGCGCTACCGAGTAGCATCAATGTGCGTACCGCGGAATGGTGTTCTCCTGGCATTTACTGACAGCTGGACAGTTCGAAAGAGGCACGATATCATATCAGCTTACATCCACCCTAACCCGGCCGACGACGATCAACCCGACCACCACCTGCCGACGACGCGTCAACGTGCTGGAAAACATCGATATCGCCCCGTTCCCCCCGCCCCGGCCGCGCGTCGTCACGCTCGAGCCGATCTCCCGACGGTCTAAATCCAAAGCCAAGGCCAAGTCAGCCGGATCTGATGCGCCTGATACCCTCTCCATCGACCCGACCGTGCAGGGCCATGGGTCCGACCATCGGCCCCCTCTGAGTCCGGCGCCCAGTAATGTCAGCTCGTCCAGCCGGCTCAGTAACAGCAGCCAGAGCTTTCATGTGCCCAGCGACCCGAGCTCCTCTGCCAGCACCGGGATGCGCAACAGCGAAGCCCGGAGCATCACCCCCTCCATGACGGATAAAATCATCACGGTCAAGGCCGAGGTGTTGCGCGCGGGCGTGCTTCCGGGAGATACCTTACCCATCACCGTCACCATCAATCATTGTAAACAGGTGCGCAGCGCGCATGGCATTATTGTGACGCTGTATCGCCAGGGCCGGATTGACCTCCAGCCGGCGATCCCCATGGGCAAATCCGCGGACGGCAAGAAGCCGGTCTATGAAGACTACTATCCGCGCTCGCGGACCGGACTGGGCGGGTTGACGCTGGGTAGCAGCCGGACCACTGGGGTCTTCCGCAAGGATCTGGCGCAGACGTTTGCCCCCCTGGTGGTGGACCCGACGAATCTGACCGCCGTCGTGAAGACGTCGATCCGGATCCCCGAGGACACCTTTCCGACCATCACGCGCACGCCCGGGAGCATGATCAACTTCCGATATTATATCGAGGTGGTGGTCGATCTGCGGGGCAAGCTGAATTCGCCCGATCGGTTCCTGCCGCGGTTCAACATGGTGTCCTCAGGCGGCAATTTCTCCTCCAGCGGACAGGTGCTCAACCCGTCCGACGTCAACAACAGCGTGATCACGGCGAACTGGGCAGGCAACATCCTGGACACGGATCAGATTCGGCGTGAAAAGGGTGTGGTGGCGGTGATGTTCGAAGTGGTCATTGGGACGCGGGACTCGCGACGCGGCGTGAAGCCGGTGGAGCGCACGCCGTCGACGACGACACCGGTGGACCTGCAGCCAGTGCAAAGCCCGACGGGTCCCGACGGGGAGGCGTGGTCTGCCGAGCAGGGTGCAACGCCCAATGGCGAGGGCGACTATGCGCAGGAGGACTACGGGTTCCCGCAGGAGGGGTCGCACTGGCCCGACTACGCGGGTCAGGAGTACAGCGCCGAGCCGCAGTTTCACTCGCTAGGGGAGATGGTGTCGACGCCGGCGGATGAGCCGGGCGATGAAAAGAGTCGGTTACGGCGCGCGGAGCAAACGCTGCTGCCCAGTCGACCGCCGGATGAGGCGGGGCCGTCGGAGACGATGCCGACGGCGCCTGTACTACCGGAGGACGATCTCCACGACTACCGCCACGTGGGGTCGACGAGCGGGACTCCGCGGGCGGTGGTCTCTGCGGAATCGGTACAGACGGTGCTCGCTGGTGAGGGGCCCGGGGAGGATAAACAAGAGCTGGAGCGCCAGCGATTGATGACGGAAGCGAGTGCGCCAGATGAAGCGGGTCCATCCAGTGATGCGCCGACGGCGCCGGTGTTCCCCGACGACGAGGGCGACCACCAGCTAGTGGGCAGCGCGGCGCGAGGAGACGAGTCGTTACCGCGATATCAGCGGTAAAAGGCGTTTTGCGGAATGATTTTTGCATTGCGGATAGCGGGAGATACCATATACGTTGGCTGATTTTGTATGTGCTGCATGGCATGTGCGGCGTTGGGAGTAATAATAGATTACATGGATCTGCCATGATCAAAGCATGATTGGTAATGAGATAAGATACTACTTGCTATCCGTCCTTGCTGCGTAGATAGTAGCTGTCATCCCGGAAGGACGAGCGATACCGCCTAGCGTGCCGGTCGCGCCAAGCCGCCAATCTCACTCGTATCTCATCACTTCTTCCTTTCTCATTCTGTCATCCTCCTCCCAACCACCACAAACTTCAGGTCGTACAGACCACCGCGCCAGCACCATGGCCTTCCGCAACGGGTCCTTTGCGACCTTTCTAATCGTTTGCCGTGAGTATCCCCCTCGCCCACCAACAACCTCCCCTCAAGCCCCCGACATCACATCTCCTCCCTACCCCAGAACCCCCATCCCCTCCCTTTCACTTTTCACCATAAACTAACCCTCGACCGAAACAGCAACATCCTTCTTCCTCGGCCTCATCTTCTCCCTCTTCCCCTACGACTACCCCATCCTCTGGTCCACGACCCCCACAACCCCCGAATACTTCACCTACTTCGAAACGCACCTCCGCTTCCTGCACGCCTCGCCCCCCCTCATCCCCCGAATCCTCCACATTGTCATCTTCCTCGGTCTTCTCGGCCTGATTCTTAAACTTTACAAACCCTCCGAAAGCAATATGCTTTTCGACGGCGCCAGTCTCGTCCTCTATATGTGTGGGATTACGGTGTATATCGCGAATATTGTGAAGGGGTTGAGGCTCGTTTCGGCGGGGAAGTATGGGGATGAGTTGTTGCCTGAGGGGGGAGAGGGGGTGGAGGGGGTGGAAGAGGGGCAGATTCTGGGGAGGGAGGATAGTTTGAAGGTTTTGGCGGCGAGTAATACTATTTTGGCGTTGGTTTTGGTGGGGGTGTTGGTGTTGCAGGCTGGGCAGTGGTATGCGGAGAGGAAGGAGGCGCAGGAGGTGGAGAGTTTTAGGGCGAGGGAGCAGTCTGCGGAGAAGGAGGGGAAGGAGGGGGGGAAGGTTGAGGGGGGGAAGAAGAAGAAGAATTGAGGAAGTTGGGTATGAGGTGTGGGATATTGTTTGGTGTGCGGAGGGAGGAGAAAGGATTAGGTAGAGAAACAGAATGGCATGATGGTATGCTAGGAATGTACGATCTATGTACAGCAACGGTATCAGTTAATCAACAGAATCAGGCTGAATCAATGCAATGGTGAAAAGAATGCGTCATATACACGTTACATCTGCAGGCTGAATGAAAACGGGCTCCGTGGGAGGTCTGGTGTCCGCGGACTCAGTGCCTTGGCAAACAGTTCTTCCCCGTCTCCATTGCCGGTGCGCGCCACGGTCCCCAGCGATGCAAACCCCGTGTGGTGTTCTACGTTCTGTTGTGCTTGCACTGATTCGGGTGGGTAGTGCACCACTGTCCGCACGCTCTCAGGGGGTGCCGGGGGATGCGTGGCACGGATTGTGTGGAAGGAATTGAACGAGGAGACGGCGACATCGGGGGACTGGGGAGAGAGGAGATGGCGTCCCGTAGCTGCATTTACATTAGTTTTTGAGGAAGTGGACGATTAAGGGGTCGGCAGGTACGTACTCGGGGACAATTCCCGCTCGCCCGTCTGCAGCTTCAACCCCCGCAGCTTCTCCCCCAGCTTCCCTCCGCTGCTGGGCGATACCGGCGTCGCAGGTCCCATAGGGTAGTGCGGATCCGGATGACTCTGGCCCACGACCCGGGCTCCGTCAGGGGACAGCGAGACCCCGAAGTTTGTCTCGATCCATTCCTTCTCCTGCAAAGCCATGTGCAGCGCGATACCCTCAGCATTATGCAGACATTCGTCGTGGATCTCCTTCTCCAGCACTTGTAGTCGCTTCTTCGCCCATATCGTGTGTAGCACGCCCTTCTTGCCTGCCGAGCGGCCGTCGGCCCCTAACTCGGGGGGAAAGATCGCCGGCAGCGGGTTCAATTGTATGGGGTCGGGGTTCTTCGCGGTCGAGGGGGCGTGGGGAGGAGCCTCGTAGGACAGAGTGACCGTCGGCGGAATGGTGACATTGGGTGGCAGCAAAAAGTACATTCGACGAGTGTTGTTGCTGGTCTTCTCGTCGGCCGGGAGCACGGCCATTTTGCCTTCCCAGGCAACGTGCCACGAGCCCCCTGACGAGCGTCCCAGATCGTCATCCTCCCATTCGATCATCAATATCTTGGTGCCATCGTTGGCTTTCCCTGCCTCGAACTCGAAGCGGGCGAGTGCGGTGATGGAGATGGTGCCGGTAGGGAAGCGATGGGCGTCGAGGGCAGCAAAGTCGCTGTTGGGGGTAAAGGGCGTTGGGAGCGAGTGAGACATGGCGGCGGTGAGGCGCACACGGACAGAAGGGTCAAGGAAGATCACAGAGGGCTCAAAGTCAGGAGGAGGAGCAAGTAGCGCAGGACACTAGCTGATAAGATGGCCGAGGATGCATGGGGGATTGGCAGACGGTTGGGAGCCGGAGCGCACGCAGATCACGGGATGGCGGCGGAGGAGAGGGGCCACCGCATCAGGCAATCTCTGCTGCGCGGAGCGTTATCTTTGCGATTTAGGACGGGCAGTCAGATGGCTGGAATGCTGCGATGGATCCTCCGAGACTGGAGGCCTCACCGAAGGCGAAGAGGAGGCGAGAAACGAGGGAAAGTTGAGGGGCTGCTCGCCGCGTTCTATTTATAGCTCGCTTGGCATCACACCGCATCGGGCGTCTTCAGCCGGCTTGAGTCTTTGACACCTTGAAAGAATCCATCATCTGAGACCTGTTCATTGAGTCGGCTGTAGACTGTAGGCTGCAGTCTATCCAGCGGCCGTCTAGACCGATGCATCCACAAAGGATACGAACGGCTCAACCTCCGGAGCTCATTGTTGATCCCGCAATGATGTCAACCCGGAACAAAGGATCACAGGCCGGACCACCAAACATGTGGACATGCAGCCCAGGGAGTCCCCCGTTGCCGCCTACCGGTGGCACAGTGCCTATTAAACGCCCCGAGTGAGACCACGGCCTCCCCTCCCCCCAACGTTGGCTCCTCTCGGGCGATCATCAACCCTCGTACCAAACAGTATCATACCCTTCACGACAATACGCGGGGCCGAGCAACATTCCTTGGACAGGAGTCGTCGTGACCCGCCGGTGATGAAGACCATCGTCATGCAGGGGATGCGCTTAAGGTTGTATAAGACTGACAGCCACCGGGTTGTGCTATATTTGTCCAGGCGCTGATATCACGGCCGGTGGCCGACGTGGAACTTTCATTGGCTGAGAGGCATTGCTTGGGCGGGCACCATGCATCCTCGTCACGCTCATGGCGGCATACCGTGGATCTGTGTGATGATGCAGTCGAGGTAGATGGCCAGTCTGGGTGACGAAATACTGTGTGAGAATCAGTATCTGATTGACCGATGGGCGCGGGCAACGTACACTGCTAATGTCTGCAGAGTGCGGAGAAGATACATGGAGGGGAAGATATGCTCGGCCAGTCAAATCAAGCCTTGCAGGAACGACTCGAGGGACACTGAGGGGCACGAGTATATCCCAGAGGACTCCCAAGTTTAGGTACGCTCGATGTGAAAATATCTCAAAAGAACAACATTCAAAACGCGATCCCTTCAACAATGAATCCAGCGCATCACATACATATATCCATCTCGCGATGCATCGATGCATCAACGCATCCAACGCGCTGCTCGTTACCAAAAATATCCCTCCCAGAATAGCAGTACATAGCACCGACCCACCGCCAATCACAGCAAGCCCCCACAGACCCTGGAGTTGCCAGAAATAACTTCCTGGCTTGTGATGAAAATAGAAAAGCCTGCAGACAACCGGCTGAATCCCGTCCAGTGCCGTCCTCAGCGCCTGATAGTCTCCTGCTGACCTACCAGCGGTCCCGAATTCAGCGCCGGTCCCCGTAGGCCCGGAGGAAGGGTTCAACCGCGCGGGGATTGGCTGGCCACTGCATGACCGAGGGCAGGTGGTCACTTCCGGGCCTAAACCATCCCAAAGCAAGCTAGCGACGTAGTGCCGGTATGGTTGCTTGGGAAGGTTGGTAGAAGGATTCAGGATGGGTTGGCGCGCGATGATCCGGGCGGCTGAGATCACGGCGGCAAAGATGTGATGAGAACGACCGGGTGCATTAGCGGAGGATTGTAAGCCGAGAATGAGAACCAGCTTACGGAGTACTATGTCGCCTATCATTTGCCTACGGATCTTGGGTGTTGTGTACGGAGTACACTCTACACACCTTCACAAGCAAGCAAGCGCAACATCCTGGCCAATAACCCTGTCTAGCAATCTATCCAAAAATAACCAGCGAACCGGCATTGGCACCATCCATCCACACGTCATCCATCCCCCACACAACCCTCTCCGCAACGGTCCAATCACCGCCCATCTCCCGACACAGGAAGAGGGGAACCCGTCGCGGGACCCACAGTCGGCCCGAAGGGGTCTAGTGCCGGCGCTTAACTGCAGCTGCCACGATGTTCCCTGGCCCTGGATCCCGCCCGCGGCCCCGCTGATTGGCTGATCGCGGGGTTGTGGAATCAGGATGAGGGGAGAAGCAGACACTCTGCCTCTCTCTGCCTGTTTCTCTCTACTCCGTGCTCTTCCTCTGTCTGTCTGCCCTCTGTGTCCAGCTGCGTATCTATGTCTGTGCAGCTGGTCAAGGACATGAGGCTGAGAGTGATACCTATCCTATTGCCACCATCAATACTTCACTTGGTACGGAATACACCATATTCAGCTCCAGTCTACAACACAACCAACACAACCAACCAATCCAACACCACCACTCCCTCCCCTCCTACCCTTTCCCCCTACCCTACACCATCCCTACTAGGCAAGCAATATCCAGTAGCACGAATCTAGAAACAATCGAACCCCCTCCCCTTCCCTTCCCCCCCACTCTACCACTAGTACTCCGTAAGTAGCACCTCAATCACACTCCCCAACCAATCAACCCTCCCCCCACCAGCGCTCCCGCATTCTTCAGCACAAAGATGAAACAAAGAGCGCGCCTTGTGCACCAATCATGATGCCCGATGGCCCCGTGTTAGATCACAGCTGGGGGGGATTTCACATCCCCTGTAAGCGAAAGCAAAAATAGGATTCACGCTGGTAGGTAGGTTGGATGGTTCTGAGGGGGTTACTAGTGGTGCTGCTGGTGGTGCTGGTGGGTGCTTCCAATGGGGAGGGTAGGGTTACCGCCGGGATGGATGGGGGGTGAGGTATGGGGGGGTATGGTATGTTTGGTATGGTTGGTAATTTATTTTAAGAGTCTTGTATGTATGATTTACATCACGGAGTTTTACAACCATAGTTATTCAGGAATATACTGGTACTTCGTGACTATTAGTTTTGACTATACTGTAGTATACATGTTTTATTTAATATGTTGGATCTATTTGATTGATTCCATACTTTACTGTCCTTTACTATCTGAACACTCCCCCTCCCCTCCCCTCCATCCCCCGTCAACCATCACCCAAGAGAACCCAAAATACCACCCAAGCCAACAACCAAACCAACCCTTCCACAAGAACCCCTCAATCAATCATCTATTGGAACCAATCCACCTCACCGCGCTTATCCACAACCCAACGCACTTCCTCCTACCGCTTAAACCCAACCCAACCAGCCCAGCCCAGCCCACCTGGGCTCGCTCCTAGCCAAAGCCTATCCTCCCGGCTCGGAACCCCCAACACCCAATCGTGTCGGTTACCAATTCCCCGGGTACGGATCGTAACCAGTAGGCAGTGACCAACACGCCCGGACAGAAATCACCCGGAAAGTCAATGCGGCGCAGTTAAGGTGCAGTAGCTCTTCTTTCGCTGTTTTCTTTCTGGTTCTTGGGGGTTTTGGTGGGGAGGGGGAGGGGGGGGGAGGGGGGTGGTGGTTAGTTAGTTGGGTTAGGTAGATGAGGTTTTTGGTCGTTTATTTTGGGGGTTATGGGGAAGTTAGAGATTGTTCTTAATGAGGGAGCATGTGGTAGGTTTGAGTATATATGATTGAGTGGGAATTGGGGTTATTTCGTAAGTTCAATCTAGAACTGAGTGGATGGTAAGGAATTCGAGTGTGGACAGCAGTGAGGGGTCCGCATTAGGGATTGGACTGGTTAGAGCCGCGTCTTTGTCTGTGCCCGGGCCCTGTGGGTTTGGATTGATTGATTGAAATGAGGGGTGGGTGTGACGTGTTCGATGGATTGGATTCCTGGAGGGGTCGGGCTGGGATAAGATGGACCCTGTTATGACTCTGATGCTGATCATGTGAAGGGTGGCTCTAGAAGGGACTAGAAGTCGAAGGTAGAGACAGTAGTCCCTAGTCGTAGTCCTGGGTTATTGATAGTGGGGAGATACGAGGTATGTTGGTAGTTAGGTAGGCTCGAGCTTGAGGTCCAGACTGTGTCTACTCTACTGCAGGGCGAGTCTACCACTACTGTTATAATCCACGGTACTCCGTATGAAGAAAAATAATAAATTGCGCTGCCTACCAACCAATGAATCCAAATCAATCGCTACCAAACTCCTAACGCCGGACCTGCGCTAGTAACCTAAGACAATCAATCATAACCTGTCATTCCGAAGCTTCCTCCTTGTCATCACTGTGCTTTCTTCGCTTTCCCTTGGGCGGATCTTCCAGTTGCGTCCGCTTGTACGTCACCGTGTGAGTGACGACATGACGCACACTGACTCGTCCCACAGTCGCACTTCGCGGACCGTCCCAGTAGCGCAGCTTCCAGTCGGCTGGGGAATAGGAGTACGAATAAGGCGAGAGGATTGGTGTAGCACTGCGGGGTGTGTCCAGCGTGGGCGAGTATCTCATCGCTGGGGGAATGCGCAACCGCCGCAGGTTCATCATATCTCTTCGGGCTGGAAGACTGCCATAAGGGGATGGCGGGGGTAGGGTTGCAGTTGCGGGTCTGGTCTGGTCAGGGAAGCTGAATGAGCCACTGACTGCGCTGGCCGGTTGGGATGTGGGCGTGCGGTTCGTCTTGTCCCAGACGAAGCGGGTGACGGTGCCGCCATTGCCGTCCGGGGTGAAGACGGGCGTGAAGGCTTTGAGGAACTCGGTGTATGCTGCAGGAGGGGTGATGGGTGTTGAGAGGCTCTCATCTTGTCGGTTTGGAGCACCCAGTCGGACCCCGTTGTCTTCATGTAGTTCCGAGGGGAACGTCATGTTCTTGGGCGTCCGCAACGGATGGAGAATTGGCTTTGCAGGCATTTTGGTGATTGCGGATGGATGGAGAAGATCAGACCACACAGGAGGATAAATCAATACACAAGACACGTCCACAGCAGATGACAAGTTGGACCACGAGGTCGCGCCTGACCTGATCACGTTGTGCGTGGCAGTAGAAGCAGGTATGGAGTATAGTCTGGACGCAGCCGAGGCAGCAAGGCACCGCGATTAAGGAGAGGTGTAGGCGACCAGATGAGGGTAAAGGGAGACTCGGGCTCAAGGAAAGAGAACCCTTATGATGCTGATGTACCGGAGCAAAGAAAAGGAGAGAAAGTGAAGAGGGAGAGGAGGACGATTATTATTTATCTCGAGTTGACGCCGACGAAAGGCTGCCGGTGAAACCGTACCGTACGGGTATTGAGGTTCGACACGGTAAGGATACGGTGTGACGGCTAGGCCCAGAGGGGCCAAGGGCAGGCTCAGCTCCGAAACGCTCGGCGGCAATTCTGGCGCTCTCCAAAAGCCACTTCCTGTGGCGATCTCGGGCCAAGATGCCACCGCAGTGCAGAAGGGGTGGAGTATCGAGTGTCAGGAGTCAGGAGTCAGAGATCCGGTGCAAAGTGCTTCCATTCTTGGTTGCCTGGAGGATGAGTAGAGGGAAGACGAGTGCTGTCTGATGGAAGATGACCGTTCTCTCCCCTTCTTATACCTGGCCTTGGAGATATGCTCGTCAACTTACACCACCTGCGGAGAATTCCAGCAATCCAACAGGCGCGAAATCCTCCAGGAATTGTCATGCATGGCTTCTGAGTCAAAGACTTCCTATCCTGTCAATGTTCCAACCGCAATGCATCCTGCAGATACAAGATGCCTTATCGCTCGGGACGCGCTGAAATCCATCACGCCTCCTCGTCAACATCTCCGGTTGAGATGCGTTGGCCCCTCCTGGTTCGCCCATCGTTAACGCGCACGCCCACCGTTCCGGCAAAGGGCGGCTCGCCATCGGGACCCCAAGTTCTGCACAAGCCATCGCGACGCAGCACCCCATTCCGGGCTATGGTTGGCGCTGCTCGTTGGATCCTTCAATTCCATTGTCACTAGTCTGGCAGCTGGCCACCCGCCGATGCTGCTTGTTTTTCTACCTTATTTTGCTGCACCGTAATCTATCCGGCGGCTGCAAGTCATGTTGGCGTCTCGATGCTCTTCCGTCTACGAATCAACGGGTATGAATCCGGTTGGGCCCATGCCAGACCTCGTTGCTATGGATAGCGGATTGCACGCGCGGGGTTTGATCTCGTCTTTGGCGTCGGGTCGTTTGTTGATGCTACCATACTTGGCGTTCCTGCGGCCATGTCACACTAGCACTTGCAGACTGAGCTCGCCATACGATTCGGTTGGCTGTGCGGGAAAGATGCACATGGCTGCGAGGAAACCCCTCATCCAATGCTAGTGCATCACGGCGGGGATTCTGGATGCTAGTTGCCGAGGAGCAGTTAACACTACGGGGTATTTTGTTGGCCATCGGATGGACGTGTTGGATGACCGTCTGAATCGGTCTCGTGGGACAGTTGAGCTGCAAGTTCTGTGTTAGTCCGTCTAGTTGCCAGAATCACAACTGATAGCGCCAGCTCTGGCCAACATGTATCATGGAAAGTAGCGCTGTGCTCGGGATCAAAGCACAAAGGCGTCCCATCACAGTCTTCGGTTACGCCACGGGCGTCTGCTGCATTCGGACCATGGACCACAATGCCTTGTTGGATGTCAATATGGCATGAGGTGATGGTGGTATTTTCTGGCGTCACTGTAGCTATCATTCACGGCGCTTATACCATGTCTTGTAGGTCTGGATCAGGAATAGTTGTTGGTGACCTACTGGACGTGGTTCATGTTGGATCTTCCCCTCACCTGGCTACATTCACCAGGCGGGGTTGCAGACTCTCCTGTCACTAACAGCGTGACTGAAGCTGCAACTGTCCTTGAGTCCATCACACTCTGGCTCAGAAACGGCAGACTGGATGAGCTCAGTGTCATTCATTACCCCAACATAGCACCCACTACAACCAGCCTGACTCAAGCAACCCAACAACCAACACACACCATGAGATCGAACCTCCAACATAGACATCACATGTGGGAGATTCTGAGTCACATTGTTGATGGCCCCGGAGGAAGCCTTGAATCTTACCAAGTCTGAGGCATGGTGGTCCCCGGTCTTCTTGTTGATGGTTTGAGGCCGAAAGCCTTATGGATGCTATTCCAAGAATATGAACCGATAGAAGAAACTACGACACATACCCAGATGTTCCCTATCTCCCGAGTAACCTCCGACTTTGGCTTATTACAATGTCTTATCTTAGCAGATCTTCCAGCCGCGAGTCCATCACCAGGAAATTCATGCCTGAATCTGGCCAGATTCTCGCCAGTGATCGTACACAAAGTCCAAATACGATTCTTAATTCTAGCAGGCGCCTTAATTATTTCATGTTCCTGTCAACAATCCAGAACCGTCTTGTGTCATAGAAAAGTGATGCTTTCACTGAGTGGTAACACTGTCACGATTAAACAACCTGTTTGGCTTCCAAATTCTACGATCACATCACAGATAAAGGTACTCCCAAACCTCTATATTGACCGGCTTCCATTAACAACCCCTCTGCATCCAGCGCTCAGCTCATTCTTCCTTTTTCGAGAAAGTTGCAGCGACTCCCAAGGACCTCCAGGATGCTCTTTTCACCGGGACCACAATACGCCTACAAATCCTTCCATTCACCCCCGATCAATACACACAACTACTCAATGCACTGAAGCACGATCCATCCCTCTACAGCTCTATCCGTGACAAAATTCGGTATGTATCCTCTCCTGATCATACACACACACCCACACGTCAATCACCATAACTCACAAGAACCAACAGACGGACCTATGGTCTTTACATCGCGCGTCTCCATACCCATATCCATGTCCAACCCACCGTGTTTCTGCTCTCGCGCTTTGCATAAATTAACCTCAAGCTAGAGATCATCAGTAACGGTACCGGCACTGCTAGAGAGAGCTCACGACTCTCATCACAAATGGTGGATCATCTCACATTCCCTGGGAGGTCAAGGAGAGCCCCTCGCCAGACGCAAAGATCAGTTCCCGACGGAAACAACCCAGACGTCGAAAATTCATCATCATGATACAAACCATGCCGGCTCAATACTAGAGGTTTCCTTCTGCAGTGATGGGGAAAGGATCTACGAAGGCTGGCTTGGGACTCTAGCGAGAAGATCAAGATCGGGATTGGTATCAACATCAACCACAACCGAAGCCAAACAATCAACGATCAACAATGCCCTCTAGCGTCCTGTCAGTACCCACGAAAATGGAAAGAGATTTGCTCAAGTAAAGACAGTAATAGATCATCAATCAATCCGGTAACCCCTCTCTCTCTCCCAACAAGATCATGGGAGGAGAGAACTAGACCCGGATATGCACTTCACGTACCATATGAGTTGCGTCTCTGGAACAAACAGGGGAAATTCTGCTTGAGGCCCAAGTAACTTCGACACCTGATGGATTATCAAACCATGTTTCAAGGCGCCCAAGTCAGTATTGACAATAATTAGGAAATCGTGTTCTGCTTCCTGAGCATATGGAGCATATACATTACTATGTCCGTCCTGGAACCAAGATGGATGATAATAGCGAAATGGAACGGGCCGTGGCTAGAGGATGATGAATTGAACACTTTATCTAGAAGCAAGATAATGAATGGGTGTGAGAAACCGAAGTGACTAGCATATTGACAGAGGGTCCAATACAACAGACAAGGATTATCAAAGGTTAACCATGTCAGAAGGATTACTCGAGATCTCACACAGTATTCAACGAGCTCAATGAAATAGGAAGAGGTGGGGATAGCAGGTTAAGGCAAGTAGCGTATGTTGCTTATCATTGATGTGGTGAATACTCTATGACTGTTGGCTCGAGATTCGTGAATGTCAACCATCATTTCATACGTTTCTACTACACTACACACTAGACCTACTAAGCAACCAAAATCTGGGTTAACGAGTGTCATTTTCTTTTCGCAAAACATATGCTAGACAAGAACCAAACCAACGCAGAAGCAGGAACATGCAGTCAATAAGTCATCCAACATAGCACATCAACATGATATAGGTTTCGCACTTTCTGACGGTAGAAACAAACAACGCCAACGCCGACACGCCGGACCAGGGGTATGGGATATGACTGTGCGCCTCGCGGGATCCCCGCTCACCTCATGAGAAGACATGGCATGTCATCGTTTCCGGCCTGCAGTAAACGAGACAGCAGGGTATAGAGAATGAATAAAACGAAGATGGAAATCGTGGTTCAACCCATTAATGTGGGGATCTCGAACTTTTGCCGGAAAAGTAACAGATGCACGCAGAGAGCCTATGCAAGGTCTCGACAGAACTCAGTGTGCTGCTGTTCGATTGTCGCCCCTTGGACCAGATCCCGTATCTCCAGGTTGGTGCATGATGCCAAGCCGGCTTGGACGATTGGTCCCTTCAAGGGATATTAGTGTTATGAGATACAATCTCATAGAAAAAGGTTGTAAGAAATCACAGAAGAAGATAGTCCCAGCCGTTTTGCTGCATAATTTCCCGCCAGTGAAGGAATGGCTTCTTGATCTCTTTCGCACTCCATGGCTCGACGCTTTCCTTGGGCGACTCAGACTCCTCCCGCTTGACGGGGCCGTCAGAGGATGCGGACGACGATGGACGCTCTTCCGGGGTGGGCACGGGCTCGATAGGCTCGTCCGACACTCGCCATACCTCCTTCAGGACTCGGTACATGCGGCCAAAACTACCCAGCTCGGCATGCTCTCCGAGAGCAGCAGCGCGATCGGCGAGAACGGTCCGGAAATGGCTCTGTGGTGCGGAGAACGAACCCGCGATCAGGAGAGGCCACACAAGCGACCGATCGAAGCCTTCGGGGCCGGACGGAATGTATTGGAGAACATTGACGACCGCGGCCACCAGGTTCACCGTGCTCGGTTGGTTTCGGTCGAATCCGGGGACCAGGCTGCACAGGTAGATTCTTGCTGCGATGCGGAAAGCAGCGGTGATATTCTTGGTCAGAAGCTCCGGGGAAAAGGCGCCGTTCGGCAGGAGAGGGCTTTCGAGCGTCTGATTCACCGGTTCGGTAAACTCCAATTGTTGTCCCAGAGCCGACACATGAGAGCAGACCCCCATCTCATCGATTCGGGCGTCTCTCTTCAGCGCGTCCAGACACGTGATCTCGGAAATCAGGTACATAATGCGATCGTCGCAGCCCATCAGCTCGCGGAGCCCCAGGGATGAGCCGCTCAGATGCTTGGCGCGGTAGGTGTGTGCGAACTCGGGGGTCTTGCCGTGCATGGTCGATCCTAGAATGTCAATCCACGAGGCCAGAGTCATGGTAAATGGGGGGAGCATGTACGGGTTCCCACAGGCGGGAATGGCCGTGGGAAGACCGAGCCGATGCACCAGGTTGGAGGCCGCCTGGAAGTGCTCGAACCACGGAATATCCGGCAGGTAGTCATCTGCAGGCCCCACGGAGCAGTGGAAGAAGATCATGGCAAGAGTCGCGTCCAGGATCTCCTCGTGGTTGGTGTCTTCGCCCAGGGCCAGGCATAACTGGGAAACCGCCTCGAAACGATTGCGCATGATATCATGGTCGATCTGTTCGCCCACGATTCCTTCCGTGGTCTTGAGGTGGATTGCAGCCACGCTGAGGCAGCAGTGGAGGTAGCACTTGTTCGTTTCCAGGGCTTGCAGAATGGCCTGGGCTCGGATGTGTCCGCGCTGGTGTGCCTCCACGACGGGAAAGATGATCCGCAGGACATTGTGAATAAAGTGGTCGAGGAGGGGCCGGTCATGCTCGCTGACGGGAATGTTGGATTGCAGCAAGGCATACGTCTGGCCGATACTCTGCTCGCACAGGGCGGGGTCGATTCCGGGCAGGGCGGGGACGCCGGCAAAGTACTCATCGTGAAACCAATCCTCGCTGGGGAAGGTCGGCAACGGAGCATTCAACTGCGGAGGCGCAAAGGTGCTGAAGGTCGAGCTGCACGAGTCGTGGCGCAAGGGGACATCGTTGACGAAGGTGTGTCGCTCAGTCTTCACATCGATCTCGTACGGGTGCGTCGGCGCATAGATGGGTTGATTCAAGGCCGGAGTGGGAAGATGTGAGGCGAAGATATCGTACTGCTCAGGGAAGACAGGGCGACCGAACTCGTATTCGGGGGAGGTCGGCGAGGTCGCCGTCATGTTGCGAGTGCGAGCGGCGGGATCTGAGTGAGCGCATGAGCCGTCAGCAAGTGAACCTCAATCTCCCACGCAGTCACCACCTACCAGTCAGGGCTCCATTGCGCTCATTCATCTTGGTCTGTTTGATCTTGTTCTTAATGCGTTCCTTTTGAATTCTCCTCTGATCGGCGTTGCCCCACCAGATCGGGCGTTTATATTCGCATTTGACACTCAGGTTGACGCAGGCGCCGCAGGAGGGATGCTTCTCATCGCACTTCTTTCGACGCAGACGACATGTAAAGCAGCCTGTGCAAGGAGTGATGCCTCGGTTAGGTCCAGATCCCAGTCCGGTGCCAGGTCGGGGATACATACCAGAGCGAGACCGCTTGTGCAACTTGGCCGGGGTCTTGTCTGCACCTCCCGTCGAGGTACCCTCACTGCCCGACGGCGACTGGGAGCAGTCATCGGCGTTGACGGGCGAGATCTTGACGGGGGGCGTCTTTCTCTTGGATGCGGCAGGCATATTGAAATCGGTGTGGGGTATCGTGATGGTAAAGAAATCGAAACGCCGCAGGCTATGCTGGATAAGGCAGTCGAAAGGACAGAACGCAGTCGCTTGGCAAGCGGACGGATGGGAATCGGGAGTATTAAGGGCGGCAAAGCTGAACCGGCAGCCTTGGCTATCTAATTAAGTATAAGAAGAGAACGAAAGGCGCGGTGGCAGAGATGAGGCGGGCTGGGGACGACGCTTGGTGACAGTGATCGAGAGGGAAGCATGGCAGCGGGAATGGCAGAAGCTTTAAAACGTGCGTTGAGCTCTGACAGGCCGGTCACGATGTTTCTATTTTAAAAGCTGGCCGACAGCCGAGCGCGAGTGCAGCAGGATCGGGGAAATTGTGGTGGTGGGAGGAGACTGAGGATCGCAATCCAGCAACCACCAGATCCCTGCTGGGCTCCACCAGGGACCCTCTGGATTGGATTGATGGGCCCTCATCCTCATCCTGCACGGGCAAGGAACCGCTAGTCCCCCGGGCTAATTTTGGACTTTGACGAGCGCCTTGCGCTCTTCAACCTGGCGCGTATGCACCCCATCCGGGCCACTGATTGGATGGCTCCAGGGACCAGCACCGTGCGGCTGGGGCATTGATTGGCCTGGAGGCCATCGCAATGGTCTGCCCAAAGGACAATCTTGCTCGGGGGAAGTCGGTGGAACGCTAAGTCGGCCTCTCTGTTTCTTTTTTTTTTTTGTGCGCTCGCGATATCTCTCCCGGGATCATCTGTACAACGATCGTCTTCCCACCATGGTAACCCGATGCTCCCCGGGTACTACGGCGTTCCTGGGCTGCTGCAATGCAAAGGCCTTGCTCGTGGTTGGGGAAACAATGGTGACAGAGGGATGGTCCCCGCAGCGCAACCCTCCGGTGATAACCACGTAACCCCGCCAGCCAATGGCAAATTTCTGGTCCGCACGAATGAAGTATTCTTTCCAGGCGGACGTCGTGTTGGGAGACGACTTGACCCGATTGGGAAAATGCAAGTACAGGAGAGTGAGGATGAGGACTCGTACGTACAGCCGTTGATGGCGCGGGGGAGCGCAATGCCAGGCACATTGCCAACCCAACCGGCTCCTGCGTGCTCGCAGAGCCTGCTCGAGGACGTGGGAAGCCCACCCTGTCCTGCGAACAAGGGTCTTGTCCAGCCAGGGCCAATCAGGAAAGCGGGCGGCAGTTGAGTGGTGGTGAGCTCGTCGAGGGCACGCATTGCGGGGGGTCATCAACTGCCATCCAGGCCAGCACCTACAGTAGCGTCCAGACTATGGCGGCGTCCCAACTTAGCGTGGTGAGCCAAGCTTCCTTTTCCCGGTGGGGATTGGTCGGTGCGGACCAGCTTAGGCTGGTTGCGTGCAGAGCGGGAAGCCCGCAGCCAACCGTGCGGTGGTGGGTCGGCCCAGTTGTGCCCGTGCGACCGGAGCAAACTTTCCGCCAAGACGTGACCAGACCCTGCCATTCCATTATTATTTTTTTTTTCCCATTCTTAATTAATCCCAGTTAACCGCCCACCACTGTCCTCAGCGCTAAGGGTTATTCTTATCGGCCACTCCCCTTCCTTCCTCTGGACCTGCCATAATTAGGCCGCGGCCGGAGATACTGGCCATGACTCGGCCCCGTGCCATCCCATGATCCGTCATCCTCGCGGAGATCTGACAGCGGGACGACTACTTTTCGGGTGGGGAGGCATCGCAACTGGGGACCCCATTTTAACTTTGGCGGGTTTCTGCAACCACTTCCCTCAAGTCACACTTCCTGTCACCGTCGGCAACAAACGTGTGGTACCGCTTTGCGTCCCGCCCAATGTATCCAGGGAACTCAGCAGCATTGTCCGTAGGTAGCAGAGGAGCTTCCCGTACCCAGTCCGTCCCAGAATAATGCCAGCCGGAAGAATCTCATCGACCCCTCTGGCACAGTACCTCACCGTGCACATGTACACTTTAGCGCCGACCCCTCCCGCCACCTGACAAAGTCGGTCAGCACAGACCGGGTGGGCAGATGCCGGAAGCGAGTCACAGTCACAACTCCCGGGCTAACATGGTTATCACGATGCGCCTACCGTTCCTTATCACATTCCTGCAGCTGCACGCTCGTAATTAGCGTCCTTTCCCCGGCCATCACAGTCTTCCCAGCGAATCAGCGCCCTGACATGAACATCACCTTAGCGCCGGCTTTTGTGACCTGTACCTCCCCAAGGATGGCGGCGTGCCACCCTCGTTGCAGTCGCTCGAGTCGTCCCGGCAATGTTTGTACCCCTCCATCGCTCAACTATTCAGCGGCATGCCAAATAATAGCCATTTCTATGCATACCCCCTGTTCGTTGCTTCGTTGCGCGCAATGCATGCCGCTGGACAATAGACATATGTACGGGACATTCAGGCGCAGGAACTCGAGCGAGATGCCTGCTGCCCAGATTAATGTGCTTCCCCGATGCAGATCATCGCATGGACAAAATTAACCCCTCGGGCGAGTCAGGCGCCTTCTGCGCGCTCAGCGTGCCTGGCATGCACCCTGCGCAGTTATCACACCGAGTCCCCAACCATCCACCCTGACTCCGCACTGGTGGGTTTGTCCAAATGGGCTAATTTTCCACTCACCGTCGTGATCATGTCGTCGGCAAATTATGGCCTTTCGAATATCTCCGAGAAGGAGCGAGACACCGTTACGCCATCTGCCTCTTGGACTAAGAACTCCAGGTGGGGTTCAGGCCAAGTTCATGGTTGTTTTTCTCCCTCTGTGGTGATGCCAAATTACTGGAGATCGTAGCGTTTCCTAATCAGGAATCCTGATCGAGTGCCACTTGGCGCTGCGGTGCCTGCTGGCCTGCAGCGCGAAGCTCTGCATGCTTGATCAATCGGACTCGACAGCCAATATTGCGATCACAGTTTGATGCCATTGGTCTGTGGAAAACAAACCATGCGGTTGGGAAAGTCTCATTGGTCGATCTAGATGCTCCCGGGCAACTGCTTCTATATCGAAGTAGCTGAGTTCTTCACTCTTGCTTGCTGCTCGCTTTTCTATTTACGGTGCAACCATACCCTATAGTTTAGCCCCCATACATGTCGAGCTTGCCGCACAGGTGATTGCGAGCACATTCGAAATGTTGCTCTACTGGGTAGTTTGGTCCGGCTAGTATCAGAAGGTCCAAGACATCCTTCAGATAAAGCTCTTTCAAGAGTGACATTCTCCTGATTTTGCATCCTCCCCCGAGTAGCACCACTCCTGCAATACTCTGCTCTCTACACCTGTAATCCATCTCTGACAATACATGACCCTTGATGAGAACGAACCGGAATAGAGTTCTCCGAGATCGACGACGAACAGAAAATGAACCAAGTTGGGAAAAGCATTACCCAAGCAGACACAAAATTTCTATTCTGAGAAGTAGTTGGCGGTACAGATTATCACTAGATCAACCGTAACAGATTCAACTTCAAGCCGATCATCTAACCAAAATAGACAGACCTGAACGAAATCCTATCCCTCTCGGACCATTTCCAGCCCAATCTACGAGCGAGTAACACCCAGAATAGAAACCCGTGCATCTTCCAATAAGAAGCGATGTGATACCAGCGGATCCCCAGTGGTGTTGAATATAGCCGCCCACCACGCATCGAGGACCCTCCCCGGCGTCTAAAAGAGGGGTAACATGTCTAAAGATATCGTTTAGAAAACTGAGCAGTGTATGCATGAGCCATGAAGTCATGGCGGAATATCCATTGGGCTGTAAGCTTCAACGTACACTGCATCTTGTTATTGCGTGCGGTAGCTGCATATCTCTTACCACTGTTGATTCAGCCTCGCCGCTGGGCATTTCAGATCCAGAACTATGGCGCCCTGCACGTAGCCGCCGGGATAATCATTGGCATTGAAGATCTAATGAGACCGAGAGGATCGAACATGCTACACTTGTTGCATCATATAGATCAACGCGGAATTGAACGCGGATTCATTGGATATTTGGCGTTGGCGAGGTTGGTCTGCTGGTCCTAGAATAGCAGTCGTGATGCTCTCCTGGTGTTGAGCTGTCCGGCGAATCCTCTGAGGAGGGTTTCATCGCGTGAGCTTCGGCCGATGATGACTGGCCATGAGTTCATCGTGAAGATCGACATCTGAGGCGGCTTACTGGTCGTTGCATGCTAGCACGGTCCGATGCTTGTGAGCCACTTGATACTATAATTAAATTTGACTATATTGCTGCAGCAAGCTAATAGGCTTCAGACTTCAGACTAGTCCGGTCCTGGAGGCACGTTTGGACTGCCTATTCTTGTCGAGGTGGGAATTCTTCCCGTGAGTGGATGCCATGAGGTCCGGTTACTATATTTATCAAGATTTACATTCCACACTAGATCAATTCTAGATCTACAGAGAAACAATGAGATGATGCGTTCCCACTCATGATAATCATATGTGGGATTCATTTTGTTCCAGTCATTATTTCTGCTGCGTACTTGGGTGTCTAGTTGTGCCACTGCATGACTCAATATATCTTTGAGCCGGGCTTCGCCTTAGTACAGTAATTTCTTCTACACCCACACACCAGGGGCACAACAACAGCAGCAACTACAACAATCATCATCTTGTTGCCAGAGGTATCATGCACAAAAGATGAATTTTGGGCGATTCACGTCGAGTAACTTGTTCTATCGTCCCGGGACTGGGAGATGTGCCTGAGGAATTGGGGCCCGCTCATTGGCCGGGCGGGAGTCCGATCCTGTCAGTTTTCTGCTCGCTGCTCTTTGCTCTCTGCTGCGCTTGCTGTTCAGCAATTCTTGGGCCATCCAGGCAGATTTCTCTTCGGCATAGCCAGTCACATACCATGCGAAGTGACTCGCCATGTTCCGTCCCCCAATAGTGCGCGCCTTCTCCCGCGTCTCTCTCCGGCCGGTCACAGCCTCGAGCTCCCGCATCCCATCTCAGATTCCTCGCTCCGCAACCTCAGGACGATTTCGCGGTCCCAGTTCAGCGGCTCTTCTGCCCTCAACACAAGCCTTTGGCTGCTTCCTATACCGTCCATTCTCTCGGTCCGCTCGCAGCGATGGATGGGACGACCCCAATTCCAAGCATTCCCTTGACTGGGCGAAAGAGGAGTTTAGTATGATCTGGAAATTCATGAGCTCCATCATGTCGTCCTGCCTTCTATTGCTTGGTTTATACTACTACAACATGGAAACCGTGGAGGTGAGTCATTGGCTGTGCTTTATATACCGTCTATCAGTGCAGGATCCCATGACTGACGTTATGCGCCCTTAGCTGACAGGTCGCCGGCGATTCAACTGCGTACCTCCCTGGCTGGAGAGGCAAATAGGAGACAGTGAATACCGGAATATCCTCAGCCAGGTGGAGGGAAGAATCTTGCCCGCTGACGACTTTTTCAGTGAGGAGGTGAACCGCGTCTGCGCCCGACTGGTCGCTCATGCACCGATACACTATGCGGACTGGAAAGTGCATGTCATTAATGATTTCTCGGAAGAGAACGCTTTTGTCCTTCCCGGGTACGGTTCATTTCCGGACACAGCCCTATGGCGACTTGACTAATTTGTGGCATTACACCACAGAGGCAGGGTCTTCGTGTTTACGGGCATTTTACCGCTCTGCAAGGATACCGATGGTCTTGCGGCTGTGCTGGGTCATGAAATTGCCCATGTGCTTGCCGGCCATGCCGCAGAAGAGATGAGCCGTGATATCTTTAGAACCCTCATTCGTTATGCGTTAATCACCATTTTCGGCCATTTGGGACAACTCGCCTCTGGTTTAATCAAGAGCGACGTTAATCTGCCCAAATCGCGAGAGCAGGAGGTGAGATCCGATCCATGGGCTCACGAGTCAGAATCAATGCCCACTGACCGTTACACCAGGCGGAGGCCGACACTATCGGATTGAGTATAACAGCCCTGCCGTCCACCTTTATGCCATGCCACTAACCCTGCTCGCTAGTGCTAATGGCCAAAGCGTGCTACAACCCCGGCGCTGCGGTCAAATTGTAAGTGAAAAGCCTCGATCGTATGTGGATATCCTCCGTTCCCGAGGCTAACCTGCTTTCTTAGTTGGGAACGCAACCACAAGCTCGATGGCGAGGCTGTACCTCAGATCATGTCAACACATCCAACGGTGAGCCAGACATTACTCCGAACAAATACTCCTCTCCTACGCTCAAGGCTAACCCATGGAAGCATTTCACCCGTATGCAAGACTTGGGCAATAAGTACCATAACCCACCCTCCTTCGATTGAGCCCTACTAACCCCGAATGCAGGCTATACAGAGCCGAAGCACTATACGAGGATAGCGGATGCCATCTCATGCGAGGCTACGGTAAGCAACCCCAATCCCAATCACCCTCCCTCCCTCCCTCCCTCACCATCACCACCACCACTCTATCCCTCAAAAACCGAACCAAATCAAACCATACTAACCATCAACTCCACAGTCTCTGGCTTCGGCGACGCAGTCGATCACTACGGAAACTGGGAACACGATGATGACGAACCCTTGTTCTGTCCCGAGAAATGAATAGATTTATAGAGATCTTCCCACCGTCTTGTTATATCGCGCCCTGTGATATCCTCCAGCGAGCGATTCACCATCTCTTTTTTTCCATCTGACGTACTAGGCATAGCGTGCTTGTTTCAAGCCATCCGTTCTATACCTTTGTATTTATCTATTGATTTGTCAATCTATTTCGGTTTCTCATGTATCATCCGATTTCACCCTACATACACACACACACCTAAATACTAATCGGGGACATTTCCACTCCTTCAATAAACCTGCTCTACTGAACCCACCCACCCTTTCCTTTCGATATGACTCACCTTGATTCCCTAATTCGATCAACTACATACCTAATTGTGTAGTAGGCAGAGAATCTAGCCCCGTAAGACGGCCAGTCGGATGGTCGGACCAACGACACCGTGTTTGGGTTTAGATTTTGGTTTGTCTCGGGGCGTCGGTGTCGGGGGGTAGAAAGTACCGATGTTGATGGTTGGCTGTCTGATGCGGTATAAATGGTAGGTTGTCTACTACGTCGCACTATTATTGTTATTAGGGGATTATCTCTTTGTTCTTGGTTGGTTGATTGATTGATTGATTGATTGAGTTACTACTGCTATTACGACTATTACTACAGTGTTAATCAACTCACCATGTCCAACCGGGTTCTCATCGCCGGTGGGGGACTAGGCGGTCTTGCTCTAGCCCAGGGTCTACGAAAGAATAACATTCCCTTCCGGGTCTTCGAGCGAGACGCGAAGCAGGATTTTCGCGCACAGGGGTACAGATTACGTGTATCCCAGGACGATCTGCCCTCCCTTCTCACGCCTGATGTGTGGACGCTGTTTGAGAAGACAGCTGCCATTGATGGACCCCCTGGGTCTGGAGCGAGATTGGATGCCGTCACGGGGGAAGCGTTTCCCTCGGGTGCTCTTGGTGGTGGTCCGCCGCCTGGGATACATGGACAGTTGAAGCCGTTCACGGTGGATCGTGGGACGATGCGCGAAGTGCTTCTCACTGGGCTTGGGGAGGATGTGCATTTCGGGAAACGGTTCACGAGGTATGAGGTCAAGGGGGATGGTGTGGTGGCGCATTTCAGCGATGGGAGCTCGTATGAGGGGGCGCTGCTGGTGGGTGCGGACGGGGCGCGATCGCAGGTCCGGAGGCAGCTTTTGCCCGAGTATCCGTTTGTTGATACGGGGATGCGGATGATTTATGGGAAGACGCATATCACGAGGGGGTTGGAGGAGAGGATTCATGAGAAGTGTTGGGAGGGGATGTCGCTGGTTGTTGATGGGGATTCGAGGGCGCCGAAGACGTTGCTGTTTGAGCCGATGCGGCTTCCGAAAGGAGAGGGGTTGGGTATCAAGTTGCCGCAGGATTATGTGTATTGGGTGCTCCTTGCTCATCGGTCTTTTATTCCGTTGCCGGATGAGCAGACGCTGAGGTTGAATGGGGAGGAATCTGCCCGGTTGTCCCTGGCGTTGTCTGAGAAGTGGCATCCGTCTGTTCGGGTCCTGTTTGAGGAGCAGGACGTCACGCAGACATCAACGCTGAGGATGTCTTCGGTCAGGCCGGATTTGCCGGCGTGGGAACCCAATCCGAGAGTGACGCTTCTGGGAGATGCAATTCATGTTATGCCTCCAACTGGTGGACAGGGCGTGAATACGGCATTGCATGACGCGGCGGAGCTGGTTCGCAGGCTCGTCGAGGCGAAGGGCGAGCAGATTGGCGTGGAGGTCATTGGGAAGTATGAAGAGACGCTGAGAGAGTATGCACGGGAAAGGGTCGGACTGAGCTGGCAGGGGGGCTACAGGGCATTTAACCTGAAGCCTGTCGAAGAGTGTGAGAGTGTTGATCTGTCGTGACTGTCATGATGGCTCCCTATAGTATGGAATTAGGCGGAGCGGTTGCTGGGTGGTGAGTCTTGTACTGAGAATCGGGAAAATGGAAGATGCGGTGTCAATTAGTGGAAGAATCTGTATCTGTAGTAAATAAAGATCATTGCTCATTGCATATTCCAGCTGCAACACTGGATGATGAAGCAAGGACCATCGGTTGTGCCCTGAAGCCCCTCCGCGTGCAAACCAGGCAAACAGCCGCCGCCAGACCGTCTCGGAGCTCCGTCGAAAATTCCCAGAACAGCTTCAGGACAGCGTTGTGGCAGTCCCCCATCTCTTCTCTCTTGATTCTTCCCTGAACCCCGGAGGAAGGATACAGTCATCATGTCGTTGTCTATGCCCGGTCCCTCCCAGGCTGGTCTCTTCAAGCCTGGGTATCAGAGGTAAGCGAACCCCGTGGTGGAATGTCCCGCCCCTCAAGGCAATCACGCATGACGGAATATCCATATCAGGCTCCGGCAATCACTGGCATTGATGGCATGGCTTGATTCATTGACTAACTGACTGCATCCAACAGTCATGATGCCGAAGACGGTGCGGTCATCCGCAACATCGAAGCCTGCCAGGCCATCGCCCAGACTGTCCAAACGTCGCTTGGCCCGTACGGTCGCAACAAGATCGTGATCAACCACCTGCAGAAGATGATCCTCACCTCCGATGCGGCCACAATCCTGCGCGAGCTGGATGTTGTTCACCCCGCTGCCAAGTTGCTCGTGATGGCGAGTCAACAGCAGGACTCGGAGATGGGTGACGGCACCAACCTGGTCATCATTCTGGCTGGAGAGTTGCTGAAGAAGGCCGAGGAGTTGTTGCGCATGGGATTGAAGACCAGCGATATTGTGCAAGGTTATGAGAAGGCTCAGAACTACGCTCTCGGAGTCCTGGAAGGTGGGTTGTTCTTGGTTCTTGATTCTACAACACGTTCAGGGGCTCCCAGCGGCTCCCCTGGGCAGGAACATCATCCCTCCCACATGTGCTGACATTCGAATTCTTATAGAACTCGAGGTCGATCGCCTCCAGGAGCTTCGCTCTGAAGCTGAACTCAGCAAGGCTCTTCGTACAGTCGTCGCCAGCAAGCAGTCCGGAACCGAAGACCTCCTGGCCTCGTTGGTTGCGGAGGCAGTCCTCGCCGTTCTGCCCCGGAACCCCGCTAACTTCAACGTCGATAACGTGCGTGTGGTGAAGATCATGGGTGGTAGCTTGGAGCAGTCTCGTGTCATCAAGGGTATGGTTCTTGGCAGGGAGCCCGATGGTGTGATCAAGAAGGCCACCAAGGCGAAGGTCGGTGTCTTCAGCTGCCCCATTGATATCTCTCAGACCGAGACCAAGGGCACCGTTCTTCTCAAGAGCGCGCAGGAGATGTTGGACTTCACAAAGGGTGAGGAGGAGCGTCTGGAGGCGGCCATCAAGGAGCTCTACGACTCTGGTCTTCGTGTCGTTGTTTGCGGTTCCACCGTCGGTGATCTGGCCATGCACTACCTGAACCGCTTCAACATCCTCGTTATCAAGATCCTGTCCAAGTTCGAGCTGCGCCGACTCTGCCGTGTGGTGGGTGCCACCCCTCTCGCTCGTCTGGGTGCCCCCATGCCCGATGAGATGGGCTCTATCGACGTTGTCGAGACCACCGAGATTGGTGGTGACCGTGTCACTGTCTTCCGCCAAGAAGATGCCAACGCCGTTACTCGCACATCTACCATTGTCCTGCGTGGTGCCACTCAGAACCACCTGGATGACGTTGAACGTGCCATTGACGACGGTGTCAATGCAGTCAAGGCCATCACCAAGGATTCCCGTTTGGTCCCTGGTGCCGGTGCTACTGAGATCCAACTTGTTGAGAAGATCTCTGCATTCGCTGACCGGACTCCCGGATTGCCCCAGCACGCCATTCGCAAGTACGCCGAGGCTTTTGAGGTGATCCCTCGTACTTTGGCGGAGTCTGCCGGTCTGGACGCCACTGAGGTCCTCTCTCGTCTTTACACTGCCCACCATCATACCAGCACCAACGCCGAATCGTCAGAGGATTCCTCGGAGGAAGAAGGTAGCTCCGGGGAGGAGCCTTATTGGACCACTGGTGTGGACCTGGAGGCGAGCACCCCGTCTGGCACCCTCGACACTGTGGAGGAGGGTATTCTGGACTTGCTGGCGTCCAAGAGCTGGGCCATCCGCCTCGCTAGTGAGTCCGCACGGACGGTCCTCAGCGTCGATCAGATTATCGTTGCTCGACAGGCGGGCGGACCCAAGCCTCCGGGTCCTAACCCCAACTGGGACGAGGACTAAATGTAAGGCGGAGAGCAGTATATTCAATGTGGTCCAAAACGCAAAAATGTGATAGAGACACGATAATCATGAACGTCAGCTGGCCCGACATGTCGGGAGTGTATAATGCCTTGTGAGGTAGTGGTAATATTGTCCATGTTGATACCTTGGGCCGAAATTGGGTGGCCGATCTACTGAGATTGTTCCAACTCGAGCTGGCAGTAAACCCTTGCACCTTCTCTAGCTGCGTTTAAATTATTCCTCGACGCCTGAGTAGCTCCCGCAGTACTATATAGTTCATGGTAGAGAGCCATCACCGTCCCTGGGCGGCCGGCCGGTGTCACGTGACGTGACTGGATTTTCCGGGCCGACGCTCGACTTTCTTTTCCCGCAAAGGCCTTCTTCGAGCATTTGATTATCTCGAGCAGCTTCAATTCCTCGGTCAACCCCCCTCCTCGGTTCCTCGTCTGTCCCTGTTTCCGTCCCGATCGCCTCACTCCACATCCATAATGTCCGTTTCCGCCCAGGCCGCAGCTCGTTGCTGCAGACAGATTGTCCGCCCTACCGCTACCCTGCGCCTTGCTCCCTCATACCTGTCCCAGCGGACAATCAGTCGGAGATGGCAGTCCACTGAGGCGGAGGCCCCTGCTGCTCCTGCCAACCCCAAGATCACCCAGATTGTCGACCAGATCAGCCAATTGACGCTGTTGGAGACCGCCGACCTCGTGGCCAGCCTGAAGGTATGTTGTTTTGCTTTGCAGGGCATATGTCGCAAACTTAACCCATGCCTATTCCGACGTGAACCCCATGCCTTTCGATGCAGAAACCATCCACCAATTCCCCCAGGATTCACCGCTAACCTGCCCTTCTCCAATCTAGTCCCGCCTGAATATCCCCGACCTCCCCGTTGGCGGTTTCGCCATGGCCGCTGGACCCGCCGCTCCCGCCGCCGCTGAGGAAGACGAGGCCGCTCCTGCTCCCCAGGAGAAGACGCTGTTCAACCTGAAGCTCGAGTCCGTCGAGGCCTCCTCCAAGGCCAAGGTCATCAAGGAGATCAAGACCCTCCTCGGCCTGTCCCTGGTCGACAGCAAGAAGTTCGTCGAGTCCGTTCCCAAGGTCCTGAAGGAGTCCGTCCCCAAGGAGGAGGCCGAGAAGATCGTGGAGACCCTCAAGGCTGTCGGCGCCAAGGCCACCATGGATTAAACGGGCTATTATACTCACTCTCGGCTTCGGCTTCCGGGGACTTTTTAATGCTACCGGGTCACCCGGTCCTCCTCCTGTTGTTTGGAGCAGATATGCTTTAACATCGGGGGTTTTGGGTTCGGGGGCCGGGACGTTGTGATTGGACTGCATCATCGAGCTGGAGTTTTGTCTCGCACCACCCTTTTTCGTCGTCATGTACTGTGTGTGTTTTTTCTATCTATCTCTTTTCTTTTCTCCGTCATATATCTCTTAAGATTGTTCTGATATAACCGGAAAGCGGGCGGAAAAGGCGGCGAGTGTACATTATTATCGCATTGAAATGGACAATGTGTGAACAAGATGGAAGAGTTTCGGGTAGAGTTTCCCAAGGGAGAGTGTAGAAGCGGTATACTCTCTATTTCAGTATACATCTTTGATAGACTAGATGACTGACTGATGCGTTGTGACCAATGATTGGAGGGGGTCATACAGCAGTGGTAGGTATTGGTGGTAGTAGTAAGTACTAGTAAACGAAAGGCCCGCCGGACCTATCAATTCGAAATTTACGTCGCCGTACATTGGGTACAGTCCACGGTCTTTCTGTACTATCCTTATTTGTACCCGAGATTGATTTATCCCGCGGCCAATCTGATATTGACTATACTATGTGGGGGTGCTCTCTTGAGAAGTAATGATACGCAGAATTGTAGATAAAGAAAAATTCCATACAGTATTGTCTTTAGCGCAATCCCCAATACTTTGGTTCCATGAATTTCGTATTGTTATCCCATATAAAAACCGAATGGCCTATTTGACTTTCACTTGCATCCAACCAATTCATAATAGGTGAGGAACTATATACAAATATGTGTCTGTATAGCCCACGAGATGCCCCGAAGCTAAGTACCACTACTTAGGATGGGTGAGACACTGCCTCGAGACGAAAAAGAAGTAAAAGAAAGTAAGAAGGGTTTCAAGGGGTGAGAATATAAATACCGCCGTTCCATCATCAACATCATGTACCTCTTTCCGAACCGTGTTCGATATAACATACGTAATCTGATTGTATCCTATATTCCTTCCACGGCGTCTGCCCGATAAGGCGAAGATTTGAAACGAGGGGAGAGTAGGAAGGAAAGTGTCAATCCACGAAAACAAAACATGACCATGCTGCATGCACACATTCATGCCCCATGTTTCTAAATTACCTTCTTCGACCTTTGCCCTTGCCTTTCCCCCTGGTCTTGAGTTCGACAAATCCAAGCTCCTTTAGACCTTCCGTGAGACGCGAGGAGTCTCTCATGCCGGGAAAGTCTTTAGCAGGGTATACGCGGAAAGGATCAGACCATGCTTCGGCAAGAACGGGCATCGATTGCCCTGTATCTTCGACAAGACCCCAATTCATGAGCCGGAATTGCAAGCGGTACAGTCCAGCTGTACGTACGGAGAGGTCGGAGAATATGAAGAAGGCCGCGGGATGTCTGCCTCCGTTGGTAGGGGGAGCGAGCTGCATTCTTCTCTCGGGGATGTAGTCGAACGTTGATGGGTGGCTGGGAGCGGTAGTTGGATCTGGATCTTCATCGACGAAGAAAGGCGAAACAAATGCTTTGCCCGACAGTAGTGGTGTGGACTGACCGGGAGCAGTTCCGAGGCGATCCTCTCGTAGGGCGCTGTCGCCATCGAGATCGGATGAAAAGGAACCTCGCGTTTCGGGGACCAGGAAGCAGCCCACGGTGAAGCGTGGATCTTGGAGAACGTCGATATCGTCTGGTCCTTTGGGGTCAAAGTCCGTCAAGAGCAATTGGATGATGGGTGGTGGGTCTACAGGTCGACGGTCTCGGTCTCCGGCACCGCAAGCCCGAGCTGCTATGGGCTGCTGTCGGATGAAGAGGTGATACCGTGAGGTGGTAGATGTTCGTCGCGGCGGCGGCGATGGAGTCGGGGAGTGATGCAGTAGCCTTTCAAAGCCGGAAGGCATGCTGGATGTAGTATGTCGCTGGTTTTGCTGTGCCTGAGGTTTCATGGGAGGAGCAATCGCAGGATAAACTGCGGAGCTCTCGTCCGAGTGAACGGGACTTGGGAATGTCGCTGAGCTACTACTGTATCTGCGTGTATATTGTTAGCACCGTGATTGTATAAGGACTTATGAAACACCGCAGCTCGAGGCAGGGCGACAGGAGAATGCACATTTCAGAGAGCGACCAAGATCTCGAAATCACAACTCCCGACAGGATGGCATTGGGGTCGCTGATCTGACTAAAGAAAGGGGTGTATACTGAGACTCCACGTCGTTTGCCCGTACCCCGGAAATAGAACCAATAGAACCGCGACTGTAACTGGAATCCTGGTACGGGCTAGAGACAGAGGCAGATGCCGAGCCATACTCCACGCTTCTCATGACATTTGATCTCTGAACTCCATACTGAGCAGGGGCAACCGTGTTGGCAGGAGGAGCTGGCGAAAAGTTATATTTGGGATCTGGGATGCTTTCCCAAGGTCTGCCATGATAAGGGACCCTGGGATTCGATGCAGAGGGAATATAAGCCGACTCGTAGAGCTGAGTATCGGGATACCGGAATCGCGGCGGTTCTTCCGCGACATGATATTGATTTGGATGTGTCGCCAACATGTGGTGGTCATCGCCAGCGGCGTGGGGTTTTGCATCAGGATGCTGGCCACTCGAGGCGGAATACATCCATTGCGGTAGCGGAGTTCTCGACATTCTATGCAGTTGGATACGGACTTTCGGAAGCCCGAATACCCTTTTTCTTTCTTCTAGGGCCTGCTCGGGTTGAAAAGTGCCAAAAGCCGATCTTCCGATGTTTTTGCAGGCTAGGCATCCACAATATGGAACTCCGAACTGGTGAAGCAAGGTATCGCCAACTTAAGAGAAAGGTTGAATGATGCCCAATCTGGAGAGGATAATCGACAGGGGCCGGCAAGCCACTGAAACAAAATGGCCAAGTACTACGTAACGGTATACCGAGCGCCAAAGTCTCTTCACAGGTCGACTGTGCGGTAGGTTTAAGACGCTTCTTTAAAGGCCGAGGGTTCGAGCAACATGGTCTGCCGTGGGTGACCGTTCCAACCTACCAGGGTAGCTGGGTAGAGTGACATGCATACGTTAGCTCTCCTTGATGATTTTCAAGGGTTGACCACAAAGCAATTGTCTGGGGAGGACCCCAAGCAAGAAAAAGAAAGCACGGACGAAGGAGGGAGAAAAAGAAAAGAGAAGTGCCCACCACTACCCAACCAGATCGCAGCACGACTCACACCGGCGCAAGTAGCGGCAAGGCAAGCACCATGAATTGTGGCCCTGTATCAACTTGAGGTAAGCGTGTCTGATGACCACACCAGAAGGAGAGGAGAATAGAGAGAACAGTAGTACTAACCCTAAGCCAAGCAGGTAAATGGCCGGAGGTTATTGGCACTATATCGCAGCCTGTGGCCGTGCAAGAAAAGAAGCGGATCTGGGGAAATGGGCTGGGCGATGCTTTTGTGAGAGCCTGTGCGTGCCCACTGCGTATGTGTGTGGCATTGTGAGAAAATTCAGACATGCAGCGACACTGCGTCCCTGACAGGATCCAGCCATCTATATCCCCGAATCCTGAGAATCTTACTCCATCCTCTGCTTCTCCGATTCCCCCGTATTTGACAATTTGATAGTGGGTTTTGCTAGTGGCCAGACCGATCGCCTGTACGGAGGACACAGCCAGGATCATGCGCGACCATCGATTTTACTAGTAAGGTTTCAGTCGGCGACCCCCTTCTGATTTCTGATATGGGCCCATCTAGCTTCTGTAACCGCCAGTATGACGACTAGGCGAAAGTGTCGTTGGTCACAGCACCAAAACCGAGGCTGGTATTCCGTGGACATCGGGTATTCGTCGAGGCAGCGAGCGTAGCTTGAGGAGACGCTATCTCCGTTGCGACGGCCAATTATGAAGCAGGATCCCGTATATGCAACAAGTCGCTCCTAAGCGACTAGGCAAAGGCTGAAGTGTGTTTACCATGGCGCCCAAATTTTACCCACTTCCTGGGGAACTAGGGCGATCTGCTGCCGAAGGATTGAAATTCTAAATGCGCGATCATCTGGAAAGCCAGCAGGAACCCACCTGGTGAGAAGTTCGTGCAGAGGCAGGATTCCCGGGCCAGGTCTTAAGAGGCGAGCTGCGACAAAAGAAAAAAAGAAAAGAAAAGAAAGATGGAACAGGGTAAAGAAGCGCAGATCGACCCCACGATGAATATCCAATTAGTTGATTGGCGAAAATGTACTCCGTACGCCGTGAGAAGCGCAGTTCAGATTGCGGGATCGCTTTCCATGATCGCTATCCACACAATGCAGCTAGATGGACCTCCAACAGCTGATCGGTGCAAGGAATAATTGGTGCTATACTTATGATTTGCAAGCCTCGGCATTCCATTCCCGATGTTGGCGTGTGCTGCAGCCTGGGAAGAAGGGAGAAAAGCGGAAGATGACGCTGCAAGAGTCGCAGAGAATCAGCTAGAAGACTGTCTGGTGGAGCCCAGATCTGAGAGTTCACCGTTGTTTCCAACTATCGGCCATATGCAGATCACTATTCCTGGAGCAGTGCGGTAATAGATATCATCCTGGAGCCCCAGGACAACTATTGAGCCTGGGACAAGGCCATTGACCGCAAATCCCGACACTACCGTCGGGCGTTCTTCCGCACGCTAGGCAAACACGGCTGCTCAGCTGCTTAGTGTCTTCGGGACTGGGATTTCCATCCGACAGCGTCCATATTACTTTGCTGCCACGTCTTTAGCCTGGAACCAGAGCCCTGCATGGAATTTGGTGCACACTGGAGCTAGGAGCACCAGTGGTACAATGAAAAATGGTAGCCATGAGGTATAGGAGAGTCCATCCAGCCCCCGACTACCCAGGTTCGTGAGTAATGCCGATTTGTCATTGCTCATCGTGGGTACTGGGGCTCCTGCACGGACCATGTCGGTTGGCTGAGCTGCTTGGATCTAAAACTAGGCTATCGTGAGCTTTTCTCCGCAACAACTATATTTTCAGTGACCCAGGGACCAAGCATGATTGTTGTCTCTTGCCCACAAGAATATAGAGCTATAATGATAATTCAAATAAATAAAAGGAAAGTGAGGGAGCAAGAGAGAGGCAGAACTTGGGCTCACCTACTTACGTGGGGATCGAATCGCTCCCATCAGTTAAGCTCGAGAAAAAAAGCCGTTGGGCGTATACACAGTGGGCTGTGAGGCCCGCTCGTTCGATGATTATTGTGGCTAACAGTACAAGGAATGCTAGCCATCGAAGATCGATCGGTGGTCACCGCCACATATCACACTGGCTGTTTCATCTCAGCTGACTTGTGTTATCGGAGCTCTCTGGTGCCGCGGGGAGGTGTTCCTAGTCGGCGATGGAGGTACTTTTCGTGCATTAGCCCTGTAACAGCTGTCCACCTTTCCCTCTTAGGTGGATGGGCTCCTGCATGTGTGGTTGCCTTGCCGACAACGACGAGCGATGTGTCACATCCTTGACGGTTGGATGATTTGATGGATGACGAGAATTGGCTGGATGCTGATGAGTCAACCACCGCCAGGGCGATGGAACTACTACCGACACGCCCATGCAGTGTTCTAATTCCCGGAATCCAGGTGTGCCGCATGCGCACTAAGGGTTTCCAGTGTCCACCCCCCTGTGTTCCTACCCAGGCAGTCATGGTTGTGGTCCTGGGGATCCCGGAAGCTGCACTGGCAATGCACTGGTTAGTCAGTAGGTTGGAGGCTACGGCGATGATCCTGTTCGCGCATGGTGACCGTCCAGAATAATGCATGACCATTGGCATTTTTGCCTATTCCTGGAGATTTCCCCCTGTGGGCTGTTTTATCCACCCTTTTATCGCCGAGGACAATCCTGCGTTCGCGTTTGAGGTAGGACAAATCGATACCTTGACTCGACGAAGGTGTAGGATCTCAATTAACGCTGCGTGTAGCCAGCCACACTCCATTTGCCTGTAGAAGGCAACTGAGACGGACTGCCCGTGTAGGAGCCAACGAGACACGGGGGGCTAGTCCTTCAGCGAGTTCGCCAGAGGCAACCGAAGGAGAAACTTTGTCAGAAACCGAAGGGCCTCAACCGGTCGTCTGCAAATATCCCGGTTAACCTTGGGGGAAGGCCTGGAATGAGAGGCTTACGGGGAAGGGGAGGCGTGTCTCCGATTGGATGACAGGAAAAATCCGTGGACATCGGAGATCTCTCGTTGCAAGAGAGCGGAGGAGTCGGCCGCGATCTCGTTGACCTGTCGATTGCGGCATTACGAAAAGGAAGGGGGGATCAAGTGACTCGGAGCCCAACACCGCCGCCGCCGTATAGCAGGAGCAGCAGCACCACCACCCACCATCCATCCACCACCCAGCAACAGCAACTGTTACGTTCTACCAGCCCAACCTCTTCTCCTCAGCCCACTGGAGCCAGTCCGGGATTATGGCAAGGCCAAATGGGGATAAAAATGCTGACACGAGGAAAGGGAACACCATGCCGGCCACTAGATCTTAGACAAAACCTTACCTGCGGGCCTACTACTAACCTTCCTCTGGTTTCACCGGGTGTTTTCAGCAGCCAAGGTTCCGTCCGAAGTACGGGCCGCCCGCCTCATCTCGATACACTTGGGCCTACAGCCTGGGCCTGAGCAAAAGTGCCTGTGTTCTGGAAGCACCTGAAAAATTCCCATGCATGGCACCCTCTGACTCGACCACCGCATACGGAGTACGCTCAGGAGGATGAATACGACATGATACACTTCTCGTTCGTTACTAAGACTCTTTAGGGAAAAAGCAAAAGAGGACACCGAATCCCGGACGCATCAGTGCCCCTGCTAGGGCAACAAAATGCTTCGATCGTAAACTATTAATGCGAATCTGCAACGCAAGAAGATCTTCGACATCCTATGGGTGGATACTCCATCGACCTTCCAATTCCGTCCATTAGTCTACGTCGACCCTGGGCTGCTGAGAGCAAGGGAGCCGGGATAACCTGACATTCAAGGCCGATAAGCTTGCCTTGGCTCTGAAGCGTCTGCACCAGTCTCCCGCCCGAAGCCAGGGTATCCCGGCACTCTCTCCTGGATGTATCCTACGGAGCATTTTGTACCCTCTTAGCGAAGGTGGCAAGATGGTACAAACCTGGATGTGGCTCTAATAGAATCCCCTGTCCGTGAAATGAAGTTTCATGGATTTGGTTTTCATGCAGAACCGATGACGCTGATCATACCAGTGGTGTATTTGGCCGATACACCAAATTCAACTTGAAAATATCAGCGAACCACTGCCGATGACCTTGCAACAATACGTGTTTCGCCAGGCGTGACACTGTGAGAGCACACTAAAATGAGATTTCGATTTCATAAACAAGGGGTCATGACCTGCAGTGATTAGTCGGGCCCATTCATAAGGGCTTACCGTGGGCCTTGGAAGCAATGCTGAACTGCGAGAAATTCTAGCCTATTAACATAGTCATAGATATCTCCACCTTGGGAGATTCGCATACCCAGCACTATGGTGACAGGCAATGACGTAGAATTGACAGAAGATCGCAAGGGACTTCGGCTCACGTGCGAGATAATGTTATCTAACATCAACCGCAGTGAGACGCATACGATCGGTCTATAGGCTATATTGCGGCTTGCCTCGCCCATCGGGACATATTGACGTGGCTTGCCTGAGCTAATATTCTGGCTTCGGACTTCCCCGGTAGAATGGGGCTATCGCGCAGTGTCGAGCATCCTCGGCTTGCCCGGGAGATTAGCGTTGGACTCAAGTAGATACTAGTTCGCCATCTCTAGAGCGTCAGACTGGAAGCAATCATATAGCGCACGGCGTGGATAGTTGGGGTAGACGCCGGCTTTCGGAGTCATGGATGATGGAGCCGACCTTTGGTTATGTCAGTGAGGGAGTGTACCATCATCACCGTGCTCAATATAACTGCCTAGCTGCATCCCGTGCAAAATCTGCTTGTTACTGGGTTGAACAGCCAAAGGAACTGTATGCAACTGGTACCATCATTATTTAGGCACAGTGCCTACATTGTCCTCTATGCAAGAGGACGATGGAAGCGACCCGCAGGTAGAGTGCAGCTTTACCAACGCTAGCATATAGACCTTAAGGCACACGCACTTGTGGAAATGCAATAATCGGCGTCTGGAGGCCAACCCGCGCCTACTCGCTTGATTTCTGATAGTTGCAGAGGAGGCACCGAACCAAGTGTCCAGTGAGGCATGTCGAGCAAACGCTAAAAGCTCACTGCTTATGTACACCAATGACCACCACACATGGCGGTCAAAGTATCAAGTCTAGGCCTGGGTCCGTATCAATATGATAGTACAGAGACCCATTTCCGATGGATAATATGATATCATTGTTCGAGGAGGTAGCCGTACCACCAGGGAGACCAACTGTCGTGATTGCGTTGAGACCAGACTGTGGCCGTGCAGCTCGAGAGTCTATGCGATGCTCGATAGGACCGTTGCTTTGCCCGACAAATACAGCAATCAGCTTGCCATAAACACGATCCCAGGCAACCATGTGTCCAGTTTCTTCCCAGGGATGGGCGTGATTCGGGTCCGAGTCAGGGATGCATTTGGGTCTCCTCACCAAAGGGCCGAGCTGCATCGCATGTACAGAGCGCTCACTAGTGAGAGGGGTTCCATTGTTGTCGTAGCTCACTCGAATTAAACCTAATGTTGAAGGTGTCCAAGGTGGAGTAATATCTTCCGTGGCCGATGAAACGGCGCCCGTAAACTGAACCGGAGAATGCCGAGGAAACCAAGCATATTCGAAATTCGAGGCTCCAGTCGATGGAATCGAAACATATATCACATCTCCTTCATGCTCATCAAGTAGTTCCGCAATTTTACCAAGATCTGCCGCCGACCTTGAGCATCCCAGCGCTTTCATCTCTGAGAAAAAGCGTACAGTGGTCTCATAACCTGTGCTGTCACCGTCTAAAGTAAGGAGTGGCTGCTCCGAAGCAACCAAGAGGGGGTCAGAGGCACTTGTATGATATGGTCCATCAGGCTCCCAGCGAAGTCCTAATCTGTTCTCGATGTCCACAAGTTGAACTTCAAGAAGCTTGAGGTATTGCCTTCGTCCTGCAAGCTGCGGCAGTAGGGCACTAACGGCTTCAGAGGCAAGGAGAGCAGTTAGACCGTTGAATCTCGAGATCCCAGGCAAAGTACCATTGGAGCGTTCTGATACTTCTGTCAGGTACTGTAAGGCTCTCGGTACTTCACCGATATCGACCAGAGCCACCACGCAAGAATATGCAGACTCAAACAGTTCAGATGAGGAGCCAGAAGATAGCTTCTGTAGCGTCCGGGACCATACTTCGGTTAGAAGCTTCTCGCTCCGCAGCCTAGCCAGCAAAGAGAGATATTGTCCATTGGATGCTGTCGGATTATCGGGACTATCCCAGCACAGTAAATTGTGTAGGCTTCTTTGACTGCACTGATCTTTTCCATTGATCATTTCGAGTATGATGTGTGTCTTATCTGCCTTTCCCCGGAACTTCATGGAGTGGAGGGCATCGAGAAGTGCATCTACCAGAGATGTGCTGGCTTGAAAACCCAAGGGCGACGAGCTAACGGAAACATACCCTTCCATAAACCTTTCAAGGGCCGGTACAGACAATGTGAGAGCAGCATAGTACATGCCTAGGAAGTATATATCCCCGGAGCGCGGTAACCTCAGCTTCTCTAATCTTGTAATGATGGCATTGAGCGCTGAGAGAATCTCCCCGTATGAGTTACGCCGTCGGCAACGTTTCAGCGCCTGCGCTAGAAGGGTACAGGATCGCGCCTGCAACAACAAGCTGCCCTCTTCCTCATTCACGTTCCTTTCGATAAACACCTGCAGGTGACGAAGATTCCTTACATTATGTGTCATGGCCATGAACGACACGAAATCATCGGGGCTTTCCGTCTGCCGCTGAGAAGAACCCCAGAATGGAGGAGGTAACGATTTTAGTGGCCAGTCTCCAAGAAAGATTTCCGACAGATGTTGGTCGAGTTCTGGATTGGAGACATCGTTTTGAGAAGGTTTTGTCGTACCCGTGAGGGCGAATCTAAGTAGCTGGGACGGGGTGGGCTGGGTATATGAAGCTCTCCAGTTGTTTACCGAAAAAGCGCGGCACTGCGATGGTGAGACACCAGATGGCATGCGCGTCAGCTGCCGCGCTACAGCCCCAATGCGTGAGTACAGTGACATAGATGCCAACTCCCTGAAGGCATTGGATAGAAGCAATGTGAAGCGAGGGAGCAGGCCTTCAATCGGCGTGCAAGCGATAATCCGGGGAGGGGGTGGAGACAACAGCGGATAACACCAGCGCAATCCACCAGGGGAAAGGCGGTCAGCGGGGCGGTGGACCACGGCAACCAGCGACTCGAAACTGAGACTCACTTGGCGTGGTTCCCGTTCAACTCGATCACCGAAGCTTTCGAATTGACCATCCCTATTTGCCTTTCGAATAGCGCCTCGTGGGCTTTACTTGTGACACATACGTGCAATATGCCTGCCGAGCAGTCTACATCCAGCCCTTCCGACGCCAAGGAGAACCCCAAGCAGTCCGCAGAGATCGAACAACTCGATGGTGATAGCAAGGAATCCGGATCGCCTTTAAAAGAGGCTGAAGGGGAATCGGCCGCAAACGCTGGCGCGAAAGAAGAGTCCTCGGACAAGAACGAGGATGATGCCGCTTCGAAAGCCCGCCAACGGCAAGAAAGATTCAAGGCCCTTAAGGCTCGCGCAGTAAGTACTTCGTGCCCAGTGGTCATTTTCGACTAGGCTTGCGCTGACATCAAATCAGAAAACCGCCACCGAGCGCAATTTGAAAGAAACCGCTGCCGAGACACAGCGTCTCGCAACAGATCCGTCGCTCCTTTCATCGCTGTCCCGTAAACATGCTTTCGCATCGCACAACCTTCTCAAGGCAGACACGGAAGCCGCTGGCGAGGACTTTGAACGTAAGCGTGCTTGGGACTGGACCATCGATGAGTCGGAGAAGTGGGACAAGCGAATGGAAAAGAAGCAGCGCCATCGCGACAATGTTGCATTCCAGGACTACACCCAGGACGCCCGGAAAGTCTACAAGAGGCAGCTGCGAGAAGTGCAGCCCGACCTCGAAAGCTACGAGAGGGAGAAAATGGCAGCGATCGAAAAAGCTGCTGCGAATGGCGACCTCGAGATCGTTGAGACCAATGACGGTGAAATGATTGCTGTGGACAAGAACGGTTCCTTCTATTCTACAGCTGACAGTGTTGGGTTTACGGAAAACAAGCCTGATCGTGCCGCAGTTGACAAGCTAGTGGATAACCTTAGGAAGGCCGAGGAGGTCCGGCTTAAGAAGCGGAGGGATCGCCGCGGTGACGATGACGGCGACGTCACCTACATCAACGAGAAGAACAAGCAGTTCAACCAGAAGCTGGCGCGCTTCTATAACAAGGTATGTTTCATGTTTATCCGGTCTCTGAGCATCGAACTGACGGCCTTTCAGTATACTACAGAAATTCGTGACAGTTTCGAGCGCGGTACGATGATATGATTTACCTCAAATGGTCCGAATCAACAAGATGATTTCACACGCACGGTCGCAAGGGTTCTACATAGCAGTGGCTTGGTTATTACGATCGTCGAGTCCCACTTCTCTGCACATTGCAACACCATTTCAGGCAGCATACAAATGGCAACGAATCTCTTGCAAGACTGCTACGCCGCTAGACAAGGCAGGCATTCGATCTAGCACATGATATGCAACTTTGCCAGTGACGTCATTCGACCGAGTTTACAAGTTGCTTATCGGCCTACCAGACTCTGGGCTCTTGGGGCACAAATTAGGGGTGTTTTGTTACAGCCTCGTTATGATACATGATATAATGTACAGCTTCCAGAAACCGCTATCCGGGGTAATTCGCCAAGCCAGCGACAAAGGCACTTCGCTGCCTCGGATATAAAAGTGAGACCAGGCAAGACTGCCCCTGTCGCAAATTCTGGCTTAGCCTCGCATGTCTTCCTTGCTCTGGTTAATGCAAGTAAGAACCATCTTGCCTTGCCTTGGTTGAAGTTTTCCCCAAGGCGCCAGCTACCAGTTCAAGCTGCTAGCCATTCAGACAATTCCACGTGCTTTTCAATTTCTTGTCCAATCGCTTCTCTAGCATCACTCAGAGCATGCTCTTTCTCCACGCCTTCGTAGCCAAAGCTTCTATTTTCTCAACTCCGAGGGCTCCACGGACAGATTCATCGTCCAGGGCCTCCACCACAGCCTCACCCACATCACCCACCTGGAAAGGTTTCGTCACCATGGACCCAAGAAAGTCCAGCTTATTGCCCAGAAGCGCATTGACCTGAGACCCAACGAAGCCACCCAGGGCAATGGGGAGCGTGAACTTCCTGCTCTCATCGTACATAAACGGGGCCCGAACAAAGACATTCCTCAGCTCCGGCAACTTCGCCGCAATAATCGACTCCGCCTCTCGCTTCGTTGTAATATATCGACTCGGAAGAACCGGCGCGCCCGACGCCGCAGAAATGTAGAGAAAAGTCGGGACATGTTCGTTCAGGGTCTCTTGCGCCAACGCAATCGCTATACCAAACACACATTAGCACATTTCAACCCCCCGTCGCGCCCATATACAAACCAGAATCCCGATTCATAAGCTCATATGTAAACTGCCCATTCCGCTCCTTCACCTCCAGCAGCTCCCCCTCTCGTCTTTGCAACGGATCCTGACTCCCCGGCCTCGACGCACTAAACGCCTTCTGCAAGCCACTAAGAATCGGTTCTCGACCTTGCACCACCCCCTTGTAATCTGCCTCGAGGAGGATTCCCATGCTGTGAACGACAGCTGTCGCGCCGTTCAGAAACGGCTTGTAGGTTTCGGGTTTCAGGATATCGGCTTTGGCCCATTCGACGGAGCTGGCCCAACTAGGGCGACTGGGGGAGCTGGTGACGGTTTCCCAGCGCGGTTCGCCGGAGCGGCTGCAACGTTTGTAAGGATATCATGGGTCGTGGATGGATGTGGGGTAGGTGGATGTCGTACCTTAGTGATGTAACGGACCATCCTCGAGCGACGGCGGACTTGCAAATTCTTGATCCTGTAGAGAAAAGCGCAAGCAGTTAGTACCGAGTCTACTTCTCCATGCGACACTAAATACTAGTACTTACCCAAGAAACCGTTTCCGCCGGCAACGACTACCCTCTTTGCTGCCATTGTCGGGTAAATTCAATTGATACCAAGTGAAGAGGTAATAAGGAGTGAATCTGAAGGCATGAGCTAACAAAGCATTTTCATAACAAGGAATCCGGAGCTCGATTCGATCCCGGAGAAAGCGCCGCCGCAGCTCAGCTTCCGCCGGATTCCTTATCGTATCACCCGCGACCGTCACGTGCCGGAGCAGAGATTCCGCGGCGCTTTCGCGACAGAGACATTGAAACCGACATTATTCCTACATCTATCTCCCTGTTCATTTGCTCGTCATTGTCCCGATACCCCTCATCCTTTTCAGTTTGGTTATATCTCCGGTATCGCAGCATGCCCTCAGCTACAGGAACCAAGCGCATTAGAGTGAGTCTCATCCCCTCCTTCACTTCCTGTCTACAATACCATCATGCATGCCCTCCCAAGCAGTCAACTCACATCAACTCAACATCTAGGGCGTCTCAGTCTTCCGCCCCTTCGGTACGCCATCACCACCAACACCATTTCCCCACCCCAGGCATCCCACCTAACAACCACAGTCTTCGGCAGCGAAGCCCAACCCTTCGACCCAGCCAAAAAGCCCCCCCACGTACCCGCCGACCACACACACCAATGGCGCGTCTTCGTGAAAGGCGTCAACGACGAAGACATTTCCTACTGGCTGAAGAAAGTCCAATTCAAGCTCCACGAGACCTACGCCCAGAACGTCCGCACGATCGAACAACCACCCTTCGAAGTCACCGAGACCGGATGGGGTGAATTCGAGATCCAGATCAAGCTGTACTTTGTGCCGGAGTCGACGGAGAAACCGCAGACGCTGTGGCATAGTTTGAAGCTCCATCCGTATGGGCCGGACGCGGAAGCGAAGAAGGAGAGGAGGGAGTTGGTGGTTAGTCAGAATTATGAGGAGGTGGTGTTTAATGAGCCCGTGGAGCAGTTTTATGAGCTGTTGACGGGGGGTGGGGCGGGGGGTGCTGGGGGGTCAGGAGGACAGAAGGGGAAGGGGGGCAAGAATACGAAGCAGGCGCAGTTGCAGAGGGGGGTTAGGACGGCCGAGATTCCGTTTAATGAGACGCCGGAGAACCCGTATAGTAAGGCGGCGGAGGGTAGTGAGATGGATCGGTTGGGGGAGGCGAATAAGACAGTGGAGGGGATGATTAAGTTGGAGAGGGAACGGTTGATTGAGCGGGAGAAGAAGTTGGCGGAGTTGCGCGCGAGTGAGGGTATTCCGGCCTCTACGAAGAAGCGGTAATGGTGTGTGAGGGGTGGATTGGGTTAATATTTTGAGAGCCATGGGCTTGATACGCTTCGGTTGACGACTGGTCTATATCTTTTCTCATGGAGGGATGCGTTCATGCTGCTTGCATCGTGACGGAAAGAAGCCAGGGCTGTTCCTCGAAGTGCTCCCTTGAGAGGGTGGGACAAGGCTTATCAGTGGCCTTTGGGAATCGTGAGGGCTCAAGGCCCGGAAATACTGGGCCCTCTCTGCAGCGATACTTGCCGGTCTTGCGAGCATATCGATATGCATTCTAGGAAGCCTACAGTGGCATATCCAGGTGGCTACTGCCATGATAAAGGTGGCATACATAGCCAGCGCTATAAGTAGCTAGCAAATAACACAAAACTTTCATGTTTCCTGATCCCCAGCGCTGTATGTGGTATCGGCATCCGCATATCTGGGCTTTACCCCCATGCCTTCAAGCTTACCACGACACTTCCCTACTTTATGAGCGACGATTACCATGTTAAATCACTAGGTTATCCTAGCTGACTCATGCAATGGTAGTCCGAATGCTCTGCCCTCATTGATCTTCATCGGTCCAAGATTGCTTCGTTGGTTCCTGTAGATTCTGCGACTTCGGTGACCTTGCGTGGAAGTGTGGCTTGATGGATCATAATGTCAAATGCATCGTCCTGTCCACTAATGTGCATCATCATCTGTTTTGCGAGCCGGCGAAGAGCGACACGGCACACACAGCGGCGTCGAGGCTTTTAGCAGAGTTTCCGGTTTCCGGGCAGCGCATGGTCTGGCTTCGATGAATTTTGGCCGGCTCAGAACAGGGTGAGGATACACATCGCTCTTGATAATGTGGTTGATGTTGACAAAAGTTCTGGACAAATACAGTCTTTCATATATAAGCCACAATGATGACTGGTCTGGTCTCAGACTGTCGATGCTATAGCGCAACGGAGCGATGAGGCGAAAATATCTGGATATGCCTTTGCCAACAGCACTCGGGATGGGCATTGTGCAGAGATCCTGCGAAACTTGGTGCCCGACTTGAAGGCGGGAGCAAAGGTTATCCTTCGAGAACATCCCTTGCCCGAACCAGGTACAATGACACTGCTTCAGGATTTGCAGATGCGGCAAGCTCACTTCAACAAAGCCATCAGTCTTTGAAACATGGTATAATTACTGACGAAGTTTGCTTCTCGCTCCGTGGATGCCACCATGCTATCTCAATTCTCGGGCGCGCGAAGTGGAGGACTGGAAGAGCCTGTTTTGGGTTGCAGTTTCTAGATTCGTGGGGTCACCGCGAACAGTGTTGAAGGAACTTGTTCCAATGTTTTGGTGATTGTCGAATGGTCACCCTGATAACATAGTCCACAATAACATAGCCAGTTATTGGCAGCAAGATCCCATATAGTTCAGAGTAAGACACCCAGTTACCCGTATGCCAGAGTGTAAAGTCACATATATGACCACTATTCGACGGCGACGGTGATAAGATCACGTGAAGTCAAGTTCGGGCATCGTACCCAAAAGCAGTGGCTCACTACATGTTGGGTCGATGTAGGCTGATAGCAGCCCAGGTGAGAATAGCCCTTGTACATCCGCCTCTGTACACCTGGCTATGCCATGGCTGCTGGCAATCGAGAGCCACGCATTGTTCTCGGCGGACGAAGGATTGCTGGGAACCTCATTTCTCGATGCTGGAGGCACAGCACTACTAGTCTGCGGATATCGAGATTCAATCCAAGACGTGAATGTCTCTGCTGCCACGCATCTGAGATAGTGATGGGCTCGGTTTGCGATGGGCCACTTCTGCTTCAGTGTCTTAAGGCACCCAAGAACAAGGATAATGCGGTTGCAGTGGTGGTCGGAACACTCCGATGAGTGAATTCGACTTGTGGCAAGCTGCACCATCCCACAGAGTACTAGACTGAACACAACGAATGGACTATATCTTTGGACACTAGGACGGACGGAGAGAAGGTTGGATAGTTGCTTGGATGCTTCAGTGGCCTTGATGTCATGAACATGTCGGGTGAAGGATGGGGAAAGTCGAGACGGAATCACTGGGCAAATCGGGAACCCTGTATCTGGACAGACAGGTCGAAGGCTGCTCCTCGGGAGATGTAAAAGCATCGCAGCATAGTAGATTGTAGTGTGTGCCTGAAATAGTATTTCATCCACACTGCCATACGTATCCACGATGTCAACTTTGTTCGGCGGAAGATGGTTTGTCCAGCTGACAAGCGCATTTTCCACGGCTTGCAGATGATCCTTATGCGTCTCAGGCAAGCTGTTCAGTACTAGAACCCGTGCCAGGATGCACACTGCCTCGATACGGTAGCTGAAAGACGAATATCGGGATTGGTATGCTTCCCCGTCATCGTCGGCAAATATGCGCTTATTGAATCCAGCAAGTGTTGGAGGTGAGGGTATATTAGTGTGGTTGGCATATACCGACTCCTCACAAGGCAAGGCCACGTCATAAGGAACACCGCTGCATCGCAAGATAACCCTCTTCTGTAAAGCGGCCATGTAGACATCCACGGTGAAGAGCTCCCACCAAGTACGCCGCAGACTCTCAGCTTCCACGGCTTGCCCATTGGAAGATGTGGTCGTGAAGTCCTGTCGGTACATTCCAAGCTCCAACGCGATGTCGACAGCCTGGGAGAAGGAGGTGTGGGCTTGTGAGCACTCACCACGGGCGCACGAGATTATCGAGAACAGTAAAAGAGCTTGAACCTTGCACGGCGTCCTCTCACTACTGGCATTCAACTGCACGGTAGCCATATCAGGTAGGGAACCATTGGATAGCTGCAGGAAATGACTGCCTATGAACAAGACCACTTCATGTAGATATGCTGGGTACTTGCGCTCTTCGTACAAAGCAGCCGGAACCAGGATGGGATGCGCCGAGTGGAAATTGTCATAGTACAAGCGTACCAGCCGGGCATCTGAGTCCGAAGACTCCTGGCTATCCTCAGCCGGGACAATACCCTGGGCCTGTTGTCCAGAAACAATCGAAGCCGCATCAGGCCCGTTCAGGTTAGTAGTGCGGGGGGACAGAATCAGGTCTGCGGAAGATGGTCCCGAAGCCACCGACTGTTGAAGGTGACGAGGATAGTCGGCAGATGCAGCATGTTGGTGTCGAAGGGCTTCTCGGGTTTTCCGCCGCCCTCCCCGACGAGACGGGAGGTAATTGCAATCCAGGCGATTTTGTAGACAGCGAGAGCAGGAGGGTGTTTTCGCATCGCATTTGAGATGTTGTTTCCGACACTCCGTACAGGCGAGCGGTGATGGTCTAGCCATGTTCATTATTTCCTGCTTCGTTGAAAATTCTCATTCATCTTGATCTCATTTTGAGAGACGAGAAAAGGTCAGCTTGTCTAGAAGCCGAGTATTGTTTCGGGGACGATCCTGGACGGCGATTCTCCGCAGGTCGTGCAGCTCATAAAATCTGGTGACTAAGCACTATACATACACAACCGACATCCGCGCTGTTTATCATCATTACCTTGGGATCCTGTGCTCATCATCTCTATCGTTTTCTGTTTCTCTTGTAGGTGAGTCCGCTGAGCACTGACCTGACCAGCCTCTCCCTTGAATTTCTGCTCATAACCTCTGTCATAAGCCTAGGAGAACAAGTGACAGATAAAGCAAACAAAGAAGCTATGGGATTTCAATTATGGCATTAAAGGACTCAGAAGATCAATTGCAAAGACTCCAAGGTCCCAGTCTAGTTTACAAACAGGTATCAACGCCGGTCATTATTCATTATCAGTGGCCTGCACTGTTCGGTCCTTGTCCAAATACCTCCTACGACGCCTGATAAACATGGCTGCTGCGTCCAGTTTGCCGATCATAGATATTGTACCCAAAGTCAGCTGCATTAGGCGGGGTGTACACTGCAATTTATCAGCCAAATGATTTCCTTTACAGACTTCACGCCAACTCACAGTGTAACGAGACTGCAACCTGATCCTTCTGCGGGTTCATGACCCGATGCAACCCAATCTGGTCGCAGATATAGGCTACTTCGTCGGTCTTGTACGTGGTCTCTTGCTTCACCGTCAAAGGCGCATCATGGCCCCGTGCAGGATCTGGGGTCTCGTATATGATTTCATTCAGCTCGCCTCCGAGGATTTTCATGACACAGTGCGCGTCTGCGTGATCGTGGATCGGCGAGCCCTTCTGCGGATTCCAAACCAAAACCAACTGTGGACATTGTTAGTCACCATGTACAGCTCCGGGTCTAGGTGACAACTAACCAGATTGGCACGTCCGTTAATATCCTCCACCAGATTCCGAGTGTAGTTCTTGCTGACGTCGTTGCGCGTGAATCGTGCCCAATCGGCCGGGTTGGAGGCGTACTTGGACATGAAGGACATTAGGACGGCATGGTCAACGTGTTCTTCGTCGATGCCCCGAGAGCTGCCCAGATAGCCTCTGAGGTCCTGGACAAGCTGTTCAAATGTGTACGTCTCATTATCGCCTAATAATGAAACGTGGTCCTTGCTGAGATTGGATGTGTAGCCGGCAGCAGTACCAGGGAACGACGCAAGCATTGTGGAAGACATGTTTTTCAAGACAGATGGATTAAGTGTCCAACTCGATATGCGATGAAAACTAACAAACCAAAAGGCGTGTAAGGTTCCTCCTTATAAGTTATCAAGCTTGGTAGCTTTGATAACTTATCCGGTACTTTATTTTCAGCTCTGTATGGAGAGAATGTCAATCGGCGACCGGGGAACTTCCATCGGCGATCCAAAATTAACCAATAGGAGGTCCACCATTTACCACCAACCAATGGAAACGCGTCCTCAACCACATAAACAGCTTCACCCCTTGACCTCCCAGACATGATCTACGCCATGTACGACTGCCATGTTCACTCTCCCGGCACCATGACGACGATTGGCAAGTTCTAGCCCGTTGGACCGCGCATGACATGACGTGGATGGACGTCTCCAATCTGCTATCGCATCGAATTAATATAACGTTTCAAAGGAATGCGGACATTCATATCAACAGATCAGAGAATGAGCATAACTCACTCCGAGTGTAGCCGATGTCTACCGGCCTAAAATATCAGGTGTCTGGCCAAAATCCAGATGAAAGTCCTGCCAGTCGTCCCAAATACTCCGAAGCATCCGTTCTTCCCGGGATTCAGAATGCAATGAACAGGGTTCCTTCAACCTCTTTGCTCTTGTTGCATATCCTCATCTTCCTTTGCACCCTCATTCACATGCCTATTCGTCCCTTCATGAGCACGATGCATGGCCTTCTGACTACATGTGGATGCATCCCCGGGGTACCGACGGATAATCATAATCTGTATAGTGCACAACCCAACATAGGGCGGGAAAGCCAACAACCTGTGCATGGGCTGATACAAAGACCGGCCCGAGGATATCCATGCGGGCAGTGCACTGCCCACATTGGGTGAGGATAGAGACTCCGTACCCATATCACATTGTTGCCTAGCATGTATCCACTGTGATCAGAGCGTAGTCCAGTACTCCGTATATGAAGGATGTATGCTGTGATGAGACCGATTTGAAGGTCTCGTCGTCATAGATTAACATGGTTCATTGCATTTTCTGTTTTAGCGAACGGGTAGTTGAATTTGCGTGTCAATGTGGCTTGGGTTTGGTCGATGTGGTAACCTGTTGTTGAGCACTCTGTCTGGATGTAGTGTGCTGCTGTGAGATAGCATCTCCGAACATGAAACTTTGGTATTTTGCCAAGTCGATGATTGCTTTTCAAAGATGGTATGGGGAAGGCTTCGTTTCCTTAATATCATGAATCAGTATCGTCAGATCTCGAGTAGCTTCTCTTTCCATCATTCTGATCCTTTAAAATATCCCAAGCAATTCTTACTCCTCTGGATATCCCCCATCTTTATACCAACCCCTCTTGAAAGCCTTCACTTCTCGGGCGAGAAATGGTGCTATACGCAGTCATCCTTACACCAATCCCCGATCCATACCCCGCAATACATAAGCATCCTCCTCCTCCACACCCCAAACACATCCATCCATCCATCTAGTCCATCCATCTAGTCCATCCATCTAATCCATCCATCTATCCACCACCAAGCAGCATAAACATAACAGCACACCCATCTACCACTTAAACCCCAACTCCAACATCCAAACCCTTGAACTCCTCCCTCCACCGCATAAATCCCACCCTTCTCCCTAACTGGCCAGAAATTGCGGTGAGCATCGCCATAATGGCGTTGATGGTGTGATAAGCCGATCGGCGAACCGATAAGTCCGTCCCCAACCCCAACACCAACTCCCAATCGCCGATTCCCTAACCCCTTGATTCTGAGACCTGGAATGTGAGAAATGATAGGTGATTCTGTTTTCATAAAAATAAATCTAGATTCACATGTACGGAGTACGTAGGTCGGGGATTTCGCACAGATTGGCGGTATGCGGGGTGAGTCTCAGCTCAGTGCCTAGTTGGATCTTGCTATGGTTCGTTCTCCCATAGATAGAAAGGGAGGCTTGTTCTATGGAATAAACAGGCTGGTCACAAGCTCCATGACCGCATACATGCCTGTGAGAGCTGGTACTAATAATTTCTGGTCAGATGTTTTGTTCATCTGACTGAATCTTCTTTTTGGGATTGGAGGTGTGTGCTGTGCTTGAACAAATTGCATTGATCCTTCTCTTCACATAGGGTTTGGGCAATCGCCGACTCGACTCGGTGATTGAGGATTGGGGATTGTATCAGGATGAGGGAATGGTAACTCTGTCACCCCTTAATTTCTGGTGGTAGCCAGTGAAGAGCAAGGCAGTCCAGCTTCTAAGTTTGGTTTTGGGGATACGAATTCCGTACACCCAATGCTTACTAGATACGTGACTTCTAGAGATCTCCGTGTTATCGGACTCCCATTACCGGATATATATTTAGTTCCAGTTGGGTTCAGGCACAGCCGCGGTGGATACTATCCAACGGTGCTGATGGAGGTTCAATGTTCTAGCGCTATTCTCGAAAAGACAGGGGGCCGTCGATGTCAAAAGGCACGGAGAGGAAAACTGCCCGGAATGGCTCCTTACTTGGCTGTGCCACTTCGGGTACCGGCGATCATGGTTGCTTGGGTAGAAAAGTGGACAGGAGGGTCACATGGTTGAAATTCTTGCACAGCTAGTCTAGCTGATTAACCAGGCGAATGATTCAGATATTCGTCTATCATGATGTAACGGGTGAGGAGTACGATCGGGATAGCTGGCGATAAGACTCCATTCCCATGGATCCAGGCGCATGTCAACCGGGCCCGGTATCCGTATCCGTCTCCGCTCCCGTCTCCACATCCCGTTCGCTATGCTTGGCCGGTGAACAGAAGATTAATCCTCCGGTTACAACGGATAGATTCAATTTTCTTCATAAGGGAGATGATATCATTTGATGATCGAAATCAGACTTCTATGTTCAATGATAATATGTACAACACGAGAAGATGCCTCCACCATAACCACGGATTAACATGCAATCGCTAAGCAGATGCGAGGCAACAAAAGACGAAAAGATCGCTGAAATGGTATCATGGCATCAAGTTGTATCAGTACTCTTAATCTACATATTGGGCGGCTGCCTTCGTAGTGTCTCTGGTCTGCTTGAGGAACGGTATCAAGTCGGTTCCGCCCGTTCCTCGGATTCCTCCGGAAATCGTTTCATGGGACTTGTCCATTAGAGTAGATGTTGTTGTCGCCAAATTTGTCTGCGAAGATGTCTGGTTCGGTGGCGGAGTCCTTGCAGCCATTATGATGTATCGGGTCACCATCCGGACATGCTTGTCTCGAAATCCCCCAAGGGCCATGGCCGCCATGTTATATGCGTCACGCAACGCAGATCCAGCTTTGCGGCTCATCGCATACGGACGAACATTGGAGACGCGGGCCATCATCTCCAGGAATCGTCGATGAGGACCTGGCATGTAGTTCCGCATATGCTGGAATCGGAGACAGTCAGTACCATTCAAGCTTGATCTGCACATATTCAGCTCCTTGCACTCACCTGAATATAACCGGACCTGACCTGGGTTTGCGACTTCCCGTTAGACTTCGTCTCCCCAGTGGCTGAATGCTCCACGCCAAGGAATATATCAAAGGCTTGAATCAAGGAGCTTTGTGCATTGCTACCACCACTGTATTGATGCCACTCGCCTTGACCATCCCCAAGGTCATAGAACACTCCGTTTGGCAATCCAGCTGACGCCATGTTCTTACTACCTGCTAGAAATGGGCGTAGCTGGTGATAGAAAACAGATGGGGCACATTTTTCATACATCCGCTCCAAGAGCTCTCCAAGTTCCCCAAGGCCAAAGCTGAGCTGCTCCAGGCGGGCAATAACACGTTGCTCATCGTCAATACTAGCGCCGTGAATACCATCTAGCATTAATTCGATGAGCTGCGCTCCCCTGGCCTCAATAGCGACAGAGAGCACGAAAAACCACTCTTCATCCTTGGTTCCAGTGAATGAAGTGACCACGGATAGGTTGTCTGGGCCCGTAATATCTGTATCCTCCGACGACACTGCAAAATTCCAAAGATTAAGGGCCGCATATGTGGCACACGGTGGCAGCTCCAAATGATTCGAGATCTCAACGAAGGGACGCGCTATACAAGGCGGTAACCTCTGAAGAGACTGTGTCAGCATGGCCAAGATCACAGAGAAGCGAGAACTTGAAGCGGAATACATAAGAGAAGAAAATGAGATATCGAAGGGGGCTCTTACCTCCTTTGGCTTTTCACCTCCCCATACATAGGCGTGTGTGAGATAAGCCAGCACAACGTAAGCTCTTCGCCACTCAAGTTCGTTCTGCAGATTCTCTGTAGAGAGTACAGGAAGATCATCCACGGCTTGTCTGATGGTGCCTGCCTGAATGCAAGCGGGCAGATCCTGGACGATATCCTCCCATGGCAAATAGTAAGGATCCTCCAACTTCCGCACAGGAAGCACCTCTGGAAGAAACCCGTTTTGGAGGGAGACGCCGTATTCGACAAGAGAGATTTCTGGAATGTCGAGCATGATCAGATATACACTTCAATCATGGAAAACCGCCACCCTAAGTGAAAGAAGCAAATTCAAGTGTTTATATCGTAAATCCAAGCTGGGACGGAAGAGAGCCGGATCCTGAGCGGATCGTGCCAGGACCACCTAAGAGGTAACAGAACTGGTCAGTTGATGTCCCAACGATAACCTCTCTTCTGAGCTCCAGTGTATTAGGCTGCCGAGAAGTTCACAATCATCCGGATCTATAGACGGATGTCTCGTTATCTCTCGGTCCATCGACACGGATGGCGAGGCGGAAGCGGAACGGTATCCGGTCCCGGTGGGAGGGACGGATGTGCTTGGTGTCACGCTCCAGTCCAGATATAAATGTGAAGTAGTGACGGTCAGGCTGGCATGAATGTTCTCCCAAAGTACTCTGTATTCAATCACCCCATCGATTTCACCGGCCGCTTTCATCATGTCGAAATCGAACAGCATCAACCTGGCATTCCCTGCTGAGGCAGCGACGAAGGAGTATGCCGCGTCTCTGGATGCTTCCGATACTCTTGCTGCGTTCCGGGACAAGTTCATCGTCCCATCGAAAGCAAACATTGCTTCAAAGAAACTTGCAAAGCCTGGTGTGTTCTAACCTAGTGGCCTTTCTATCCCATCATTGACGTGTAGCAGGTCTTTCATCTGAACCATGCATCTACTTCTGTGGAAATTCACTGGGCATCCAGCCCAAGCCCACCGCAAGGTACCTGGAAGCACAACTGGACACTTGGTCATCAATCGGAGTGGGCGGCCACTTCACCGACCTTGAGGACTCGCCGCTAAAGCAGTGGCAGCTGCTTTCGGAGCAAGCAGCTGAATCAATGAGCAAAATTGTCGGAGCAAAGGCAGAAGAAGTCGCAGCCATGGGGACATTGACAACAAACCTCCACCTGCTTCTGGCTAGCTTCTATAAGCCGACAGAGACAAAGCACAAGATCCTGATGGACTGGAAAGCGTTTCCAAGTGATCACGTATGTTTGAAAGAAGCCCATCTGCTTATTTTACTGATAGGGCTGACGCTGGCATAGTATGCCATCGAGTCTCATATTGCTTGGCATGGCTTGGATCCAAATGAGTCCATGGTGCTCATTGGTCCTGACGAGGGCGAATATGAGATATCCACGCAGAAGATTTTCTCCTACATCGACAAGCATGCCGATGACGCCGCTCTGATCCTTCTTCCCGGTATTCAGTATTATACGGGCCAGCTTTTCGATATTCAGAGGATTACCAAATATGCGCACTCGCGTAACATAGTAGTCGGGTGGGATTTGGCCCATGCCTTTGCTAATGCTGAGCTGAAGTTGCATGATTGGAATGTTGATTTTGCAGCATGGTGCACGTATAAATATGGCAACGCTGGGCCGGGTGCAATGGGAGGTCTCTTTGTGCACGAAAAGCACGGCGAGGTCGACTACAGCGCGGGTGAAGATGCACCCAAGTTCCGGCACCGTTTGACCGGATGGTATGGTGGTGATAGATCGGTGAGATTCAAGATGGATAACAGTAAGTCAATTGATTCGAGAATATGTTTGGGACCAAGCGAGCTGATCTGGTGGACAACTAGAATTCAAACCAATTCCTGGGGCTGGGGGTTTCCAAATTTCGAACCCTTCGGCCATCGATCTTGCATGTCTTTGTGCCGCTCTCTCCGTCTTCGACGAAACATCAATGGAGGACCTTCGTAGGAAGTCGGTGTCGTTGACAGCATACCTTGAGTTTCTGTTGCTTAAAGATACCGAAGAGGAGTCCAGGCCATTCCGCATCATTACACCCGCTCACCCCGACGCTAGAGGCGCACAACTTAGTCTCCTACTCAAGCCTGGTCTGTTGCACAACGTCGCACATAGGTTGCAAGAAGCAGGAATTGTTTGCGACAAACGGGAGCCAGGTGTCGTGCGCGTGGCCCCGGTTCCTTTATATAACACCTTCAGTGAAGTATGGACATTTGTCAAGATCTTCAAGGATGCGCTAGCAGAGTGAATGGGCCTTTCGCTGCATCTTGAGATTAATCTCCTGGTCGGGTTTTGTTAGCGTTGTTTTGATGAGGATTTCTAGAGATAGATACCAACATTTCGGGATTTTATGCTAAGATTTCTCACATTGTACTGGATTAGTCATGACTCTTGCCAGGTGACTGGGTATTTGAATGAGACGTTGTTTCGTGAAAGACTTGATGATCAGGATGCAGAATCAAGGGCTTGGTGTATAACGCACTACGGTAGACCTGCTCATCAAAAATTCCCGAAGCCGTCCCTAGGATCACCGCTTCGCAGAAAGTCCTGGGCTTGAGAGAAGAAGTTCGCGGCGAGTATTGAGAATTCATCGTGTAAGGGCGAACCGACCCCCATAGGGTACTGTGCACCTGTAGCAAGGGGAGTCTGAATGTTAAACTGTGACGTTGGCGACTGTGGTGATATTTGTTGCGAGTGCAGACGAAAAGGTTCGGGTAAGGGAGACGTCTGCGACACTTCAGCACCAAGTGTAGGTGCCTCCGTATAAAGGGAATCCCCAAACATGCGACGGGCAGAATCTGCGTCACTGTTGGAGGAATACTCGAGGATCTCCCAAAAGCGTGAGAGATCTATGAGTAAGTACTTGTTCTGAGCACCGGATTCCAATTCATAGGATGCAGACACTGCGTCTTCCAGCCTCTGCAATCTGTCCGCCTATCTCCGTATTAGCAGGTTGAACCACGAACATAGACACTATCTTACCAAGCGTGCCATATGAGGCCACTTGTGCCCGAGAGTTTGCACAAACCCGACGCATTTGTAGAACCGATTGCGCTTTTCTTCGCGGATTGCACTGTTCTCCGTAAAGCTTAGTTGCAGTTCAATTGTCGCCACCACGGCGGCACTATAACCCATGAAAGGATCCGAGACAATGAAAGACCTCTCCTCGAAGTAGTCGATAAAATGGATTATCCAAGTCGTATGCGATGAAATCAAATCCGAGGTGTGCTGCAAGAATATCTCCGGGATCGTACTCCGAAAGTTTCTCAGGCTGAGGGAGAGCAGAAGCGGGTGATTGAGAAGACACAAAATCGTATGATACAGGAATTGGTTTAGTAACCATGGACCCCAGTAATCTCTCTTATCTTGAAGGTCGTCGAGTGTCCTTTCACTTAAGTTAGCTGGCTTAAATCTGTGACTGTATGGCATCTGCGTTTCGCGTTCCATCAGAGCAGTCAGTATCTTGGAGTATTCTGATTGCGAAGACCACGGGGGCACATTGCTCGGCTTCCCGTGGCGTCTGACGTATCGCGCAGCCTTTGCAAAAATCTCGCTGAGCATGATCACGTAGGCTAGTATACCCTGATCCTGCATGCCTGATGACCGGGATACATTCGTCCCATCGCTTAGTGAGTTTGTCGGCGGCGGCCGGCTGGGGCTCTCTGGAAAGGGGGGAAAGCAGCCGTCGGCGAAATCCAGATTATCGAAATCAACCCCGTGGAGACGCTTCAGAAGACATATACTCCAGAAACAGCGCCGGCGTTCTTCTCGTGCAGTTGGGGATTGCACCAGGTGAGACTCTGAACCAAGGTTGGCACATTGTGCTAAATTCATCGCTAAAGTGCAATGAATGCTTGACCGATGTGCATTTCCATCTAAACAGATATCGAATTAGCATACTGTCAGCACAGCTCACAGAACCGGGTGTATTACTGGCAAAGTCAACCAAACTTAGAAGGCATAAGCTTTGCAGAGTTGAGAGCTCTATAGGTCCTTCTGAGACTCTCTTCATAACCAAGCCTCTGGCTACCTCAGTATAGCCGTTGATAAGCGATGTAAGGTCGTTGGGATTCGAGCTATCATGTTCGGAGAACCGGATACTCAACGCCAACATGGCATATATAACCTCTGGGTCACGTACTTTCAGGCTGCTGAGGAAGCTGTCCTTATGAAAGAGTGGAAGGGGTTGGGAGTGACAGTATATCAGGTACAGCTCCGCCATCGACAGCACCTTCTCCCATGTAGGGAAAGGCGTGGTTGGATTTAGCATCGACAAGGCCGTGACATTATTCAATGAAGTCGTAGAAGTAGCAACTGCCCGTTGCTCTTGTCTAGGATTATTCTGCCTAGTATAAAGTTGTTAGATGCTGGAAATTTTGACGCAGAAGTGGTGGAGTACCCCAAGGCGTCGAGAACTTCTCCCATTCTAGCTTCCAAATTCCCGAGTCTTTCCTCCTGTAGCAAGTTAGCAGTTCTCAATATGATCACGTAGACCTTTTCTTACCAATACCTGAGAGATTCTTTCTGAGCTGGAAGGGGCGGGAGTCGGTTCCCCTGAAACGGCAAGACCAGCTGTCAATGATCTCCTGTGCTCTGCAGCATACGCGCATCTTTGGTTTAAGCGGGAGCATAGGGAGCAGACTGGCTGTTCCCCAGGACATTTTGCCTTCTTGCGCCTGTAATGAGTTTGTGAGTACTGCGTCATATAGCACAAGCTCGGACAGATGTTCCGTCTGACCTGCATGGTTCACAAGCTTGCCGCACTCGCTTAGCCGGCCGCTCAGCAGATGTGGACTCCATGTCACACAATAATCGTGTAGTTTATGTGCTGTTATATGTAGGCTGCGAGGTACTATAACTTCCACATCAGTCATAGCAATGACCCTGTACTGACATGCGCTTGGCTTGGATATGCGCTCCGAAGAAGCGCATTATCCCATTATAAAGCCAGACTATGATTAGTGGGTGACAAACTCACCATATAGCATTATTGAACTCGGTAAGAATAGATACACTTTGGAATATCAATACATTATAAACTGGGATATATCTTGTTCGAACATTATTGGAGCCTCGGAGTTCGACTATCAGGCCAATGTCAAATGGCCTCTCACGGGTGATAACTATTTATTCGCGTGTCGGGGTGAGCCGGCATGCATAGATGACTAATTTATGAATTTCACATTTCCGACACTTATTCGAACGCATCTAACGTAAAGTGACGATAGCTACTACTCGTAGGTCTAACTACTTTACAAAAGGATAGCTACGGCCAATGCTGCATTGTCTGGGTAGTCGGTACATGCATCCAGTGAGTTACCATTTCGATTTTTTCCGGAGCAAGTATTCCCCGGCTTAACCGGGTTCAGCCGGCGTCTTGATCATGCCATCATCAAGATGCCATGGGCGTTCCTTGAGTCTGACATGCATATTGTTACTCATGACATAAACATCTCCTAGATTGGGCCATGAGGTACATTCAACATTGTAAGGTTGTGACCTCCTTATCCGGACTTATGCCTACTCCTTTGGGTATCATCCAGGCCATCATACCATATCGCGATTGGTATCCTGGAACGAAGAGTGCTGAAACGAGGTTCCATATACGGCCGATCATATAGAGGAAAGAGATAACGCTTTGACGCCTTAGGTTATGTTATATACAACGTCGGTAATCTTCCTCTCTAGCCGCCCATCATGGAAATAGAGATACACCGCCAATTGAAGCCAACAAGCTGCGACGAGAAGGTGTCTAATTGGCGAAGAGTTTACTCCTTGCCGAACCAGGTCTTGTGGCCCTATATGAGCATTAGTATCTAGACGATCTGACAATCCACGAGTGCCCCCTAGCGGTGGCAGTTGGAGAAGAGCACTTACGAAGACCATACGGCCCATGGCGTAGGTGGTAGCTAAGAAAGAGATACGTCAGTCATGGTGCATCGTAAATAATAGCCTCGGATTCCTTACCGATGCCCATGCCGTAAACGGAGATCAGGTAGGGCCACATGACGTAGCCACTGCGCTCAGTCTGTAGAGATCCCAGTTGTTAGGTTCCCCCATTGCTCTTCAAGCCGAGGGCTATATTCGTAGATCGACATACCTTCCACCACTGGCGCTTGCCGTCGTGCTGCTGGAAAAGACGCTGGTAGTAGGGGACACGGTTCTCACGGAACACGAACCTGCGAGACGACAAGAATCCGGTTAGCGAGTCCAATTACATGAAAGGCATCGAGTTCGCGTTCCAATTGCAAAAAAGTCCGCTCAATTGAGCAGCAAACAGTGCTGGCCAGCCAGCCGTCATCCGGCAGCGCTCAAGGCGCCATGCGTGAAAACAGGTAGCATATGAGATAATCGACATACCCAGCCATACGAGGAGCGGTGCGGAACATTTTGGCGGTGCGCAAAAGCGACTAGGGAGGTTATCGAGGGAGTAGGAGGGACAATGACAGATGAGAGGCTAGCAGCAGCAATGATCAGTCGATGTCGTGAAGTGTGGACCCGAACGGTCCTTGAAAGTCACGTGCCTACCCTCCCACTTCCGCCTTTAGGAATTGAGACTTAGTAATACACACGTGATTCTGTAAGCTCTTAACCGTAGCGGGCATAGTGCACTTCAGTGGAAGTCCGGCGTTCCCAGAAAAGTAGTCCGCGGTAACAAAAGGTGTGCAGAGCAGAAGAAGGCCGCCATTTGCCCCTGTTCACATGTGCAACCAACATCTCCTTATAGAGCGCGATTGACGAGGATGGTCAGATCTACTACCGCCTTCCTTTCACCCTCCTTCCCTCAAACCTCATGCGCCCGGCTCTTCTTCGACTACTGAAGAGGCCGTCAGCTCTCTCGGTTCTCGACTCCCTAATATCGATTCCCACTGGAGTTGAGCAATTGGACGTTGGAAACAAATTTAAATGCCTTCGCTGCTTGTCAAAGGCTTCCAAGCAGGCAAAAAGCGTGCCTGTTGCAGAATTGCAGCACACGCCTGCCAACGAATCCTCTTTCGCATCGACGAAGCGAACGTTCAGCTTCCGGATCTACGAGATCCATTCGCCACACAAGCAGGCGGCAGCTGAAGGTGGAGGATCTGTTCACCCATATGGAGGTGAAGAAACTGCCCTTGATTCGCGATGTTTGGGCCTCCAGCCCGAGAGATTGGATTACGAGTCGGACATTGGGCATACAGATGACATCGGATCCCGGTTGGTAGACGACCCGGTGCATCGGAACAACTTCGCGCTCTGGGAAGAGCTACTACGTTACCGGCAACGTCATTATGGGGATAAAGGCACGCTGGATATCTGGGAGGGCTTGACGGCCCGAGTTGATGGAGTACAACTCCCCGTGCATGGAGAAGTGGCAGATTTCTTCTGGCAAAGCTTTGTGGACGCTGGTCTAAGGCGTGATGTCATATTGAATGAAGTCGCTGATTATGCGCTGGCGCTTTGGGACACAACAGGGAAACGCTGGGATAAGTTATATGAGAGTGTCATTGGTGGTTTAATTGACCGGGGCATGGCACAGCAGGCTGTTGAATGGCACAAAAAGCTCCAGCATCCGCATTTGACGCGCCCCAATGACATTCTACAAGTCTTTCGACCAAACCTCACCATTCAACCGCAAAGCAGAGTCGCTAGTCTGATGAAATCTGGACGTCGGGCTACGTCACCGAGCTTATGGGCATTCCGGAGCATCTGTCGCATGACTCGGGGCCATCAGATCTATGTTCCCATTATGTCTACGCTATTACGCAGTGGTCATTTCGATGATATGCTTTCAATGCATAGGTTCCTTACGCAACGGAATGACCATCCGCACTCATTCGACGACTTTGGGCCATTACTAGAGAGCACGAAGGAATGCGGACCATGGGAGATCTACCAGGAGCTGCATAGCTACGCTAGCCAGAGATTCCCTGACAAACCACATGAACCCGAGAAAATCCATTCCCATGCCCAGACAGAAACTTCAGAAGAAGCGTCTCATGATGAGAGGCCCATCAAGGATGGATTTGGCGCACGAATTTTTGCCACAGAGGCTCTTAATTTCGAGACAATACTTTCTGGCCTAACGATGTTCAACGTGCCGGCTCTTGGACCACAATCCCTACGGGAAATGGCACTTCGAACCCATGGGAGTCAAGATTTGCTGGACAAGCTCCGGAAGCTGGACCGAGCAGGCATCTCCCTAGGAAACTCTGTTTTTACGCGTCTGCTTCGCAAGCTCGCCTCAGAGAACCGGGACATACTTTTGTCCGATCTAATTCGCACTGACCAGCATCCTGATGTGCTTGAGGATACACGTATACAGGAAAACCTACTTGCAGCTCACTACATGAGCCAGGACTGGCGTGCCTATAATATGACCTTGGCGATCTTAAATGAAATAGCCGAAGAAGGCCCAGACATGTCCAACATCCATTTCAGGAAACATATTGAGGTTGGCGAGTGGGCATTGGCTTCCAAACTGGTTGATGAAATGACCCTGCGCAGGAAAAGGCTGACCGAAAAGAGCATCGACTTGATGGTTAACAAAATCCTGACTCACCGCCATCGCAGTCTTGGTCCACCCAAGGGACCAACTCATCCAGGAGTCGTGGAGATAACTTCCCTCTTCCGCATATTACGACGTGTTGTTCCCTTGGGTGCGTCCGTAGCCCCTGGCACCTGGGTCGAGATGATCAAGCAATTCGGCATGATGAACTGTTGGGATGAGCTTCGAACCTGTTGTCTCTGGCTTGCACGCCATTATTCGCTCAACTCAAAAACAAACAACGCTTCTCTGGAGATCATCTCTCCGTCAACATCATTGCAATCCGTCCACAGCACCCCAGTCCACCGGCATGGTAATTCCATGCTCGCGACCGTATTCAACAAGCAGATGCAAGGTGCTCTCGTCTATTGGGGGTTCCGGATGCGCGTTTCCACCAAGCGAGACGATTATAACCCCTTTGGTGTGGATGGAGAAAGGCTTGTTCCTTGGGTACGTGGTCTTGTTCTTCTTCGCGACTTAGAGCAGAACGGTGTGCGTCTCTGGGTGAGACGGGTCAGCCGAGCCTGCCGACACCGGCTTGCTGTTCTTTTTGGACGACCCCGACGCTCTAGTCGTCACATGAATCGGATGTTGCGACGGGAGAATCCATACAGTGTTGAGCGAGTCGTAGCGGACATCAACCGTGCTTGGGGACAACCACCCCTGTTCCAGGGTCGGGAATCTAGGGATATTTATCGGCTGGTGAATCCGCCCAGCTCGAAGATGTCTCAGCGCAGGACACGCCGAACCCTCTTGAGGGAAAAGAACCTACGAGGTGCTGCCTTTGTGAGTACCCGGTGATCATGTACCATATACCACCCTAGAATAGAACAACAGACTGTAATGATATACCACCTATCTCGATGAATGGGGTGCCCGGATACCTGAAACTCAGGCCGCCCGCCAAGGGCTTAGGTGAGCCGTGAAGGGACCGGGGCAACGCGGCCGCAACAAACAGCTCAAACACGGGTGGGCTTCGCCACAGGCATGGCGTGTCCCCGTCAGCGAAAAGCGAGACAGGAGAGGCCATGTCGACCCTTGTTCCTAAGAATAGGTGGGCTGGCAACGCGGCCAGACTCCGTCACCCTGAGCCTTGTCTGGACTGGCCCACTGAGGTCTAACTTTCTGATCGCTGATGACCCGTAAAGGGTGATCCAAGCCAATGGCGCGGTTGTTGCCGTGGTTCAGACGGCCATGTAGGGTGTCTTGGTAGTCCACACTTTTGATTTCTCTTATTGCTTTACGAGTGGGGTTTATTGATTATTTCTCTGCTGCATCATCCTATAATCCGAATGAAGAGTGCTTACAGTCTGGTCATCTCTCTCTTCCTCCCTTATCCCCTTCTCTCTGCATCAATAATCCATACTTGACACAGAGCTTGGGTCCAAGAAAACTGATAGCTCCGGTCTTCTTGATATCGCGTTTGACTGCGTCGCTTGTTGATCGGGCATTGCAACTATTTCCCCTGCATGTGTCTCCCGTTACTATATAACCTCTAAAAGTCTCCCCTACAGAACGCGCAATCAGCATGCTAGGACTAGGCGTGCTAGCACTTCTCCCCTTCGCAGCGGCGAAAGCTCTACGGCCGCGTACGACAGCCTGCAACAACTCCCCGGACCTATGCTCTAAATCGTACGGAGAGATTACTCACTTAGGCGCACATGACAGCCCTTTTGTGCGAGATGCATCGACAGATTACTCTACCTTTGGAGACCAGTGAGTCGGACTAGGACGCCAAGAATATTGCGGTTGTTGACAGCATCCCAGATACTACAATACCACCCTCCAGCTTGACGCTGGTGTCCGTCTTGTCACGGCTCAAGTCCATAAGTCAAATTCAGAGTGGCGCCTGTGCCACTCTAGTTGCGAGTATTTGGATGCAGGACTACTGAGCACATGGCTCTCGGATATCAAAACGTGGTTGGACTCCAATCCCAATGATGGTACGTCGTTAGGCTGCATTTACTCGCCGAACAAGTGGCTAATACATCCCGCATAACATTAGTTGTGACTATCCTGCTGGTCAATTCAGACGATGCAACAGCTTCCGACCTTCATGCGGAATTCCAAACCGCTAATATCGGCAATTACACCTATACTCCTACCTCGCAAACCTCGGCGCCCAGCTCGTGGCCAACATTGCAAGAATTGATCGATGACGGTACTCGGTTGATGACATTTGTGGCCTCTTTGGACGCTTCCAACAACACGGTAGCTCCGTATCTGATGGATGAATTCACCTTTATCTGGGAGAACCCTTACGATGTGCTCTCCTCTTCCAACTTTTCCTGCGAGCCCGACCGCCCCTCAAGCGTCAAGAACGAACTCTCCACTGCATTGTCTTCCAATCGCCTACCGTTTATGAACCACTTCCTTTACCAGGAGACCTTGGATATCGAATACCCCAATGTCAGCTATATCTCCACGACCAATGCGCCCTCGGGAGGAACAGGAAACCTTGGCGACACGGCGACCAAATGCAAAAAGGAGTACAACGGCCGCCAGCCAACCTTCATCCTTGTCGACTTCTTTGACAAGGGCCCTGCCATCGATACCGTTGATAGCTTGAACAATGTCACCAACGCCACCGGGCGGAAGAATCTGACGTCCATCAGCGTAACGAGCTCGGCCTCCACTTACTCCAATGTCTTTAAGGGCCTGGTCGAAGTTGTGCAGAAAGCCAAAGATGGGGCAAGCCCTAGTATGGGTGAGTGGATCTGGGCTGGCGGGGATTGGGGAAGTCTGCTAGGTGGCGGGATCGCTATCTAAGCTGAACACTACGGCCTTCTTCATCCCCTTTTCTCTCCCTTTTGCGGTTACTAGTATATTAAAGTGTTTTGTCATTTGCATTCGTTTCGCATTTGCGCAGTTGCAAGATCAGCGCTGGATTTGAAGTTTGGATGAGCCTCACGACATTCCTTGGCTATACATCGGGTATAAGGGCGCGGCGTTCGGATGATTCCCCCAACTTGGATAGTGTACCTACTTGATATGACCATTTTACCATGTCCATAAGCGATCGCATGTGCAAGTACAACTGCTGGATCATCTTCAAGCAATGAGAGTATATGACATTGACTCATCCCCGCTCAGTCATTCTTCAACAACTCACGCACTTTGTTCACCTTGTCCTCAAAGGACTGTTCCTTGTCGGTTCTGTGGCACCACGAGTTTCATTTAGCCCGTGTAACCGCTACAAATACAATCGAGAGAGACTACTGTCACATACCTTGACCCAACACGAATATCGGACTGAATTCGAATAATCCCCTGCTGGTGTAAGATCGTATGCGCCTGACCAATCACTTGATGAACTCTATCCCAAGGACCCTCTATCATCCGGCGAAGCGAAAAGAGACAAGGAGACCCCGTCAGCCACGGCTATATACCCGTCCAAAAAGATAGCCCAGTCACATACCCAGGGTAGTCCCGGCCGAATGCATGACGTATTTCAGGCCGGATTTCTCAATAAGGCGCTGGACATCGGCTATTTGGGCGGACACGGACGGGGACGAGGTGCCGATCTTGTATCCAGTCAGTCATTAGCGTAGTCAGTGGTCTCACACATGAGGGATCTGGGTGGTTCGTGGGGTGACCATGTGGGATGATGAGAGGCAGGACGGTGAACGCGTCACTCAGTTCGGTCAAAGCAGACCGGGTAGTGCAGAGATAGAGCTGGGTAGGAGATGCGGAGATAGTCAGGCAGCATGCAAAGCACTGCAAGGCAGGCAGCGACAGCAGGCAGAGTTGGGAATAGGGACTCACCGGGATCAAGCAGAAATCGGCGGTGCAGTGCGGGGGAGTCGGGATGGAAGATGCCTCGGCCATGGTGAACAGAGAGGGAGGGAGTGGTAATTGGCAAACTTGCAAACCGGATGCGAATCGGAATTGTGGACTTCTGATTCCCTTACTGGAGAATTACTGAACAGTTGAAGGGGAGCGAGCAGTTCAGCCAGCCAGCCAGCGAGGCCAATCTCGCCAGCGCGGGGCCCAAACGGGGAGCGGCGGAAGGGCAGTCACCACTCCGTACAAGTCGCGACTTCAATCATCCAAGCACCGATTGCCTTTCCAGTCTATCCGCATTGCAATCATGAGAGGTGCATTTGCCTCGTCGTGGTCGCAATGCCCACTGGCTTGCTTCTCTATGGTGGATTTCAATCCCACCCTCTCTCTGAGGCACCGAGCATGCCATGCACTCCACCATCCAGGATCTGTACGTTTCCCGCGGACAACTCATCAGTAACTGGGACGCAAGTATCGCGCGCGCTCTGGCTTGCGGTGGATCTACATCGATGACGATCGGATTGTGAGGTCTCACATCTGCACCAAGTTGACCATGGTCATAGCAACGGGGATTAGTGCTCCTTCGACCTTTTGCTTTTTTTAATTGCTTCCCCGGATTTTGTGCCCCGTCGACATCATCATGGTCGACTTACTAAATTTGGGTCGACGGCCGAGGAAAGACTACTGACTAGATGAGAGATACACAGATTCCGGACTGTCCCTACGGTGGGATGATGGATCTGGATCTAACGATCCTGGGGCAGATGCTAGTTCACCTAGCGAATCGTCTATCCGGTTCTCCTTGGTGACCCTCTTTTTTTTCCCCTTGCCTTTTTTCTTATTCGGCTGCTGCCCCTCTTCTATAAAGAAAAAAAATGACAACAAATGGACCGACCAAGTGGACAAAGCCAACAATGCCGGGCTGGCAAGCATGCAAAGAGTAAGACGGGAAGGCAGGAGGGAAAAGGAGGAAAAAGAGTCTGCAATGGAGCTGGACCCTTGCTTGGGTCGTCTGTCATCTGCGATTCTTCGGTCCGCCCCTCTGGAACCAAGTTAATCAAGTTAACCAACCTAGATTTATCAACCCTCCTGCCTCGTGGCTAATCTTCTATCCTCACTGGCTTCTCTGCCTGGCTCGATTGTCGCTCATCTGCGATCGAGCGCTCTTCCCGTTCTTCAGTGGCGGTTCGTTCTTCGTCGCATCCCATCGGCCGGGAGTGACGCAGCCCTGCTGGTCCGACCGTTTTTATCTTCCACTGCGCGTCGTTAGTTCGTCCCGATAGTTCACTAGCGACTGCGACAGTATCGCTCGCATGATTTGGCAGATTCGGTGACGTTCGACAAATCTATTCTTCGCGCTTCACCTCCCACCCAGTGCTTGCTCGGCTGGCCGTTTCTGACCGCCTGTTCTCGTCGCGGTGCAGCATCCAAGGCCCGGCTCTGCCGACGTCTGAGTGCCCGACGCCCTGCGTTTCAGCGCTCACCTGGACCTTTCAAGGCCTTCAGTCAGCCTTTCTTACTTTCGCCATCTACGGAGTCCTTCTTCTGATTCCAGTATTGGCTGGCTGCTCGTGTCGCATGAAGCGTCAGATGCGCCGGTTGACAACGATATCCAGGCATTTCGTGATAAATTTGGCCACCGTGATATGATTGGCATGGAAATCGCCTAAGACTCGCACGGCCAAGCGCCACGGGGCTGTAATCCCTGCACAAGGCTCACCTCCCAGATCTAGCGACACCTCCACTAGACGCAATCGGGTTGGGGGATTTTCCTCCAGAATCCCTGGGCCCATCACTTGCCGTGTGGGTGAATGAATAGGCCTTATTTCCAAGAAACGATCACCTGAGTACCGTGAAGCGCCTGTCTCATTTGTTCAGGCAGCTTATTCTCCATCTGCCACACGCCAATTGGCCAACTGTAACGAGGCTCCGTACCGGCAAGAAGCGTGAACGTTGGAGGGAATCGAAGAGAAAGGATTCGTCGACTGGCGGGCCTAGTATTTTAAAACAGCTACTCCCAGTTCTCCACGTTCAGGCTGGTGCTGTGCTGGACACTGATCCATTCCCCTGGAAGGCCCAGTGTCCATATTAAGTGATTTGCATCTACGTACATGAAAACCTGCATTTTACTTTTTCGACTGTGACTGGGGTCTGACTTGCTGCGCCTTCGGACTTTTTCCCTGCGGGACTAAACCCACGTGACCCTATACATCACGTTGCAGCGAATACCACCGAGCTGGGTCGTTTGCTACTATATTAACCGGGGTTGTAGGCACTTTTGGATGCGTCTGGCTGTGGAGTTTGTCATGGTTCTTCCCTCGCCAGATAATCATCATCGCTCGTTCTTAATCTACCCGACAAATGACAAAGCCCAATTTCCTAGAGCTCCCATTAGGAGCCCGGCTCGTCTATCTCGCCGAAGGCGGTGCCAATGTTATCTACCGAATTCTTTCTCCGGCAGAAATGGACGTTGGTCCGACAAATGACCTTCCGATAGCTGTTTCCAGCTCACCATCCAATGCATTGGATACTTTCCATGTCCCAGCCAAATTCAAGGGCAAGTTGCTCCGGCTTCGAAAAGACACGAGCGCAGGGATCTCCTATCAAGAAATTGCGCGCAATTTTGATCGATGTATACGTCCTCTTTTCAAACCAGAAGAGCTGGTTGACCAGGAGCTGGTGTATCTCCCAAAAGGGCTTGTACATCTCTGCAACGAACAGCTGCAGGCAGCGGAGCGGAACGGCCAGCGTCCAAAACGACGCCAAGGAGTGTACCTCTCCACGATCGAGCCATTCGGGCTCCTCATAACAGACATGACCACATTTAGCTGTCCAGGGACAACACTCTCCGAGTTGAAACCTAAATGGCTTCTCCAATCTCCATCCGCACCACCTAACTCTCGGAGATGCCGAACATGCGCTCTCCGCGACAAGAAAAACCAAAAAGCGCGCAAAAAAGGGGTGGCGGGAGAGGAATCCTTCTGCCCGCTGGACTTGGTATCTGACAGATTTGACAACGTGCTTCGTGCGGCCCAATTTGTGAAGGGGTGCAAAGATCGGGCGCGGCTGGCAAAGGTACTCTATCGCAATGGTACGCTGCAGAGGCTCTTGACACATCAGAAAACCTTCCAAGATGTGGGGCTCCATGGCCCACCACCGACCTCTCGAGAGAAGTCGCTTGCGATGACTCTGCGAGACTGTACCATGTTCATCAGGGTAAGTTTTCCGCTATTCGCCCGCGCCACGTGTCGCTAACCTCATCATAGATGCCACGCGACGATTCCGGACGTGTGGAGATCCGACTGGGGGATTTGGATCTCAAGACAGGGGCGGGAGGGAAAGCCCAGTATTGGCTGGACCTGGAGCAGCAGTTGATCATGGAAGACTGGTACGCAGGGGCCAAGCGCAATGTATCCGAGAGCGAGTGCGCTCAGCAGAGTCCACGGGCACATTCACAATCGTCCATATAAGCCTCACCTCATCTACATCCTGCAGCTGCAATAGCAGTAACAACGAACCGGGGATTACAGCACCCTGTTCAGTTCACCCGGGGCCTGTTTTGGTCGCCGTAATGATAGACGGCCCCTTTTATTTTTTTGATTACCTTCAAGACCTTAATACTGGTTTGTCTATATTTCGTCTTTATTTCTTCATCGCCGCATATGTATTGGGTGGAAACGTCTGGCAACGAGTTTGATGCATTTCGGTTCCGGTCCTGGCTGGGTTGTCTGTTCGCTATTTGCTGTACACTAGGAATCGCCTTTCACTATAGCATCATTGATTAATGTATACACTTACGACATACTCTTTCCCAGCTTGCCTCTCCTACACAGTAGGCATCTATCTACCAAGTATCAACCCCTACCCCCATGCTATCACACTTATCTATTCCCCACACCCCATGACGTCATCCCTAGTCCTTTAAACCCGAACACCCGAACAGGTGAATTCACCGACCGCAACCCCAGCCAGCTAATAGTAGCTAGATAAACCATGTCATAAAGCCTGGTCTGGCCAGATCACCCACAATTGACATCAGCTCGATCATTCTCGGAGGAAGTCTTAGCCACTAGGTTTAGCTCTTTGTTTTTTTTTTTTTCCCTTGGATACGAACAGCTGTCCTGGCGAAAGGATCGGGAATTTCATTAATAAGCTTTTGTTCCGTAATTCCGCGCCCCTGCTATATTATTAAGGCTGAGATGGATGGGGGGAAGGACGGTGTAATGCATTGATGATGATCAGATAATGAGGGTATATTTTCTTGGGTCTTTAGGCTTTATCTTAGCGGGTCTTGCGCTTTTATTCTACTCCGAGGTCGTGTCTATCTGTTTTCCGACTACGATTACTACTAATACTACAATGGCTGCTGCTGTCCGTCGATCGGTGTCCTCTTTCCTCAACTTGCGCATGACGCTACGTCCGCTTTCAACTGCTTTTGTTGGAGCCTCGAGACCGTTTTCTTCGACTGTGGGTGTCAACATGCCGTCTAAGATGCCTAGTTCGGGTGCGTTGGTTGATTTGGCCAAGGGTCGGCATTCGATTTATAAGTTGGGCAAGGAGAGTCCCGTGTCGGATGAGAAGATCGAGGAGCTGGTTAATCAGGCGATTCTGAATGTTCCGAGCGCGTTCAACACTCAGTCGACGAGGTTGGTTGTGCTTTTGCACAAGGAGCATGAGCGCCTTTGGGATATTGTGATGGAGTGTTTTCAGGGGTTGGTTAAGAACGGCACGCTGTCGGAGGAGATGTGGAAGGGACAGACGCAGCCTAAGCTGATGGGGATGAAGAATGGGCTTGGAACGGTGAGTGATTCTTTGCGTGGCATTGTCGCTTGGTTCTTGGGTGGATTTGCTAATTGAAGCGGAATTATTAGATCCTCTTCTACGAAGATCCGGCGCATATCAAGCCTTACTCGGAGAAATTCCCGACTTACAAGGATCAGTTTGGGCCTTGGTCTGAGCATACCAATGCCATGCATCAGTATTTCCGTATGTGTTGTCCGTTGGTTTCCCTTGGATTGTGGTACTGACGAGGAGAACAGTCTGGATCGGTCTCGAGTCCCTTGGCTTCGGTGCCAACCTGCAGCATTATAATCCGCTTATTGATTCCGCTGTGGCCAAGCAGTGGGACGTTCCGACTGAGTGGAGACTCATCTCTCAGCTGGTGTTTGGTAGCCCCGAGGCAGAGGGGCAGGAGAAGCCGAAGAAGCCGGTGGAGGAGCGTGTGAAGATCTATGGAAAGTTGTGAATGGTGTCGATAGACATCGTCTTGGGTCCGTTGTACTAGATCGTGAGTTTGTGAGTTAGCGCAGCATCATTCTAGTTTCCTTGTGTTATACCATAGCAGAGCATACTCCGTATTGTGATAGATGCTGTAAAATGGGACCAGGGGAAGTTGTGTCTGCGTCGAAGCTATCGTCTCAGGCGCATTCGGACGGCCCAGTTGGGGAGCCATCGTTGATAGACTGGTAGAGTCAGTAGAGGATATATTTAGCTTCATAAGTCATGGCTTACTTCCTTCTCGAAATGAGTCTCATAGCAGATTGTCGTGTGTGTCGAGAATAAGATTGAGAAAGGGACGGGATTGGGTTGGTCTGACAGGGCGCATGACGTCGGTTGTTGGATTGCCCTCTCGACCTTAGCCTTTATCTAGATTTCAATATTGTCCTCAACTGATCTTCTCAATCCATGATAATAAAATTCCGACGTCGCTCAAATCTAGAAGCACAATTGAGAATCGAACTATAGAACATCAAAATATACAGTCAGGCAGCAGAAAACCACCCCATCATCATGCCAACACTCCTTCCCATCTCAGCTGCCCTGGAGGCCTTTCCTCCTGCAAGCATCGCATTTACTTCCTTCCAAATAGTACTGCTCGCCGGTCGAGTCATGAACATTGAATCACTTAAGATGCCTCAATCTCTCGATTGACCATCTCCATTCCTCTCTTCAACCCCATCCCCTCAATCCCTATCATTATCGCCAACAACCCTATTCTTATATCCCATATAAGACCCACCACCATGCTCCTAACCACTCTCCAATTCCTCCTCCCCACAATTCTCACCCTCCTCCAACCCTCCCACGGCCAGCCAGTCAACCAAACAGGCCAGACCCAGTCCGTCCCCTACGCCACGATCCTCACTCACTGCACCGCCCCCGGGACCATCGCCCTCACCTTCGACGATGGACCCTACACCTACACCCCCGCGCTCCTGGACCTTCTCAGCGAATACGGCGCCCGATCCACCTTCTTCGTGAACGGCTACCGACTGACCGAATACACCGACGTCCTGCAGCGCACCTTCAAAGAAGGCCACCAAGTCGCGTCCCACACGTAACTCCCCCCTCCCCATTCCCCCATCCCAATCTCTACTCCCCAACCAACCAATCCCACAGATACAGCCACAAGCACCTCCTCTCCCTCGACTACGCCTCGATCGTCAACGAAATGAGCTCTCTAGAGACCCTATTCCGAAACGTCCTCGGGGTGGTACCAACCTACATGCGACCCCCGTACCTGGAAGTCGACCAGAGGGTATTGGGCGTGATGGCGGAACTCGGATATCATGTTATCAGTGCGAGTGTGGATACCAAGGACTATGAGAATAATGATCCGTGGTTGATTGATAAGAGTGTGAGGAAGTTTGTGGATGGGGTGAATGCAGGTGGGTCGATTGTGTTAGCGCATGATACCCATGCTCAGACGGTGTTTACCTTGGCGAGGGCGATGTTGGAGGAGGTCACAAAGAGGGGACTAAAGGGTGAGTTTCTTGATCTTTGGGGGGTTCCGGTGGTGGTGATTGACGATTCATGCTAACTGATGGGTTTAGCTACGACGGTGGCCGATTGCTTGGGGGATCCGGTAGAGTCTTGGTATCGTTAGGGATGTTTAGGGTATAGAATGACTCGTGCTTAGTTTATATGTGAGTTAAAGTGGTCGTTGAGTGGTTGCTCCTCTTCGTAGGTATAGTAGCTGAGTTGACTCAGATATACTCCGTACGGAGTACTAGCCAGTGGAATATGCAATTAAATATATAATTATAAGCAACCCAAACACCCGCCAGTCTAACCAATGCAGAGCCTGAATCAATCCCCAACACCTCGCAATGCAATACAGCAAAACCAACCCCAATTTCATATGCATCAAAAGAAATCCTCCTCTCCCAACCACTGCGTATCAATGGCATACGCCACCAAATCCGCCGCACAGCACATATCCTCATGTCCATTCTCCAAATCCAGCAGTTCCAAAACAGTATGCAATCGATCTTCCAACGTCCTCTTCAACTGCGCGATATATTCCTGAGTCGCGGCCGTGACTCGCGGCTTGTTGTATTCTTGCTTCTTTCCCAATGCAAGCTTCGTAATGGTCTTGTTAGGGGAGCATGGTGCAAGAGGTTGTCTGGGGGTTGACGGTGTTGAGGTTGTTGGCTCGCTCTTCCTGTTCTTAAGGAGGGATTTGAGAAGAAAGATGAGCCAGACGAGGTTGGTTCGTGGGGCGTATTCGGTCCAGATGCCGGGGATGTCGGGGCATTTTTCGGTTTGAAGGGGGTCGCCGTGGTAGAGTTGGGCGCGCATGCTGGTTTGGGTTGTGGTGTTAGTTGGGCTGGGCTGGGTACTTGGTGGAGAGGGAGGGGAGGGAATAGGGGTACGTACTGTCTGTAGGTGTTTCGTAGCATGATTTCGTCTTCATCTCGACCGATGGCGTCGAAGATTTGTTTCTTGTCGAGGTCGGAAGAGGCGACTTCGACGAGCTCGGTTTCTTCGCCGATCCGTAGCTCAGCGCGGGAAAGGGAGTAGTCGATGATGGTGGTTTCTAACGTGCTGAGCCCGAAACCGCTGGTAAATGACTGACTTATGATTTCGTGGTCGGTGGGCGGATCCATGTGGCCTTCGGGGCGGGTACTTCGTATGCAGACGTTACCGAGGTGGAGATCTCGGTGCTGGTTTATGTTAGTGACCTGATGTCCTTCTAATGTTGCTGGGATGGGCTCGTACCTCGAACAATGCATACTCTTCGGCTCGCGCAAGTGCCATCGCGACTCCCCAGAAGATGTCATAGATCTGAAAGATTGATGACCAGGCGAACTTTTCCAGCTCGCAGCCAGCGTCGTCCATTTCGATGATCGCCCAGAGTTGCGAGTCAGGGTAAGCTCGTTTGCTGGACGGGTTCGGGTTCAAACAGTCGTCCTTGGTCCTTTTGTAGTGATCCCATGCCTTTTGGAAGGATTCGGGGAACCGTCCCTGAACGACGTGAATCTCCCGGAAGCGAGCAAACCCAGGAATTGGGTCCAGGTACTTGAGCATTTTGACCTCCGACACGATTTCTTCGATACTCGTAAACTTCTTCGAACCAGGGCCGCTCTGAGCGCGCAGAGGGACCACCTTGAACACGCCATCGCCGTAGGCCTTCAAACGTGCGAGCTTGGATTTGGACATTTCCTTCTTGCACAACTCTTCCCGTAGACGTAGTTTGTAGACTTCTCCGTAGGAACCCTCTGCGATTTTCACCACCTCGAGCAAGTTACCAGCACGGGCGGCCCATGACCCAAACTTTTGGACGCTCTGTGCGGCAACCGGCGATAGCGCTTCATTTAGAATCGACTGAACGTAGGAATTTGCTTTCTCATCCGTCACACATCCGGACGATACTCGGGGCGCTGGCTTATCCTTCCTTGTTGATCGTCGACCGCCCTCGGTGGTGCCTTCGGGAGCCTGTTTCCGTCTTCGGGGTCTGTCGATAGCTACCTTCGGGCTTATTCTCACTTCGACCATTGTCTCGTACTTTGTCTCTTCCTTGGGGTCGGACCCTGAAGAAGACTCCTCGGCCGGGATCTGCTCGTCTTGGGGTTCACGATCCGGGGTATGTGTCGCTTCCGGCGCAGGTTCTTCATGCTTCAATTCGTCTGTTTGAATGACCTTTATTTCACTTCGCTCTTCCTCTCCAACTCTCGTTTCTTGGTGTTCGGGGACATCTGGTTCCTGAGCCGCATATTCCTCCTCTATCGTAACCACGGCCAACTTCTCCCGTAGACCATCCACAGCCTCTTGAACCACCTTTCTGTCTTCCTTTTCCAGGGACTTGGCCGGGCTTCGCTGGTCGAAAACTGCTCGGGGAGCATCCGCTTTTCGCTTTCCGTAGACTTTTCTCTGTGCGGCCGTGCGTGTTCTGGTTGTCGGTCTCGAATTCCATCTTCCAGGGGTTGTGTTGCCGGTCGCAACGACAGGCGAGGATGGAGATTGCATGATGGCGGCAAGTCGGGAGAGTCGAGTCTTTCAAATCGAATTGGTTCCAGAGGCTCTATGAGCCTAGCGCCCGCGTATACTGAAGAATGTGGTCAAGATTGGCAAGTACAGAAGCTCCGGCGAGATTCCGCGGAGGCCACTGATGCTTACTGGCCTATTGATGCCTTTCCTGATGCGGCATAGTGGCTTGGTTGCTGGGGTAAGCTCTGCTTATGTAAGTACATCGTCAGTGACATTTCGATGACCCCCGAGAAAGGGGCTTTGATTATGGAATGCTTGTTAGACGATTGATGATGGATCGTTAAATGATAATGACTATCGGATTTCATTGGTATCCGGAAGAGCTGGCTGATATTCTTTTGGCAGGACTAGATGTGTCATGGCGCTTCTCTACTCCGGACTCGGATGATGTATTTTGGTAGCTCGAGTTGAGGCAGGTTTTTCATGGTACCAAGCTCTTGGTCGGCGTCATAAAACCTTAAGAGATCTACGATGAGCTGCAGCCTTTGGTTAACTAACTGGAGGTTTGCTGTAGACTTTTGTGTATTTTGTACCATGTGATCGAGGGGCTATAGACTACACAGCACGGAGTAGGTACTCCGTACTCCGTAGAGGGGCTGGAATGGCCGGGTTGAAAGCGCCTCGGCAAGCTCGTGTGTCGGAGGCTTTCCGTGGTTTGCTCTGCAAAAGACTTCGGGGGGCATTCACCTGCCGCATTGGGACATTGAGCGCAATGACTCTCTCCCAGACTAGTCCAAGACTGCTGCACCCCTGATGGAAGGTGGGTGTTAGTATTATGTATTGACATGCATACTCCTAGTTTCCAGTCCCGTTCATAACCTAGGAGAAACATCGATCGACTCCGGACCTGAGTACCCCGTACTCCGTAAATAGATTATGGAGTTTCGAGGGACGGGTGGACCGGATAGGATTCCACTGCTTCTGGCCCGTCAGCCCAGCACGGGCCTGACAGCAAGATTGCGAGGATCCAGTCACGACGGGAGGAATGATACGGAGTGCTGGAGGGATGGAAAGGAGATGGATGATGCACCACGACGGGTAGGCGGATGAATGACATGGACCCATCGGCCTGGGAAGCATGACGATCGTGCCCTCATGACGCGCGACGACAGGCCCCTAGCCGGAGGAGATCGGAAGTTGGAGAATTGAGGGAGCCAGAGGAAGCTGTGCTGCTATTGTAATTTTGCCGGTGCAGCGGCTTACTAGTGCATACCGGCATTGTGCGGTGACGTTATGCCTTCCTCTTTGGAACTTCTTTTCATTGCCAGCCTCACAAGGAATCCCACGGCCTGACCCTCATCAGGCATGCATTTCCAGCACCCTCGAGGTCGATAGCGTAGGATTCGAGACCCGAGTAAATCCATAGATCATTTGGACCGATCTCTCCTTTACAGAAGAAACATCCGATCAAAATGACAGGAAAAGAACCAACCCAACGTTGCCGGGGGCTGTCGCGTAGATCACGCGAGCGCAACACCACTAACCCGTAACCACTAACTGGCCGGGCCCTCGGGATTCCTCGCCTTCTTTTTTCTTTCCATCCGCCGCCCTTTTCATCTTTTCCCTTCATTCCGGCTTATCGGCGCATCAACCCTTCCTCGGCCACCCCTCTCTTCTACACCTCCACCACCTCCTCACAGCCGTTTCCCTTCGACCTATTTCCCTTATTTTCCGCCGCCGCCGTCGTCGTTATCGACTTTCCTCCATTTTCCTCCATGTCGCCGCCTCCGTTGAGATAAACCACCCATCATCTGAATGACCTGCGATGGCGTTCAACTTCAACTGGTCGCCGTTAATGGCGGACGCGAGTTTTTACACTCGCGCCCAGGAGCTGTTAACCGCCGCTCTCAATAAATCGCCAAAACCGCCCATCATTGTGGACGACATCATTGTCACCGAACTCAATCTCGGCTCCATCCCGCCCGAGCTGGAGATCTTGGAAATCGGAGACCTGGCCGAGGATCGCTTTCGAGGCATCTTTAAGATGTCCTATACTGGCGACGCCTTTTTGACCCTGAAGACCCGGGTCCAAGCCAATCCGCTCAATACCTATCTCCTCACCAGACCGTCTTTTGCAACTCCCTTGCCTGTCGCTGCAGCGTATGTGTTGGATTCTCCGGAACGCAACCACGCGCATCCTTGCTGACTTGTTTGCTCTTAAATTGCAGAACCCCTCTCACTATCCCCCTTCAAATCACGTTATCCGATTTTAAGCTGTCTGGCTTCGTTATATTGGTGTTTTCGAAGCAAAAAGGCATTACGGTCGTCTTCCGAAATGATCCCCTTGAGTCACTCAAGGTCTCGTCAACGTTCGACTCCATCCCATTCGTGCGCGACTTCCTGCAAAGAGAAATAGAAGGCCAACTTCGGGTTTTGTTCATGGACGAACTGCCCGCCATCATCCATCGTCTATCTCTTCGCCTGTGGGTCCCAGAATACCGGGCCGGAGAGGAAATGGCGAACCAGGCCACCGACGCCGCAGGTGAAGGCCCTGGTCAGGATCCCTTGGCCAGTCCGCCTCAGGACCCTGTGGATGCTTTGGGGAACGCTTTGGACGAATCGGAGATCGCATCGCTTTCATTGGATTCCTCAGTCGAAACACACTCTCTGTTTTCTCAAAAGAATCTTCTACGCCTGGCCGCCCTCACGGATTCTCAGCGAACGCTATCACTTTTTACCCCGTCTATCCAGGAGGTGGTTTATCGCGCGTGGACTTCGCCTTCGGATGCAGGCGATGTTGCTGGAAGTGTAACGTCTCCCTTGAGCCCCGCCCTTTCTCGGACCCACTCCCAGGTTGGCGGTATGTCTTCCTTCCATGATACAGCCAGTATGGTGTCTACGCATAGCCGGTCGTCAGCAAACACGCACACTTTCAGCAGCTATGGGTTGAACTTAGGAGCCGGCCGTCACTCGAAGTCCAATGCGAGGAGGCGGAAGAAGCGTGTGGTGGATCTGCGTCGTCCCAAGACAACTGAAGACGCCGCAAGTGTGAGCGGCGAAAGCACTTTCACAGACACCACCAGTGCGCCATCCGTCTGCTCGGCTCCTCTGCCAGTGGTCAGCGAACAGACCGATGACCCAGTTACGCCTCCGTTGTCCCCGGATAGTGGACTTCACCTTCCACCAATCCCCGAACGACACCGCATGAGCATTTCCAGACCTATGCCGCCGCGCCGTGACATTGCGACTGAAATGTTGCGTGAGTCCGGGGAGTCGTCTGCACAGCCGGTTCGTCATCCGGCAGCTGACATCGATGCTACTCCTCGGGTTGCTGTACACCCCTACATTGCTGCTCAGCGGGAGAAAGAGAAGCGAGAAACTGAGGCTTCGCGCCAGCTCCCTTCAAAGGCGCTGCCATTTACCGACACGAAGCCGACATCTAGCATCGTTGACCAAGCGCTGGTTGAGAGGCTGGCAGGAGAAATTGCACGTCGCATGCGGGACGAGAAATTGACTTCAGGTAATTCCTGCAGCTCGTTTTGGGACCGGCTCAGCCATGATGATGCCCCTCCAGCGTACGGTCAGTGACTGCGATGGCGCCGGGGGCGTCTTTGTACTCTTTTATCTTCACCCATTCTTTTCTCAGAGGCTATGCAGCTGTTTTCAGTGCAATCCTCCCAGCTCCAGCCAGCCTGGAGCAGTTGATGACCGATACGACATTGCATTTTTAATTCTGGCTGTCTTTTTACTGTGCTTTTATTTGTTTTCCAAGCGGGCTTTAGAACTTTGTATATTGATTGGACTGTACCCTAAAAGAATCCGGCGTGTTTTGTGTGCTTTTACTTTTACTGTGCGAGCGACCTGCTTCTGAGGGATACCACTTCGCTCACTGACTATCATTCATTGTGTTCCTACCCTACTCTCCTTTGTTCTCTCTTTCTCTGTTAGTTGTCTGTTTGGCCTGGGATCTGGACTGGAATCACGCAATCGAGGGGAGGAGTAAAAATTGACGGGCACGTATGGGTTGCCCTGCTGAATTGCCGTAGAGTTTCGAGCAATGCCACTGTATATTTTGATACAATTGCTAGTCATAATCTGAAGTGTCATAATAATCCGATCCCCACGATCTGGCGGGCGAGCCCTTATCTTTGGGGGAAGATGATGGCTGGCGGTCGGCTCCACCGTGGCTCCGATCGGTTTTGCGACGAACGTCAACCATTTAACTGCCGTTCGCTTCCCTCTTCCTCTCTTCCTTTCTCCGCCACGTCGCCAGTTCCCTGCCCGTCAGCTCCAGTCCGTCCAATTCCCCTCCCATCGTCATGGCGGGCCTGTTCAAGAACGTCTTCGGCGGTTCCCAGTCCTCGAACCCTGCCAAGGTCGACGATGGTAAGCTTCACTTTCCCACACCTCAACCCCAGCTTTACCGGCCCTTCCCCAGCAAAACCCCCCATTGTTTCCCCAACCGCAGCTCATCCACTCCTCTAACCTCATCCATCCAGACTTCGCCGACTTCGTCGAAGCCCCGAACCCATCCCCGGCGTCCCTCGTGGCCGGCTCCTCCTCGACCCCAGCCCTGAACACCCAAGGCGTGGACTCAATCACCCCGGTCCCCTACACAAAATGGTACCGGGTCTGGGAGCGGACCTCCCCGCGTGACTTCATGCAAGAAGCGACCGTGATGCCAGTGATCCTCCTGATCATCCTCTTCCACTTCTGGGGCACGCGCAAGAACCGCCGCAAGGCGCGCGACTGGGCGCAAGCTCACGCTTCTACTCTTTCCAGCGAATTCGCCGTTGTCGGATTCCACGGCCCCCAACAAGAGCTGACCGTCCCGGACTCCGACTCTCTGCTCAAGGAACGCTCCGCCCAGGAATTCTCCTCCTACGCGACGGGTCGGCAGAACGTGGCGTTCGTGGACGTGGCTATCAAGCTCCCTAAGCGGTATAACCCTGTTACGTTCTGGGCGGAGCATGTCATGGGCTTCTTGTTTGAGAGCTGGTCGGCACCTACGGAATCTTACGAGGCTACGGCCTATACCTTTGACGGCAAGGAGAAGGATGTGGTGCCTCTGCCTGCTAATGACAAGTCCTCGTTGAAGGTTAACAACTCTACCTATGATGGATTCATTTGGGCTGTTGTGCACAAGAACTACATGCGCAAGTTCCGTCAGGACCGCTATGATGCCAGCATGACTTTCACTCGGGATAACAACAAGCTGCCCAACTGGGTTACTGTCATGACTGAGAGTGCGGAGATCACCGATGCGGTGCTTACCAATGAGCTGGTCCAGGCTATTGAGAAGGCCGGCAACGATTTCAAGTACTTGATTGTTACTGATCAGCCGGTTGATAAGCCTTTGAAGTGAGTCCGATTCGATCTATTTG